GATTGGCTTATAATCTTAATAATTAAATCATACATCGTTTTGGTTTCAATTAATTGTAGTATAATAACTAAAACATACATCGATTTGGTTTCAATTAATTGTAGTATAATAATTAATTAATTGATAATAAAGTTAGAAATTCACAAATTGAATAGGCACGGCACAAGCCAACAATTAAACTTTTCTAATGAATAAATAAAGGTAATTTTTTAAAGGAATTGTACATAAGTGTTCATATAAGGTAGAGACAACTTAGTGATTTCTTGGGTCGAAATAAGCATAAAACCAAGGATACAACTTTTTTCGGAATAATTTCGTTGGCCAAATATCCGCCATCTTGTGTTTTTTTTCATAAACTTTTTAATATTGATATTGTTTTGGCCGATCTATATGAACCTTGATATGTATTTTGAGGTAGAATATACATCAAGGTCAAAATATGATATACATATGTGATATGTGATTTATAATACACATATATATATAATATCTCTTTGATATATATATATATATATATATATATATATATATATATGTATACTTAAAATATTATAAAGATAGAAAATATTGATATAGATGTGGAAAAGACCCATATAGGAAAAGATTTATATTGGTCTAATTCAAATTACAATAACTAACTTACTTACTGATTTTATGAAAAAATTTCATGAACACTTTAGTTAATTGAGCATTTAGAATTTCCTATCAAACGACACCAAGTCCAAAAATATAAAATGAATGGCATGCCGATTTTATGATTATGATTTTTTATTTTTATGATTATTTATATTATTTTTATTGATATTATGATTTTTTTGTTGTAAGGCAAAATGAGGTGCAACCTGACTAGCTTAGCCCATCGATCTCTATTATTACTACAGCCTTAGCCTTATTCTACCTAATGATACAACAATGCAATGATTTGCAGGAAATATGTGTTAACCTCTAAACCTTTACCTAGATACAGGGTGGCTGAAAAGTAACTTGCACCCCCTTAACTTTTTAACCACATGATATATTAGAAATCTGTTTGCGACAACCTTTTTAGATTTGAGAGGCTACGATAATTATGGTTAATTTTGAAAATGTTGCCCTTAGAGGTACTGGGGGTAGGGGTTAGCTCAACAATTTAAAATGGGAAGTATAGTCGGGTTTAGTATCATTTTACAGGTCTTGATGAAACTTAACAATGGACAGAAAGAATAAATACCCCCGCCGCAGCAAACCTGCCGTCTAAGCGAATTTCCATTTGGCCGAATTGATTTTCAATTGATCTATTTAAATAACATTAGGTTTAACGAGTACCTAGGTTTGCTGCTACAAGGAAACTAATAAAGTAGTGTGTTTTTAGTAAAATATTGATAGCTTACTATAAAATAAATAAATTTGCCAAGTTTGATCAAAATATATCCATAAACAAGCTAACTACAACATTTTACAATATTCTCCATAAGAATAACATGGGAATTTTAAATTTACAATTTTTTTAGTTTTCTCCGTAACCAATAACCGTACAAAAACACTTTGATATACTGAATTGTTTGTTTTTTTAAGCTCTTTAAGAAGGCTTAGAGAAAAATTGGGAAATTTTGTGTTTTGAGGGTAAAAAGTGAGAAAAACCAATTTTTACCCCATAAAACCCCCCATAAAACCCTGTTCCCATGGTCCGATCATGCTGGATCGCAAACTCATTCAAGTTTATCCCGCCTTACACCTTCAAACCAAATTTCATCAAAATCGGATAAAAATTACTCAAGTTATCGTGTTCACGGACACATATATATATATATATAAATCTATATATATATACCTATATATATATACATATATAAAAATTTGAACGAATGGTGTTTTTAGCCTCTGGGGACATTAAAATGAAAAAGTAAATCGGTCCCGGGCCTAAGTCTTACCATGAGACCTACGGTAATAGCTACTTCCCTATAGGGAAATTCGCTAAAATCAGACCACTAATAACAAAATGGCAACTAAAAATTACTTTTCCCTACAGCCACCCTCAAAATGCTCATTTCATCTAATTTAGCCTCAGAATAGTTCCCGGCAATTTACAATTATATTAAATTAATTTGTTTTTTTAAGATTTTCTCAATATTTATGCATATTATTGTTTTCCAACAAATACTTAAGTCACTGATAGCGACTAAGCCTTCGCACAGGCTTCCAGCCCATGTAGGCTTATTTCCTATGTCTATTTAACATAGCTTTCTCTGAAACCTTCCATCCTTTGTTATTATTAAGTTTACATGTATTGATAATTATTTTATCTATGCAATAACAAGGAAGGTGTCTGTTTCACTGGAAGTTTATGTTTATATTTTATTCTGTTCATTATTTTTGGAAATAAAGTATATTTTGATTTGATTTGATTTGACCCGACAAAACGGGCTTCATTGCACAGATTATAGTAATTATTTATTTGATTTACAGTAACTTTATGAAAAATATAATGTGTAACACGAGTGTAAACTGCCTTTGCTGCAGTCGAGAAACTTTCCACACTCGACTGTCCACTGATACACAAATAACTATTAACAATCCGCCTTAAAAAGCATCGTAAAAGCATTGTGGTCGTAAAAAATATTAACTTATTTATTAACTTTCAGTTTGCATACAATATAAAATGAGATAAAACTCAATCAGCCTTATGGGCCTAAGCTTCAAAACGTAAAAATAACGGAAAAATGATTCTACATCACGTGCAAACCAAACTGAATTTTTTTAAATTTCAGCAAGTTTCGTAATCTGGGACATTTTACTGTGTCCGGTCCTGTGATCAACAACCTAACACATTAAATAATAACTATAACTTGCAGCTTTTGCAAGGTTCTAATGCGGTTAGTAACATAAAGAAGGAAATAAAACTTCCTTAGTCATATCTGCAAAGTTCTAAACTAGTTGCATTTTTCCTATCTAGAAGGTGAAGAATATTTGCATTTCCGAAGGTTCTCTTTACCTTGTGGTTTATCGATAATCGTCTTCCTCCTTTCATGCCTAAATGTTTTCAATATTTTTTTATATTATCATATAACGTTAGTTTCAAGCTAAAAATTGATTCATAAACGAACTGAGAAGTATTCATTTGTATTCTTGTTACTAATAAAAGGGTATTTACCAAGTTTTTTTTTCGGTTATCGTGATTATTCAAATGTTATCATTCAATTAAAAAAATATTTTATCATCATCAAGTAACACGACAAAAGTTATATTTATTCTTATACCTATAATTTCCATCAGCTAAAACCATTTCCATAGTAAAAGAACCCTCAAAGAGAAAATAGCCCCAAAATAGGAGGATACTCAACAAAAAGTGCATATTTATGTTTTCTTTGAATATACTGTATATAGAATGTGTACCTCAGTATTGAAAGTCAATAGCTATATTATACTGTGGATTATACCATGGTTTAAACAGTATCCCTTATAAATGTATCAATCACCCTCATGGACTGGCAAAGACAGTTTTCACATAGAATAAAATACCATATAAATAAATTGTGTTTCCTGCTTATTTATTCTATGGTTTTAATTTGTGCTTTGGATCGGATTATGTAGAGGGTGTTTCTAGAGTTAACTATTCGTATCCTGCCACTTAAACTATAACTATCTAATCATTAAACAATAACTCGTCTCCTGTATAACCAAACAGTAAAACACGAAACATGAAATTATCCCTAAAAATAGATACAAAATTTCATCGACACTAGCGATCAGTGTCACCAACATGAACTAGAAACGGAAATGAACTTCAAAATTGTACAATGGGATGAGAAGTCTACTTGTTTTGATTGTACTGAAATGTGCTTTTTGCAAATATATCAATTACAATCGTAAAGATCAATTCTTTAATCGGAAATCGTAGGGTCGGAGGTACGTTCCCGCCAATTTCAGGAAGTGATAAGTTAAGCCGAAGTGGGCCAGGGTCACAAGAAGGTCAAGGTTAAGCGCTGAACCGCGCTAGCCTTTAATCTGCAGCTCTGTTATCAACTCAAATAACAATTCAGCAAAACGCAGGTCGCGTTATCATTCGTAAACAAACTGATGCTTATTCATCAGAAGCTGTAAACACATATTTTTCACGTTTATTATGAAATTGTCTAGGTAAAGCCCCAAAGGTTGCTGATTTGTTCCCAAGCAGGAACGATTCAGGTCAAAGATCCCATTTCTCATTAGACAATTTGATTTTAGTTGAAAAAATTGCGCTTTTTTCCAAAAGAATAAGGACCTTTAGCTAAAATAATTTCTGAATTCCCGGACCATATCTTTATCACAGTTTAAAGTCATGTGATTGGCAAGGTTTGAACTAGGCTTCCCTTGGCAAACGTTTTGAGCTTTACCCCCTTCAAAACCCGCACACTAATAATTTTATATAACAATTAAGTGATAAAAAACTAGTGATCATTGTTCCAAACAATTATAGATACTGTTACGATAATTGATTTCATAGCATGACAATCATTGATTCATGACTATATTTCATAATCATAGTATTGCAAAATCGATGCTTGATTTTTTATTAGGATTTCAAAATCCATCACATTTCATTTAATCGATTTATATTTATAATTTAGAATACATTTCAAGTAGGCATACACTGTCTGTAATACATGTTAGTTTGTGCTCACTTGAACTTAATACAATCTTTAAACATTTTAAAATGCAATCGACACATAAAATAGTAACAAGAACTTATAAAAATTACAAAGACACTGTTAAAATATACCTATAAAAATATGCAAAAGCTATATTATTATTATAAAATTACCAATTGAAATAAGGACGCCTATATACAAATAATTGACTTTCCAAAAAATATTTGGGATCAAAATTGTATACATTTACTATCAATGTAAACAAATGCTCAAAGATTATAAGAGGGGGGTTGATGTTGAAACTCATGCAAGGTTTTAACACCCAAACAAAAACCAGTATAATATACAGATATACAAACATTAATGTATTATAAAACGTATTGTTGACCCCAGTGATGATTTAATTAGTTTCAAGTTTGATAAGCTAAAGGTACTTCAAGCGGATCCCATTCCACGCATCGTCTACTATGGTGACCTTAACAACAATCAGCAAATCAGCTGTTCTAGAGTCAGCTGTCAGTTGAGTTTAGTGAGAGAGTGCGAGTGGAAGATCATCATACACACTGCTGGTGAGTAAAGTTTATTCAATTCGGCATCGAACATCTAGCAAGATGTAAAGCCAGTATATAGTTGGTTAATAAACAGGCAAAAATATTCATGGTTTTAAACTATCTTATAGAATAATACAGCACATAGTAACATTCAAACATTCAGTTTATATTAAAGTTCATTATAAAGTTAATAATTTAAGTTCTTTTTATTCATGGGTCATGTCATGTAGTTTTTTTTTCATTTCCTCACGATTTTTTAAGTTAGTTTTCATACATTTGAATTTAATCCTTATCTATAATACGTGAAGGCGATTTCTACGAAATACTACTCCTCCGTTAATAATGGACGGGTTTTTACAAACGATGTGTCAAAATTGTGATTTTTTTTGTGTAGACGCCCCTTTTCACCAATTCCTGAATTAAAGTCCTCGGGCTTTGCCCAAAATCCCAATGTATTATTTATGAAGAAAATTTACTAACCCAGCTGTTATACTTCGTTCTGCTCTTTATTTGTTTATATGAAGATTTGTTTCTTAGTGCCATGTGGCCAATGAATTAGACTTTTGCATATTTTAAATGCAATATGAATATACTATATAAAGGGATGGTAATTCATTGAGAAATCTGAATTTAAATAATCAATAAGTGGATTGAGCTTTGAATATATGTTTCCGGGTAAGTGTGTTGTAACCGTTTCTTACAGTAGGTAGATTTAAAAAACCGAATTATTCTTTGCTGCATTCTCACCCCGTATGGCAGAGCAACTAGTTATTTTTAATACTGGTACTTTATCCTTGGCTGAAGTGCTGATATTTCTTTCTGGTAAAAAAAAAATTGAAACATGTTGAGGAATGTTAGCCCTGTCATTAATATCTTTGCAACATTAGTCACAGTAGCTTAAACAATATGTTCAATCAATAAGACATGATCATTGTTTTTTACTGGCTAAAAACTAGTAGTTGTGATGGAGTAAGACTTAAAAAGTCAGAGTGTATAAATTCCTGAGGACACATCATCATGGTTTATGAATATCACAAGTGTTTATTTACCATAATAATAATCTAACAATAATAATCTTTTTAAATTGAGAAAAGTATCCAATATTTCGGATTGAAAAATGAAACCTGTTTGACTATATATTTCCTAATAAACTTTGTAAAATTAAGAGAGTCTCATAACATAAGTTCTTTGAATATCTATAAAATGTTTTCCTGCACAAGATGATTGGCATTGAGGATAAAACGTACATTTATCCTCAATGGAAACATTGAAATTCTCTTCTCGAAAGAAATAAAATTAGCATTTCATTGGATTGTAAGAAAATACATATAGGAAGAATATACAAGGACAGAATATGCATACGGGTATACGATCATATTTTGATTTAGGATGAGTCTGTTCTTTTAGAACTTATGGTGGAGATCATCATATAGTAATCTGTAACCAAACAATCAAATGAAGTTGAAATCAAATTAGGTAGTTAAATTGTATTTGTGCTTAATATTATAATCAAAACAAAATCGTTTATGGCCATATTATTACTTCGGACATAGAGTTCAATAGTTTTTTAACATGTAAAATCGTAAAAAACTTATATTTTATTTTTAAAAGGTTAATTATCTAAAATGTAGACCCACATATATTCCTGAAGTAAAGGCCCATATTTAAATCAACCATGCACTTTACTACGCAGAATTAACTGTATGTATGTTTTGTACCTCAATAAGTGGGATTTTAGAAGGATTCAGTGCAAATGCTTCTCGCGGGTCGGCTAGTTATGATATATTTTAGTAAACAATTGACTATTTTCAGCTTACTCAATTATATCTATAACCTCAGATAGAGGGGAAAGTTGTTGGAGCACTTGATTGTTTACTTAGAGGGCCTGGGGCCTTTAGAGGGACCGAATCCCTCCGATCGCCAATGGTTGCTATGTGATTATATGTCCTGATGGCTAGAGTCAACCTTATCAGTAGCCTTATACAATACAAATGGTTTGGTCTCTGAAATGAGAAGAAATGTCTCAATACATAAAAACTTCCTCCATTGAAAACTACACGGCCCACAAAGATTTTTTCATAATAAGAATATCAGAAAATTTGTATTTTGCTAAATAATGCTTGTACAAAATTTGAGTAACGTAACCTTCATGCTTCAGGTTTTAAGGTTCATAAAACCAGCACTCGAGTTTAGTTATGACCATGACATACTCATACACAACACCTTCATGCTGCTTTTAATAACTTTCATCTCTTTATTTTTGGTCATACTTTTTGATTTTACCGTTTACTATGGAAAAAAATTGTTATTAAAAAATCAATGGTATATCGAAAACCTTTCTTTATGTCATAATCTGTACACAGTGTTACAACACAGCTGAGAAAACAGGTGACATTATCAATAGCTTAAAAGTAAATAAATAACACAATAAATAGGCCAAGACACTATAGAGCTACAAAATATACCGTATAATTATAATTAGAATTTAATTCATTTACTAGCATTTAATTTATCTAATCTAATCCTCAAGTGTACTAAAAACAGTATCTTGTGAATAGTTCATTATGGCACACTGTGACCTTGCTTGCTAATAATGTGCTGTGTCAAGTGAATAGAAGATAACATTTGCTAGAATGTCAGTGCCAGTGGTGCACTAATTATCCAAGTGTTCATAACCAAGTAGGTACAATAATTTAGTTTGTACTTGTTAAATGAACTTTTAATTAATAATATGTATTGGTGCTAGTATATGGATAAAGTAAAAATACATTAAACAACTGTATAGACAAACAGTACTTCATTACATACATACTTATATTTATCAATTATGTAATTACATTGGCTATTGATTTCAACAAGTTTTGTTGGTCATTATTGGGTGCAATCCAAAATCCTATTATGTACAATATGACAGTCCCTTGGATTGCGCCTGACAATATCTCAATCTCATTGAAATCAATAGCTAAATGACTTTTTATAAACACTTATTTACACTTTAATGTGCGAATAAAGTCAAAGCCAATTCACTTAAGTTTAGAAATAATTTTTTGTTATAATCGGAACATACCAATTTCCATATCCATAATCAAAGGGTTAGGTCTATACTCATCTATGGAATACACAGCACCACTTATATTCAGGTATATATAGTACTTTTAAATTTTTCTTTTTTGTTTGTTTCTGACATTTTAACAAGAATTTAGCCACTGCATATTATGGGATTTTCTATAGACCTTAGGTCTGTTCTGGTTCGGTATGATTTTGTTTTAGTTTCTTCCTGGTATACAAGTGAGCATCGTAAAGGAAGTTAAATGATAAATAGCATTATAACAATTCACTGGGGAATTAATTGTTTCTAAATTAAGTGTGATTGTAATGTCCTTCCACTCTGCTTTTTCCAAAAGATCCTATATAATGGTTTTTCAAAAATAATGGTTTGAAGACTACACCACACTGAATATAATATCAATATCATCTCAAAGATAAACATTTTCATTTTTCTGTGTTAGTTAGGGATAAAAGTGATAAGCTTTTATTGACACTCCTACATTTAAAGTTTAAACCCATTTCAATGGTCTTATACTGCCCTTGAGTAGAATTTAATGTTAGGCTAAAAATAATGTCAGTTAAAAATAGATACCCCATTTTTACCCCATAACACCCCCCGTAAAACCCCGTTCCCATGGTCCGATCATTCTGGTTTGCGAACTCATTCAAGTTTATCCCGCCTTACACCTGCAAGCCGAATTTCATCAAAGTCAGACAAAAATTACTCAACTTATCGCGTTCACGGACACACACATATATAGCCTACATACCAGTACATTAACAAAAATTAACGAATGGTGTTTTTGGCTTCTGGCGACACCAAAATGAAAAAGTAAATCGGTCCCGGACCTAGGTCTTACTGTGCCAACTACGGTAATAGCTACTTCCCTATAGGGGAATTCGCTAAAAGATGGGTAAGGCGCAAAGGTCAAGGCAAAGGTAAGGCATGTTGGTTTTATGCTAATTGTTTATAATGGAAAAGTAGTTTAACTAGCTAAATAAACATTAGGATACTGCAAATACACTTATCCTATTGGAAAACCTGGTTCGGTGTGTGTATTACATCCTGAAACTCTTGAGTGTGTCAAAAAAATATTTCCCAATATTTTGGGAATGTTTTGCAAAGTATCTTACTCTTCTGGTTATATTACCAGTGGAAAAGCTGTAGTTTACAAACACTATTCTGGTTGTAATAGATTTTAAGTTAGTAAATGACAATATGAAACAAATAGTCTTGAGGACATCTATGCACTCAAGCAGATGTAAACGAAAACATAAAATTTGCTTTCTTTTCCAAAAGAAAACAGATTTCTATGGGAGTTATTAGTCTAGTGTGGTTTAGTCTGTTACCTGATTGTGACAGTTGTGACAATAATTTAGTGTTTTGATTAGGCTTCTAGAATATTTTTCAAGTAACAGATATAGCATTGGGGTACGGTATCTCTATTATAAATTTATAAGAGTTTTCTTTTCTTGTCTTTGGTTTTCAAAAGCAATTTTGCCCTCAATTAGTGGATTAACAAAGGACGTTTTGCTAGACCAACACTACTGATTAATCTAAGTTTTGTTTGAACCTTTTTTGAGGCCAATCACAATCAGTAGCTCTCAATCATGCCTAATCAACATTCTGCTCTAGTTCCATTGTATTTCACTTCGGCTGCGTCTTCTGTCTTGTTGCAATTATTTGTTCCAATTCAACGTCTAATACAAAATTGTTACATTGAAATTTATTATAAATTTGTTGTATATTTTAGGTAGGTACTGTTGGTTAAAATACTACCCAAATTTGCGTTACAGGTAAACAATGTAAATTATAAACAGCTATTTGAAAAATTATTGCTACCTATTAGTAATGTTTTGTTGAACTTTCATATTTCATAACTTTTTTTCTCATTAATTTTTTCTTAATTTGGTGAAACCTTTTAAATACTAAAGGATCATTTCCCCCATCTTCCCTAGAGGTAACAAAATAATAGTCAAAACTCACAGGCTACAGCACATGTTAAATAAAGTATTCAGATATTTGGTTGGGTTAAGCTAGCAATAGTAATAACCAAATTTCTTTGTTACCCTTGATGACCAAAGAGTCACGATGGGGTCATGAAGGGGCTTGAAGACTCACATATTCCCCAGAAAGTATTTGACCTAGTGTAGTTTTGACCTTTGACTTCTCCCAGGGATGGCGGCAGACCTCAAGTGTGAGCCGATAACAGATGAGTTGTCCCTGGAGCTACAACGCCACTGCCAGGGAGCAATGCCAGCCGGAGAAGTCAGACTGGGAGATACAGTCACAACAAAGGCCTTCAGCGAGTGTGTCAGACAAATACTTGATCTGGAGGTTAGAGAAGATGACATTTGGGTCATTTCCTTCCCGAAATGTGGTAAGTAGCTGAGTAGCTGTAGTTCTTGTCTGACCTTCATTAGGTGGCCAGTTTTATCCTGAGCTAAGTACACTGATCTGAGTGACACACACTGTCTACTACTAAGTGAACCTGAAGTAATGCTAAGATGGTTCCAACCTAGTATCCTGGACGATATGTTTTGCAAGGAGTACATATGGTGTAACGTTTAAGCCAGTCGGAGTCTTCAATGGTGATGATCTGTTTGGCTGGTTAAAGCAAGCTTTAGTAATTATCTGGGTACCTGAATGGGTTATAGTGATCTTCAAATATTCAAAAGATCGATGCTAGTAAAATTAATTTATCTACATGGCTTCTTTTTCCTCTTCCATTTCACAGCATAGATTCTCAGCTTCGCTTGTAACCTATAAGCTGATGCTAATGTAACAAAACAGAATATTGAAAAAATCTTGAGACACAGCAACAAGTCTAAAACCCAAGTCTAGACAATTTAAAGCCAAAAGAGTTTGATATGAACATTTGAAACATAAATAGAAGGCCTTCTATTTAACTATATTTGTATGACAATTATTGTGTGTTTTTTTTTTTTACAGGAACTACGTGGACGCAAGAAATAATATGGCTTTTAAAAAACAATTTTGATTTTGAAACAGCCAAGGCAACATATCTTTACCAAAGATTTCCATTCTTAGAGTAAGTATAAAGTTTTAACATTTACCAGTGTCATACTCTTTATTCTTGCAATTATCATTGTTTTAGTGTATTTAGTCTTGTAACGATCAGTGTTGAAAAACCTATGAATAATTTACCAGGGTTGGGTATTAAGCAGTGAATTCTATGACAAAAATAACAATTACAACTTGCAAGATTCATTAATTCTCAATTTTTTTGGTATATTTTTATTGGACGGATTCAATAAATCATCTGTATGGTGATGGTTAATTGATCATACGTTTGTAGTGGAGGGAGATCTTAAACAAAAAAAGACAGTATTCTTTACTTAAGAGACCAATCTTTTTACTTGATACTTTGGCCAGGCAATGTTTAAGGTGGGCTCCAAACTACTCATAAGTAAACTTTAAATTGGTGATTGGGGAGATTTGAACCAAAGTAAGGCATGTCTCCTGCTCCAACCATTAGACCAACTTTGCCCCATTCTGGTCTGGTTCTGGGTTATAGATATAGAAACAGGAAACAGCCTATTCCCCACCTGAAGTGTACGTCGATTAAATTAGCCTACATTAGAAACAGCTGGTTTCAAATAAAAATCAATGTTTCACGACTACCTATCGTCAGTGAATGAAAACTCCTATCTTACATGGGTTGTGATAAGGCTAACTCCATTGGAAGTTAACATGAAACAGTTTAGTGAATAAATTAATGATAGATACAATATGTAGTGAGTGTTTAAATCTCTACCTCAGTCCTGTAATACAAACATCGACAACAATTAACGGGTGATTACTGATTTTAGTATAACCTTTTTTTACCACATTTCCCTTGATCATTTTTATACATTTATTGATATTACGTTGTTGTTTCAGGTACAAACCTCTTTGGGGAGCAAATTCCCAAGAGATACCTGATTTAATTGAACACGTTAACAATTTAGAATCACCAAGGTTCATCAAAACTCATTTACCAGTCAACCTTCTTCCAAAACAAATATGGACAAAAAAACCAAAAGTAAGTATGCCTCATTTTTAGTCCTTCTTGATTACAATACCTATGTATCTTGGTAGCTGAAAACAAATTAAGAGACAGATTACAACCCAATGAGAGTCATAAACCATTTGGTTATTATTGTAAACCATATCTGAAACTGGGGTTCAAAGACCTAAACTACCTTAATTTAATAATCTTAGCCAACTTTCTTGTAACCAAATCATTTATGAAAAGGAAAATTGAATTTACTTATATCTGTAGATAATATTTTCTTGCTATTCTTTTTAGCTATGGGTCAAACAATGGAATGATACTTTATGACATATTTATAATCTACCAACGATTTTAAAAAGTTGACACAAGAATGCATAAAACGTATAAAAATATACTAACATACTTATTTTACATAAACTTCCATTTACTACCATTCACTATATTCATTTAATTTAAGTATCTTTTTTCAGATCATATATGTAGCAAGGAATCCCAAAGACGCAGCAATTTCATACTTCCATCACTTTCGGCTTTGGAACAACTACACAGGATCTCAAGATTTGTTCCTAAAAGCTTTTGTTGAAGACAAAGGTAATTTGAATCTTTTTTAATAGATTCGTTGCGGGTATAACCTCCTTAATAGTAAAAATCCTTTTAGTCCCTAAGGAGTAAAAGCCTGTTTAGTTCCTAGGGTGTATAAATAGTATATTTCCATTGTGATTAAATATACTATTTTACTTTGACACAATGTACCTAATTAAAATGTGAAAGATTTCAGAATTTTTCTTCAGGTAAAATCCCATACTTATTTTGTACAGCAAATTGTCCCCCTTCGAAAATTGTTTTGATAAGACATGTAATTTGATAACTGGTTTAATTTTCCTTTACAGTTGTCTTCAGTCCATTCTGGGAGCATGTCCTATCTTACTGGAAACTCAGGGACGAACCTAATGTTCTCTTCAACACCTTTGAGGACATGAAAAAGGTAATTTCATATTCAAAGCTTTTGCTGTGATTGTATACATAAGTACAAAGTATGTAGTTAATGATTTAACATAGGTGACAAGGGCAAATGTTTTGTTTTAACCTTCCCTTGAAAAATACTTAGTCACATTAATTAGCACACTCAAAACAAGGTTCAGATTTTGTAATAGAATGAGAAGTCTCCATGCCACATCAAAATTAATTGTTTATGCTTACACATTGTTGGACAGAGACTTATTTAGACACTCTTGTCTTTTTGGCAAATCAAAAGATCACGCAAAAACTTTACCGCAAGGATATTCTAAGATGAAACATATTACTGGGAGTATTCCCACTGGTAGCGCATCAGCGACGTGGTCGTCAGGTTATTTTATTTTTCTTGCTTATCAGTAATTTATTAATACTGATTTCATTTCTTCTTCAGGAATACATATGGTCCAGAGATATATTTGTTCAACAGTGTAGTAGGCCGCTTGACTTAAATATGTTTTAACATGTTCTTGAATTTATTGAATGAAGGTAAATGATGATAAATATAGGACAGCCATCTGTTAACGTTCTGCTCTGACTTTTGCAAACACAAATACTGGTAATGAATGCGGATTTAGGCATACGTCTGAAACAACTCTTGTTCACAATCCAGAGGTAAAACTTCACTTTGGATATTACTCCTTTGTTGGATAACACTGTTGGACACTAAACTAAATCATGGATTTTACTAACACATGGATATAAATCAGAGTAATAGGAAAATAAATATTTTCTTCACTATTTTCAGGATTTGTTGCCAGTCATGAAGCGAACAGCAGACTTCCTGGGTGTGTCATACAACAACGAACAAGAGACAACCATGCTGCACCATCTGAGTTTTGCCAGCATGAAAAACAACAAATCGGTGAACTTTGATGAAGACATCCGTCAAATTGAGCAGAAGGAAGGAAGAACTGGACTGACCTTTATGAGACAAGGGGAAAGTGGAGCTTGGAAGAAGATACTAACACCAGAACAGGATAAGGCTTTCCAGCAATGGACGGAGAAGAAACTAAAAGGCACAGGTTATCCATCGCCTAACTGAAAAACAGCGTGAAGAAACTGTTTTTTAAAGTGATTAGGTACTAAATTTCAAGGATTTTTGTTAGAAAAGCAGGTTGATGAATAGGAAATAGTCCATCTTTGTACCTAATGAAGTGCCCATGCCCAATAATTAGATTATGATTATAGTCCAGCATAAATGATTTCCAACTCAAACCTTCCTTGATTAAAAAGCTTAAAAGCTATCAGTGACATTTTAATAATTATCATGTTTATAGAGTTGGGTTCTGGTGTTTCTTGTACCTGAATGGACTATTTCTCATTCACATCAGTCTACTATAAAAAAACCCTTATTCAAAGAAAATGGTTATCTATCATAGTCTGTATGACGTAACCTATCTCCTGGCACTCCGTCTACTTGGGACTGACCCTAGCCTGAAACCATTGGTTGGGAGACAGGTTACACCATACAGAGTATATTGATTGTTGATTTGATTTGGTGAGTTACCAAGCTTATCAGACTGTATTGATTGATAAAGACGTGTTCAGGCACATTCATTTGCTTTCAGACTTTGGTTTTATTGCACCTTTTGGTTGAAAATATTTTGCACACCGCAACTTGAAGTGTTTCAAAAAGAGAAGACTTTGACAACGTTGATGACAACAGGATGTCATTGATGATAACACTGTTAAAATGTGATACTCTAGATAAATTTAGGAGAAAATTATTTAGTTACTTTTTAAGCATAATGAAGAGAAGTTGAAACTGTAAATTGCAACGTAATTAGTGATTACAGTCAGTTTGTACATTATTAGAGATGTTATTTACAATTTGTAAGTTACATAAATATTATTAAAAAAATTTTCTTTTAATCTGAATTTGATTCTAAATTAATCATGGAAAATATTGGCTGTTATTAGTACTAGTCTTATTGAAATTATTGTAATTATTTAACCGTATAAGTGCCTTAAAAATGTATTTGAAAAATATATTTTAGTAATCTCAGCATTTGTTTACTTTTAAAGTGTAATTCAAAACTTCATGTATCTGCACTTACTACAAAATAAAGAGATAACACACTATCTTTGTATTGACGATTTATTCTATGTTTTGCCAATATTTATTTTGCTGCTATTTTATAGGTTATCCTTTTGTTTCAACCATTGTCTCTATAAAATAAAAATGTATATTTATTTAGCAATGTCAATTTGTTTTTTATCTGATGTCATCCCAACAAAATTTTACTATTTGTAGACCTGTTTTATAAGCAATATTGGTCATCATCATCCATCTATATATTAATAGGCAAGCATGTTTCTTTAAAACCTTTTTTCTCAGCTTGTGTGCATCGCAGGGAAAACCTATGCATACTGTTAGAAAGATATTTTTTTGCAGAAGTGCAGAATTCCTTTATAAATTAAAATAGGCTCAAAAATAAGCACAAAAAATGTATTTAAAATTAGAAAAAAATTTACATGCGCCTTATGGGTTGCTATGCTGTTGACGAAATAACAACGAAATATAAACAGAAAATCAAAACAAATGGAAGAAATTCCAATCACATGTTTTATTCAGTCTAGGGTGAAAATAGAGAAGCCTGTACATTACAAATTTTTGATGAAATGTTCGACCACTGGACGACCTATAGTATTATTTAAATATGTAAGCTTAAAGGGAAGTCGACTATGAATAACTGTGAAATCTATGGTAGCTTACAATGTTTGGTGCAAATTTACAAAGTCTTATTTTTTATTGAAAATAAGTTAGCTTAATAGATTAAAATTAAAATAACTATTGGCGTAGTAAAAATGGTCATGTATTCTCTAACAACGTAAATGAGCTCTGTTTTGAGGATGTGTTGGGTTTCACAGGCTAAATAATTAAAAACTATTGTAAAACTAATTTATTAAAACAAAATTATATCTACAACCGTTAAAAATATACAAAAATATACAATACTTTTTTGACTCACAGAAAGCTTTTTATTGACTACTTGCTGGCTTGAGGAACGATGGTTCGGTGACCAACTGTATCATTGGAGCATTGAAATAGTGCTCGAATATGATAATCTGAAAAATAAAATAATCACTTCTTATAAAGTAATGCACATTCTACTTATAAAATCAAATTAAAACTTTAAAACTAACATTAATCATAAAATTTTTTATCTTATAATTTTCCCCAATCAAACAAAACAAATAAAGGATGTAAAATGAAATTTAGGGATGAAAATGCTAATCTACCACTTTCCCAGAACCTCAAATTGTATTATTAGGAAACTTTATAAAAGAATGCTGCACATTAGCAAGAAAGAGTTCAAATGTGTCATCACAATAGCCACCATTGATTACCTTATTAGTCTGCTGATCATCCCCCAACAGTACTATTTTTTTTTATTTATGCTTAAAAACAGAAGTCAGGCAAAACAGAATTTATGTACTTACTTACCTTACCTGATGATTACTGGGTGATTACTGATTTTAGTATAACCTTTTTTTACCACATTTCCCTTGATCATTTTTATACATTTATTGATATTACGTTGTTGTTTCAGGTACAAACCTCTTTGGGGAGCAAATTCCCAAGAGATACCTGATTTAATTGAACACGTTAACAATTTAGAATCACCAAGGTTCATCAAAACTCATTTACCAGTCAACCTTCTTCCAAAACAAATATGGACAAAAAAACCAAAAGTAAGTATGCCTCATTTTTAGTCCTTCTTGATTACAATACCTATGTATCTTGGTAGCTGAAAACAAATTAAGAGACAGATTACAACCCAATGAGAGTCATAAACCATTTGGTTATTATTGTAAACCATATCTGAAACTGGGGTTCAAAGACCTAAACTACCTTAATTTAATAATCTTAGCCAACTTTCTTGTAACCAAATCATTTATGAAAAGGAAAATTGAATTTACTTATATCTGTAGATAATATTTTCTTGCTATTCTTTTTAGCTATGGGTCAAACAATGGAATGATACTTTATGACATATTTATAATCTACCAACGATTTTAAAAAGTTGACACAAGAATGCATAAAACGTATAAAAATATACTAACATACTTATTTTACATAAACTTCCATTTACTACCATTCACTATATTCATTTAATTTAAGTATCTTTTTTCAGATCATATATGTAGCAAGGAATCCCAAAGACGCAGCAATTTCATACTTCCATCACTTTCGGCTTTGGAACAACTACACAGGATCTCAAGATTTGTTCCTAAAAGCTTTTGTTGAAGACAAAGGTAATTTGAATCTTTTTTAATAGATTCGTTGCGGGTATAACCTCCTTAATAGTAAAAATCCTTTTAGTCCCTAAGGAGTAAAAGCCTGTTTAGTTCCTAGGGTGTATAAATAGTATATTTCCATTGTGATTAAATATACTATTTTACTTTGACACAATGTACCTAATTAAAATGTGAAAGATTTCAGAATTTTTCTTCAGGTAAAATCCCATACTTATTTTGTACAGCAAATTGTCCCCCTTCGAAAATTGTTTTGATAAGACATGTAATTTGATAACTGGTTTAATTTTCCTTTACAGTTGTCTTCAGTCCATTCTGGGAGCATGTCCTATCTTACTGGAAACTCAGGGACGAACCTAATGTTCTCTTCAACACCTTTGAGGACATGAAAAAGGTAATTTCATATTCAAAGCTTTTGCTGTGATTGTATACATAAGTACAAAGTATGTAGTTAATGATTTAACATAGGTGACAAGGGCAAATGTTTTGTTTTAACCTTCCCTTGAAAAATACTTAGTCACATTAATTAGCACACTCAAAACAAGGTTCAGATTTTGTAATAGAATGAGAAGTCTCCATGCCACATCAAAATTAATTGTTTATGCTTACACATTGTTGGACAGAGACTTATTTAGACACTCTTGTCTTTTTGGCAAATCAAAAGATCACGCAAAAACTTTACCGCAAGGATATTCTAAGATGAAACATATTACTGGGAGTATTCCCACTGGTAGCGCATCAGCGACGTGGTCGTCAGGTTATTTTATTTTTCTTGCTTATCAGTAATTTATTAATACTGATTTCATTTCTTCTTCAGGAATACATATGGTCCAGAGATATATTTGTTCAACAGTGTAGTAGGCCGCTTGACTTAAATATGTTTTAACATGTTCTTGAATTTATTGAATGAAGGTAAATGATGATAAATATAGGACAGCCATCTGTTAACGTTCTGCTCTGACTTTTGCAAACACAAATACTGGTAATGAATGCGGATTTAGGCATACGTCTGAAACAACTCTTGTTCACAATCCAGAGGTAAAACTTCACTTTGGATATTACTCCTTTGTTGGATAACACTGTTGGACACTAAACTAAATCATGGATTTTACTAACACATGGATATAAATCAGAGTAATAGGAAAATAAATATTTTCTTCACTATTTTCAGGATTTGTTGCCAGTCATGAAGCGAACAGCAGACTTCCTGGGTGTGTCATACAACAACGAACAAGAGACAACCATGCTGCACCATCTGAGTTTTGCCAGCATGAAAAACAACAAATCGGTGAACTTTGATGAAGACATCCGTCAAATTGAGCAGAAGGAAGGAAGAACTGGACTGACCTTTATGAGACAAGGGGAAAGTGGAGCTTGGAAGAAGATACTAACACCAGAACAGGATAAGGCTTTCCAGCAATGGACGGAGAAGAAACTAAAAGGCACAGGTTATCCATCGCCTAACTGAAAAACAGCGTGAAGAAACTGTTTTTTAAAGTGATTAGGTACTAAATTTCAAGGATTTTTGTTAGAAAAGCAGGTTGATGAATAGGAAATAGTCCATCTTTGTACCTAATGAAGTGCCCATGCCCAATAATTAGATTATGATTATAGTCCAGCATAAATGATTTCCAACTCAAACCTTCCTTGATTAAAAAGCTTAAAAGCTATCAGTGACATTTTAATAATTATCATGTTTATAGAGTTGGGTTCTGGTGTTTCTTGTACCTGAATGGACTATTTCTCATTCACATCAGTCTACTATAAAAAAACCCTTATTCAAAGAAAATGGTTATCTATCATAGTCTGTATGACGTAACCTATCTCCTGGCACTCCGTCTACTTGGGACTGACCCTAGCCTGAAACCATTGGTTGGGAGACAGGTTACACCATACAGAGTATATTGATTGTTGATTTGATTTGGTGAGTTACCAAGCTTATCAGACTGTATTGATTGATAAAGACGTGTTCAGGCACATTCATTTGCTTTCAGACTTTGGTTTTATTGCACCTTTTGGTTGAAAATATTTTGCACACCGCAACTTGAAGTGTTTCAAAAAGAGAAGACTTTGACAACGTTGATGACAACAGGATGTCATTGATGATAACACTGTTAAAATGTGATACTCTAGATAAATTTAGGAGAAAATTATTTAGTTACTTTTTAAGCATAATGAAGAGAAGTTGAAACTGTAAATTGCAACGTAATTAGTGATTACAGTCAGTTTGTACATTATTAGAGATGTTATTTACAATTTGTAAGTTACATAAATATTATTAAAAAAATTTTCTTTTAATCTGAATTTGATTCTAAATTAATCATGGAAAATATTGGCTGTTATTAGTACTAGTCTTATTGAAATTATTGTAATTATTTAACCGTATAAGTGCCTTAAAAATGTATTTGAAAAATATATTTTAGTAATCTCAGCATTTGTTTACTTTTAAAGTGTAATTCAAAACTTCATGTATCTGCACTTACTACAAAATAAAGAGATAACACACTATCTTTGTATTGACGATTTATTCTATGTTTTGCCAATATTTATTTTGCTGCTATTTTATAGGTTATCCTTTTGTTTCAACCATTGTCTCTATAAAATAAAAATGTATATTTATTTAGCAATGTCAATTTGTTTTTTATCTGATGTCATCCCAACAAAATTTTACTATTTGTAGACCTGTTTTATAAGCAATATTGGTCATCATCATCCATCTATATATTAATAGGCAAGCATGTTTCTTTAAAACCTTTTTTCTCAGCTTGTGTGCATCGCAGGGAAAACCTATGCATACTGTTAGAAAGATATTTTTTTGCAGAAGTGCAGAATTCCTTTATAAATTAAAATAGGCTCAAAAATAAGCACAAAAAATGTATTTAAAATTAGAAAAAAATTTACATGCGCCTTATGGGTTGCTATGCTGTTGACGAAATAACAACGAAATATAAACAGAAAATCAAAACAAATGGAAGAAATTCCAATCACATGTTTTATTCAGTCTAGGGTGAAAATAGAGAAGCCTGTACATTACAAATTTTTGATGAAATGTTCGACCACTGGACGACCTATAGTATTATTTAAATATGTAAGCTTAAAGGGAAGTCGACTATGAATAACTGTGAAATCTATGGTAGCTTACAATGTTTGGTGCAAATTTACAAAGTCTTATTTTTTATTGAAAATAAGTTAGCTTAATAGATTAAAATTAAAATAACTATTGGCGTAGTAAAAATGGTCATGTATTCTCTAACAACGTAAATGAGCTCTGTTTTGAGGATGTGTTGGGTTTCACAGGCTAAATAATTAAAAACTATTGTAAAACTAATTTATTAAAACAAAATTATATCTACAACCGTTAAAAATATACAAAAATATACAATACTTTTTTGACTCACAGAAAGCTTTTTATTGACTACTTGCTGGCTTGAGGAACGATGGTTCGGTGACCAACTGTATCATTGGAGCATTGAAATAGTGCTCGAATATGATAATCTGAAAAATAAAATAATCACTTCTTATAAAGTAATGCACATTCTACTTATAAAATCAAATTAAAACTTTAAAACTAACATTAATCATAAAATTTTTTATCTTATAATTTTCCCCAATCAAACAAAACAAATAAAGGATGTAAAATGAAATTTAGGGATGAAAATGCTAATCTACCACTTTCCCAGAACCTCAAATTGTATTATTAGGAAACTTTATAAAAGAATGCTGCACATTAGCAAGAAAGAGTTCAAATGTGTCATCACAATAGCCACCATTGATTACCTTATTAGTCTGCTGATCATCCCCCAACAGTACTATTTTTTTTTATTTATGCTTAAAAACAGAAGTCAGGCAAAACAGAATTTATGTACTTACTTACCTTACCTTACTATAGTCCATTCACAAAATGTTTGGCAGTTTTGGGGGAAGTTCCCCTTACTTTTCTTTCTTAATGTTTCAGCAGATTTTCGTTATGGCAACCCTCAGCTCATTGCTTTAAAGTTAGGATCAAGTAGAAGGGATAGATTTCTTCCCCTAAAATGGCCTACATTTTGTGAAGACATAGATTAAAATTGAATACCTTACAAGATTAAAATTAAATGTTGCTTCCACACTATTTGAAAAGTTAAGAGAACAGAAATATTCCAAATTTAGTGCAAATAGTTTGGCATTCTTCTACTATCCTGACAACATTTCTATAAGTTGTATGTTTTCTTACCGTATTCTGTCCCGCTCGGAGCAGAGGCGCTGGGATATACATCGTCTGTTGTGGTCCTCCGGCGAAGTATCGTCCGATGTTGAAGCCATTGACATACACAACTCCCTGCTTCCACCCTCGTACATCCAGAAATGTGTCCGATATCTTGTCTGAACTCAAACCAAAAGAGGCCTTCACTAAACTGGGAGCTGCCTTCTCACCCACGGTCACACGGTCTTGCCAACCCGGCAAGCTGAAAACAATAATTTTAACTTCGACTGGTAGTTCAAAATGTTATCTTAATGGATCCTTCCTTCTAAAGACAAATCAAAGTGAATTTAGATTAATTATATCCCTAATGAAATGTTTTAAGGGGTCAGAAATCACCTTGGTTGATCCTTTTTTAAAGATCTTATACTCCAAGAATGTTTGAAAATTTTATGATACCACAATGTCAGCAAAATTTTCTATGTTACCACGAGTGGTGAAGAATCTAGCGATGATACCACAGACGTCATCGAAGATAGTATTATAACTGTGAAAATGGGGAATATAACATCATCTAATAATGCCAACATTTTTTGCGACCGCAGATGCACAAACTTTAACTGCAACCGCATGATTTTCCCATGGATAATATTCGGTCCTAGTTAGTTCAGCATTGTGGGATTCTGTATTTAGCAGGCTCACCTAGTGACCCAGTCAGCCAGGAACGGCATCCCAGTGACATCAATACCAGATGTGAACTCTCCTCCTGTGAGGGACATCTGGTTGTCAGGTCCCAGTCCTTTCTTCTGCATCAACCACTCCAACGTCTTGACGAAGTTGATCCTGCCACAGTTCTCCACAAGGATCTCCAGTGTGTAGTCCCCAGGATCGACTGACAACTCCAACTCTTCCTCTCTACACAGAATATACGTTAAATGTCACATTTGGCCAGATTCCTAAATGACCAGCGCAGGTACCGGGACCGTATTTATTGTGTGCGTGTGACAGTAATGTCTTTTATGTTATTTGTACCCTGACAATGCTCTATTAACGGTGAAACATGTAGGTTTTTAACCTCACATCAGCAACAGTTGAATTACTTGACGAGGTAATTAAACCAAAATATTATAGTAATTTTATATAAAATACTTTTGGATACTTTGTACGGGTTTTCTATTTATTGAGCCACGACTCTTTAACATTCAGAAAGGCTTATATCCTTAAAAAACCGTAAATACTGAGTTTTGTAGCAAAACTAAATTAAAAGAAAGTTTATAGCCTACTATTACTATTACTTACTGAGAGGCCCAAAATCCAAACTGTGTAGTCTCCATGCCATCATTGAGGATTATGGTTTGTCTCTTTCCATTCACCAACACGATGGCAATGTCTCTGATTCTACCAGTCAGCCTGGAACAATGGGAATTGTGTTACAAACTAACTTAAACAATAACATTTACAGAGCCAATTTTAATGTCAAGGCTACCTTGTTTGCTCTCCCAATCAAAGGACTTTAGGCAAATGTACTTGATTGTGCTTTCTGGTTGTTTTAGTGTTGCATTACCACACTTCTCTGCTATAGTTCGGCCGCTTAGATAGCGACCTGAGCGCTAAAGCAAACCAATGCTAGAGGAGGTCGTTATCTAAGCGGCCGAACTATACCAGACATGTCTTGGTCTCAGTGTAAACACATACCTTTCGCTGGGAATACGAGTATCTCTTTATATTATTTCTTACGGATAGAGGTCTTTTTACTGTGTTTTTACTGTGTGTACTGTATTTTTTTAAATTTATTTGTGATGATGGTTTCAAACTAGGAAAATTTGTGTTTGTGGTTTAAAGCGTTCCCTTACTGCGTTACTCGAACTTTTCAGTTATCTAACTTATAGGTTGCAAGATTAAGACTCTACTGAATTTCCATCATCCTAAGAACATAAACACGTAACCTGAAAGATATTAGCAAAAGTCTCCTGTATATAGATATCATCTTTTGTCATGTTTGCATGAATATATTCCATTTCCTCCTAGGGTGTGTTAGATAGTTAAATGTATAAGTAATTAATACATCAGCTGATTTATTATTATTAAGTTTGTTAGTAAATATTCTGAATTCTACAGGGTGTACCTGAGTTTAGCTTTAGGCTGAGTCACTTTCAGCCCCCTGGTGTATCTGACGTATCCATAGCTTTGTTTCCACCCCCTCTCATCAGCTGGCAGATCCTCCATGAAAATAAAGTCCTTCCTGTTCTTCAGAACGCCTTGTGGTTCAGGCTGTTGCGGTAAACAGAAATTATTGTCAGTAACATAAATTAAATAGCCTACAACTAAGAAATGAGTAGGTAAAAATTGTACTTCGGTTAAGTGCTAGCGTTCCTCTTCGTTAGTAAAAAGGATCAAATGTGTTAGAAGGACAAAATTGCACATTTTATAGGGTTCTAACCTAATTCCAAGGTAAAATAATAATGCAAAACACTTTTCTTTTCAAAGATTACCCCATAAGGCCGGCCGCACACTGATCAGACAAAACGTCTTTTGACAAAACATTTTGTCGGAAGACGTCTTGTCGGAAAACAAAAATGTTATATAGGTGTGCGATGGTCTCAGACAAAAGACAAAAACAGGAGGGAAAACTAAATTCAGTCAGCCGTAGACCAGTGTTGTGAAAAGCCAGAGATTGTGTGGTGTTAATAAAATGGATGAGGAAGTGGACGTAGCAATTATGTTGTGGAACAACAACTTGCAGAACTAAACGAAGGAAGGTTGCATACATTTTCTGTATTATCTGCATGAATCTTAAATGAACAAGTACTAACTGTAAAGAAAATTATTACAAAATATGGAATAAGCTGAAATATTTGAAATTGAAATAACATTTCTTTTTTTTCTGCATCAATCGAAAATAAACAACCACTAACTGTAAGACAAATTATCACAATATATAGATAAGTTGAAATATTTAAAATTCAAATATTGTTTTATTATTTTCTGCATGAATCGAAAATGAACTACTGTACTACCAACTGCAAGAAAAATTATTATACATAGATAAGTTGTACTGTATCCGCCCTCCGCACATGCGCAGAACTATTTGTCTGATCGCGTTTTGGCTTCAGACGAAATATTGGAGGCGATCACAAAAACACCCAAAAACGTCTTCAGACAAAACAACGCGTCTGAAGCCTCTGTTGCATCAGTGTGCGATGCCTCCATTTAACTGCATAGTAGGCCACTCCCTTCCGACGTCTTTCGACAAAAGGTTTTGTCAAAAGACGTTTTGTCGCATCAGTGTGCGGCCGGCCTAAAGACTGAAGAGTGATTTACCTTCCTCAATCAGGTTGTAATTATCAAAAAAGTAGCATATTTAAAATCCATTTTCATTAGCTGTTTTGTCTGTCTCTTGTTTACAATCTGACTGTGGTTATTCTTAAACTGAAGGATCATTTGGTAGATTAAAGTTAATACTTAAACGGTTTATAAAGAAAGTTTTTCAGCAGCACTGGGCCTTTTAAAACACCTCAATCGTGAAAAACTATCTCTAAACTAATATAGTATAAAAATTTAAATTAAATGGTGTGTGTGGGTGTATGTTGATGTATGTGTATGTCTGATGTTGTGTTTCGTATTTATAATGTTGTCCTTATCTTTATTGTGTTGATAAATGTGGAAATGTGAAAGAAAAATTTCAATAAACGTAGGTTCTAGTACCTGAGGAGTCATAAATTTAAAATATAAAACTTGTCATCAAATATTTTAAAATTTGCATGTTTACCAGCTGTTTAACAATCTGCGTCCAAGGTAACTCCTGGGTGATCAACAGAGAGAGGGAGAGTGTACGAGGTAGTACAGGTGGAGGGGGAGGGTGGTACAGGTTGGGGTGCAAGTTGCGGAACATCTGCAGAGTTGCGGAGTACTTAGGTGTGTAGTCACCAGCTTCAGTCACCAAGGCATCATAGTCTGAAACGCATACGTAGGTATAGTGTATTGTTTTTAGGAAATCTTATATCTAGGGTCCAATATGAAGAAAGTTTCTATGCTTGAATTTTTCCTCAGATTTTGCTCTAAAAATTATATTAGGTTATGGAGTGGATGAACTGTGTAGCTTAGTTACTGAGCTCAGTTTTGTCTTCTCTTAACCCAGAATTATTTGTTATAAGCCCTCAACGTAACTATGTTCTGGTTAAAAAATAAGTCATACAGCCAGTGTATTGGGCAACTAAAATCTATTTTTGCAATAATATGAAATTAAACTAGAATAAGTTCACTTGCCTGAATGGCAAAGAGTCCAAACCATTAGAAGATAATTGACAGCAATTTCAACTAAGAAAGATAGTTGAAGACGGTGTCACTCTTCAGATTACACCTTCTTAGTTGAAAACGCTGTCAGTAAAATATTTTAATGTTTTTTGTTATGTTTCTTGTCCCAGTTTGGACTCATCAAGTAAGCCTGCCATCCTAACAGTACTGAAAATCCTAAAAAACCTAGGCCCTTCTGTTCTATGTTACATCCTTGAAATGAGTTCACATTGGCCTTGCAGGTTACGTTAGTTACATAATAACAAATAGAATGTGAATAGAAGTGCATTAACATATCCTTATAACAAATTATCAGTATTGGAACCACTGAGAAAATACTACACTAAGATCTCTACTAGTAACTATTGGGAAAAAGTGTAATGATTTTCTCTTGAGTAAAGTTTGATCTATAAAATGTTTTGCTACGTCCATGATCTAAAGGCTTGGGGAGCGAGCTGGTCTAGTGGTATAGCTTCAGTGCTCCGGAGCCGGAGGTCCCAGGGTCAAACCTTGCCAATCACCAACGGATTTAACTATGTGACGACCATCTGGGAGTAGCCTAGAGTAATAAGTAAAACAGTTCCGGGATAGAACCTAGCATCCTAGGATGTAAAGATAGGACGGAAAAAAAACCAAAGGCTCAATGAAGTCCAACATTTTAATGCTATTTTTGATGAATTTTCTCTAAAATATCTTCTAATAACTCACCATAACTGGATGTATCAGGATGATAAGATTCCTCCGTGTCATCATTGTTCGCTCCGTTTAGGAAACCAAACGTGGTGCCGCCGTGGAAAACATACAGGTTTACTGAGGCAGGGTACTCCAGAATTGTCTTCAGTTTTTGTAAGTATTCTAAAACCAGAAACAAAATCATAATCAACACAATTTTACTACTTTCTTTCTGGATAATTAGTCTTAAACCTGTTACACTAAGTGATTTGTTCACATTGGTGTCAAATTGCATGACAGTAAAACCGGGGCGCTGTTTTTGTTGTTGCTCTCAAAAATATCAATGGTGAGACAATAATTCACAATGTAATGTGATAGCAGGTTGCTACCAAAGGAAAAATTATCATAGTACATACAAAAACACACAATGATTCGTATCCTGGGGCACTTTGTCAAGTGTATACAAAGAGAGTGTTCTACACTTCACAGCTCTTTTGTCTAACTATCTTTGTCTACACTTGACAAAGTGCCCCAGGGGGACAAAATATCGTGTTTTTTTCTGTGCCTTTTGTGTGTACTACGGACTACTTCTAAAGTAAGCTAGCAGATATTCCTTTATTATATAGATCATAATCCTACCTATAAGTCTGTCATTGAACAAATCAAATGTAATATTTAATTTAGACGAATAATGATTACACAAAACCTGTTGTGAGAAATGTTTAGTAAGGGTTAATACGTTCGCTGCGGCCCACCAAATGGCGGGCGTAGCCCTTGTGCGGCGCAGCATCGAGCGGATCTGTTTTGCTTTAAAATATTTCGGTCTGACGAATAGCAAATGACGTGCGGTGATGTTCTGCGTTACGACGACTGTCGACGTAGTTTGCTGAAATACTCACAGATAGCAGCACTGTCTGGAACCAGCCGGTCCCATTGTATTGCCAATAGGAGGGGGAGAAAACGGGACAACATGTTGATTTCTAAGCTTACTAAAAGGGGATTTTACGGGGAAATTTACTACCAACCTACACCACAATAAAGCACCCATTCCTAGCTAAACGCAGATATAAAAATACCCGTTCTTCCCGGTGTGCTGCTGCTCAGAAATTTAAAGGAATGCAGGCGATGCCGCCACTCACCGGTGAGCGTTCAGCATGGCAGCAGTGAGTGGCAAGCAGCGAACATGTTAAATAAAATGTCTAAATCTGTTGTCTCTTTGGCAAGGAAATAGCTCAGTAGATTAGGGGCCGTAGTCAGTTCTGGTCCACAATCATGAGCTGCCAGAGTTTAAAAGGCTAATCAAGTTATCAGTGACTAGTTGGACTCACCTAGAGCAGGGAAGACTTCATGAACAGGTTTGTCCCAATGGTCAAACCACCCAGTCCAGAACTCTGTGACCAAGATAGGTTTGTCAGGCTGGAGCTGCCTCAGGGTCGCCAACTGTAGCTCAGGATCCATCTTAAAGTTGGCCGTCTGGAGCACTGCGGCAAAGACAAATTGTAGAAAAAGCAACAAACACTTTTATATGGTTATTTAATTGCAGAGCTATGAACAAACACTATCTGTTATATGTCTAGTAATTTTAATTTGTGTAGCTTTTGGTGGGAGGTCAATTAATCATAATCTTACAGGTTCTCCGATGGTTTAACACGTTCGTGGCGGCACGTCAAATGGCGGGCGTATCCCCAGTGCGGCGCAGCCCTCAGCGTCGAACAAACCCGATTGGCTTTCCAATTTTGGTCTGACGAATAGCAAATAACGTGCGAGGATGTCCTGCTTTACAACGAGAGTCGACGTAGTTCGCTAAACACCCACAGATAGCACTGCTTGGAACGTAGCCGGTCCCATTGGAATTTTATTGCCAAATGGAGGGAAAAAGACGGGACAAAAAGTAGATTTTTGAGATTGCCAGATGGGGATTTTACGGGGAAATTTACTACCAACCTGCACCACAACAAAATACAGTATACTATTGAGCAGTGCTGTGCGAGGTTTCAAGTTTCTAGCTCTAATCCTAGCTTAAAAATCAATCATTTCGTACTGCATTGTAGCTTGGGAGCGATTGCACCCACCAGGATGGCGTTAGGGTTCCGTATGGGAGCGATCGCACCCATGCCGCCGCGAACGTGTTAACTTCAGTTGTCACATTTTTGTTCAACTTGGTGATAAATTATGATGGGTACAATAAAAATACACTTAATTTTTTGATTATATTCATTATGTTTTCTTTATTATTTTATATGAGATCAAATATTAAATTTTTTATTTAAATTGGAAGTTGGGTAGGCAAAGCGGCGACAGGGTATCCTAGATGGTCATATGGAGATGCTACATTTACAACAAAACATTGGAATAGATAAATATCTAGAAGGAAATACACTGCATAAAATGTTACCCAGGTTAAATGCTGGTCTTATATTAGACCAAGGAATTTAGTGAGCTCCACTTGATCTAATTTTGAACCTTTACGATAAATAGCTGGATGTAAATTTACACAACTATACTTCTGCATGAATTTACCATTGAGCTCCGGAATCGCTCCGGTTTCCAAAGAAGGCTCCGGGGAGTCGGCAGTGAAGTAGAGACCTTTCACACCGTATCTATCCATCATCTTCTTCAGCTCCACCATGTACTGATGCTCTGGGCTGCGAAGGGATCCGTACTCATTCTCTACCTGAGCAAGCACTCTAAGTTAGTGGATAGATGGAAAAGAATTGATGGTAAAGGATAAAGTCAAATCCAGGAATCCTAGGATATGAATTCTGAATAATTGAGGCACAGATCTTGAATCCAAGAATTCTCCTAGAATACAGTATGTAAATTAATGTCTTGATCATCTATCTAGGTATCGTGGTAGCATCATTATTGTTTCTTGTGATCCCCAAAAAATTGCAATATTTTACATTCCAAAAGGCCAACTTACTTAAATTGTACCTAAAACAAATATAAAACCTCAACAATTTCACAAATTTTCATATAAGATTCCATTACATTTTAATCCTTGAATGGAGCAAATTGAATATTGAATATCTTTTGTTGAGATTCAGAAAATTCTATATTTAGATTTGACACATCACTATGTTAGGTAAAATCGCCAACAATTAGTAGGAAAATTTTCTCTTGATGCAATTAATACAGCACACTAAAAAGCTGGTTTACTTGTTCTAGACAGTAAGGCTCATTTGCTGCCGCAACCGTTGGTGGATGCCACGAGTTTAGTAGTAGCCATTACAGTGGGTTCCAGCTGTTCCAGGACTACCAACCTTAGCATTTCCACTCACCTCTAGAACGTAGGGATTGTACAGGTATTCTACAACAATTTCTGTATGTTACATAGTTTGATAAACGTTCCTTTATAGTTCGGGAGCAAACACTCGTTGACCTTGGATTGCATTGGGGATTCAACTTCTCCTCTAAAGAAGGATTTTATCATGTTAAGGAGCACTAGACGATGTTAGAAGCGGTGAGTTGTAGAATACGAAAGCTCCCAAATAAAGTTATGCTCGTTGAGGCCGCACATTTCTGCAATTTTTGGGTGCACTAGCAGAGATTTACCCCGCCCAGTATAATAACTCTCCTTTAACTTAATGCACTTACCAAGCTGCATGTCACAGCTACGAGTGTCGTGCCACTGAGCGTAAAAAGACCCTTACTTGTTTATGAGCGGCATTTATCCAAAAGAAATTGTTTGGAAGTCAACTAAATAAAATCATACACATTTTTAATAGCCCGGCTCTAAAAAAGAGCCAATTGATCAAAAAGAACCTAAATATGCCTTGAAGGCCTTATATCTATATAATTGATAGGTTCGGCCACAGAAAAGCTAGATACAAAGGAAACATTCAATGGTACACTTAAGCCGTGTCTAGCACCAGTCACTTGTGTGTAGTGCAAATTCTATTGGTCGTCCCCTTCTGCTCTCCTCTCCCCCCTCACCCTCACGTACAACAGTGCTCACTCTGTAGCAAGATCCTGTGCGCTACAACTACTGTTGTAAACAATAGCCGTTCAGGCTCTTTCTTGCTCAGTACAAGTATATTTTATTTTTCACCCCACCATTCCAGCACACGGTTGTTCCATAAGCATGTTTCCTCTGTATCTTACTTCTCTGTGATTTGACTAATACATCTACCCAACCTGAAACATGATGATTGGTCCACCATTGGCCATCTGTAGAGGGGTCACTAGAGGCAGCAGCTGTCCAAAGTACTTGTCTACACGACTGAGGAACTTGGGATCTGTAGATCTGACCTTGGCTCCATCAGCCAACAAGTAGCTGCGGACAGGCAAAAAATACATCAGATAACATGGAACGTCCATCCATAGTATCCCTATCAAAGAAAATGTTATCACACTTATATTCCTTCTAGTCCTGTTTGGATTAGGTTTGAATCAATAGGACCACTGTAGGCTATATTATTTGAATCCTTTTTAATTGTCATAAAAAACAATCCACAAATTACAACTATATATTTGATACACGCACCATGCTATACATATTAGGCCTATAATTAAAGTGGTTTAAATACCTGTAATGTTGATAATCCAAGTGGTTGTGTAACAACTAGTTTCGGCTCACAATGGAGCCTTCTTCAGGTTTTTCCAAGGACATTGTCACTTCTTCCTGAATAATAAACCTGAATCTAGTATTGACAACATAAAGTGTACTTATTTACCTCGGAAGCCCTCCAAAATCCCATTCGGCACAAATGTAAGGACCAGGACGAAATATCACAAGAAGATCCTCTTCTTTGGCCATGTTGATGAATTTCACAACATCAAGAAACCGAGACATTTCAAAACCTCCGTCCCCAAAGTCATATACATCTTTGTACGGTTCGTGTAAGTTCCATGGGGCATATCTGGAACAAACTGTAAATGTATTGTTCTGTTTTTAAAGTAAAGATGTATCAGTATATTTACCGTTCAACAACAAAATAAAATGGCTAATATTTTGAAACTGCACTAAAACCTATCAGGCTATGATTATGCTTAAACTAATGTGGGATTAATTTTTTTATGTTTACTGGCTGGGGTTAATATATTTGCTAATCAATCAGGTTCTTATTACTGAACACAAATGAGGCATATGACATTCAAAACAACAAACCTTTTCTTGTTTTCTATAACATGAGGATCAAAGTGTTTATCTAGGCTTGATTTTAAAATAGAACAAAAATCCAAAGCGGATCAACATTTCTAAAACTCATTCCTAGTGACAAAAAAGAGGCTAATTATAATAAGTTTTTAAAATCTCTCCATGATTATTTGTTTAGTTTGGATATTTTATTACACGTTTCAAGGCAAAAGGAAAGTCACATCACTTGGTCATTTGGTAATAAATAAAATAATCTCACGTTTCAACAGCGACAGCTCCCAAAGCACGCAGTTTCCGCAGTCTGTCTCGCCAGTAGTGCGGATGCACTCGGAAGTAATGTATCGTCCCACTGGTAATGGTTAGATTGAGGCCGTTCAGTGTGAAAACGTTTGGATTTGTCGTTGTCAAACCTACATTAGGTCCGTCTATCCCATAATACCTGTATACTGTTGCTGGTAGGGACGCCATCTTTAGGTATATGATAGAAGTGATGAGGACAAAAACTGTAAAATAAAAAATTTTGGTTACGGATTAAGATTAAATGGCTTAGATGGATTAGATGGATTAGATGGTTGACTGTCTTTTTAGTTACGGTATCTAATTTAAAATAGTACAACATTAATAGCTGGAGGGTTCTGGCATTTCTGTGTCCATACTACGTCACGAAGAATAATATAATTATGGGAGAGAGTGGAGCGCATTTGTAACTTGTACGTCGAACTACCGCCCTACTTGAGTGTGAACTGCAAGGAGGGAATTTTTTATGGTGGGACAGTTGGCAGCGCTTTTGTATTTTGTCTAATCAAAAGTGAGTAGAATAGTGTTCATGTCGGCTTCACCTGGTCACAGACTGCTTTATTGTTTATGTTTACATTAACACTGTTTTTTAAATATCTTTTAAAATTAAATTGCTTATAAAGTCTTTATTCATTTTCGAGTGTTATTGATCTTAATAGACAATAGACCTACAGGTAGTACGCTCAAGGGTCGGCCTCTTCGCTGCACAACAGTACAAAACAGCCAACCCTTTAAAAAATGACCAAACACTATTGAACAGGTTCAAACTATACAAACTATTATGTAGGCCTATATCATGCTGAAGATGATGTCGCAAACAACTTTCAATTATATGTCTATTTTTTGTATGCCTATGTCTATTTTTTGTAAGTAAATTGACTTTTTAAAGGAGTCTTCAGTAGTGATGCGACCTTGAAGAAAGTCCCATAAAACTAATATAAACTTGTGACCGCATAGGCCTAACGCCTTCCCAGGTTGCCATAAAAATATAATTTTAATTTAAAATTAAAGGTATAACTGTTTTCTAGGGAAATGCCTTTTTATTTTATTGAAAACAAACTGTACAGAAAATTAGATTTTTTTCCAAAAAATGAAAAGGCATTTCCCTAGAGAACAGTCATACCTTTATTTTGACAACAAAATGATATCACGGCACTACTGAGTACTCTTAAATAATCGCCGTGGCCAAATATTCAGCAGCTATGCTACCTGAAAAAATCTATGAGATATAAAAAAAAACTTGCTAAAACACACAAATCTAACCATTTAAAATTCCTATGAGATATTTTATAAAATAGCTTATCACCTAAATGGGAAATTCGCTAAAACTTGCTAAAACACACAAAACTTACTATTTTGCACCTAAAATTACAAAAAGCTTCAGGGGGAAGACCCCGGTCCCTCGTTTTGCAGGTACTAAAAAACCAGCAGGTACTTTTGCCCAGTACTATTCACCAAAGGCGCCATATACTTTTGCTACCTGTCCCTGCAGTTAAGTGTAAATATATTATTACAAGTGTTATTTGACATATTTTTTTTTTTATTTTCAGGTAACCTATTATTAACAAAATTGCACATTTTTGCAACAACATATATTCAAATCCAAAATAATAGGCTACTCATTAAATAATTATGATATTAGCCAATGTACAAAGATTCTTACCCGTCACATCAAAAGACAAAATTCAACGTTGAGACCAACATTTTAATTATCTAATGCAAACACTTGAGTCTTTATATCTTTTAAAGATTAAACCTATCACACAATAAAAACACTTCAAATCCAGTCATTGTGATCTGTAGGCCTACACTAAGCTTTGGGCCTTAGGCCGTTTCGTTTATGATGTGAGGTAGGATAAAAAGTACACTAACTATTATGAATCAACTCAATTCCAAAACACACTATACATTTAGAAAAAAACAAGTGTTGCAAGCAAAACAGGCGTTGTATGCAATCCCAATTAATCTCAATAGAGTCGGACAACATTTATTTAAAGTGGGCCTCTCCCACCCAGCTAAGCCACACACTATCGAGCTTAGTATGGATTGCACACGTATCTAGGATTCAAATTCGCCCAGTTAGAAAGATCTCAACGCTACACTCTACAGTGTAACACCTTAACCAACTGAGCTACCATGCCACCGTCGGCCAAGTGTGAGAAGTTCTATGATAGGCACACTAGCGCTCGCAGGTGAGATTCAACGAACTAAAGCCCCGTGCTATGTACTCGGTCTTAGGTTTTAAAATGTTAAGAACCTGGGTATTGATTTATTTTTTAAATTATAAGCACTGTGACGCTTAGCGCCACTATTTTATATAGTGCCACACAACTAAATCGCTGGCCTTGCGATCGGCACGCCTCCTTCGGTCTGCCGCTTGCCTTTTTTTCGAGAAACGTCAGGGAGCTACGAAATCGAGTTTTCCTCCGTCTTGTCTCTTGCCGCCTACCGTTGGAAAACCCTGCCGATCGCCCCCTTCTCATCTCTCCATGTCCTTCAAAAATCAGGATAAGTCGTTAATTATTAAATAGTGTTAGGATTAAGATGACAGGCTAGTTTAATTATTTAAGGGGAAGCCGGCAGGCTTTCGCCCCATTCGTAGAAATGTAAATTCCAAATTATATGATTACCTCGCTTAACGAGGTAATCATTCCTAGACATGCAATAATCACCACGTTGAAGTATTAATTCATTCAGGAATCGCCTTATGAGTCCAAATTGGATCAGTAACGAGCTAGGGAACGAAATTTACCTGTTTTATCATCATTTCCATTTTACACTAATTAGCAGTTTAGTTTGGAAGGTTAGCTATAGTTCTGTTTAATAGTTAAAAATAAGTAATCAAAGCTGGCTTGGCCTGCTTCTGGTCTGGGTAAAGATTTCCGCCCTCTGGTTCCCCAACAACGTTTCCAATTAAATTGTCATTTTAAGATGGTAGTAGAGTACAGCACTTTCTTAATTGCAACATGCTAGGGTCCTCCAGGCCCTAGCACCCACAACAGCCAATTACCAACACATTTCACTTAATTACAATCAATACATCACATCACCACAGAATCCATAACCAGTTTTCACCAATTATCTCTCCTTAGGGCCACAGCACAAGTTCATAAAATACTAACAACCAAGAAACAAACCAACATAATTTTTAAGATTCAAACAATCAAATCAATATTGTTTGTAATATGAATACAACCTCAGAGCAGAAAAGTTTAGTAAAAGTATTATTAAGTCAACAAATAAAGATCAAGTATGTCTAATTACCAATGAAAAGTAAACTTCCGACAAAAAATACTTTTGAAAATGTAAGTCTGACCATGATAGAATGCCAAACTTTGCTCTAAATAACTAGGTTAGGTACAACACTTTCAAAGCCACTGGTGCGAAACAGCTCAGAACAAGGCCACTATTTGTTTAAACAGTAGGCTTATTAAAATTAATGAGAGCCAGACATTTTATGTATGCTGTGTGCATACAAGTTGGAAATGTGTAGCCTTGGATATTTTAGGTGCAAAAATTTTTCCCCAGCTCAAAGCAAAGTTGTTAGCAGTTTATTACAATGTATAAAAGTCAGAAATAGTTTACAAATTTGGTAAATCTATTTTTTGGTATTAAAATCCAAGATAAATATGTAGTTAAACTTTCGTTTTTTTTTTTTTTTTTTTTTTTTCCTCTAAGGACGCTAGGCACGAGCCTGGAAAATTGTTTTTCACATTACTTCAGGCTAAACCTAGGGGTTGTGGCACTATCACTCAGATAAAATCCATTGGTGATCTGGCGGGATTTGAACCCGGGACCCCTGGAACCGAAGTCCCACGCTCTAACCACTAGACCAGCTCACTCCCCAAACTTTCGTAAATTAACAATTTGATGCAAGTCACTTTCAGACTTACCGGTAGCCTATAACTGAAGAGACGATATTACTTTGAGAGTAAATTTACTTGGGTAATAATCTGCTACAGTCCCAAATTTAATTTGTAATCTAGAATTGGGTTTAATATTCTCACTGAATGCTTGATAAATTTGTACAGAACATTTTCAAAGTTTACAACATAAATTATAGGTATGTTTAGTTCAATCACAACTTAATAGGTTAAGTTATTAACATAATATTCTCTAATTTTACAACTATTTAGTGCTAGGAAAATGTTGGACACAGATGACCTACAACCCTGCAATGAAACAAAACATTGTGTAATGCGTTTAAGGATCTGATAAACTGAAACTCTGTTCAAGGTATCACTTTGAACTTTGAATTCAATTAAAATCCTTAAACAGTAACAGAACTTACAACAAGAATATCTACTCTAGATATAATTTACTGTGATCTGTAAAAGAACCAAAAACCTCATTATGAGCAGTCTTCTTTGGTTTGCCCATTGGGACCAAACAAAAACAACAAAACAAAGGATTTCCTTCGTCTAAAGAACACATTTCCCCACATCTTTCACCATGAATCGCCCAGTTTGCTACAAGGAATGATATAGGCCTCTAATGACCGAAGGGGACTTCCACACACATTCGGTAAAATAGACGGTAAGTTACTTTATTTATTTAACTTAAATTTGTAACAGCACAAATAGGCATAACGGTACAAGATCCAGTATCAAAAAAAAATTTAAGACTGAGAAGGAGAAGCAGTAACTTAAGTTAATGAGATACTTAACAACCAACTAAGTTTACTCACCAAAAATCTTGAGTACAGTATTTCTTCTACAGCAGCTTCTAACATATTGGAATATCTTGACTACTGTTCGCTCAAAATTTGTCACCATTTTGTTCTTGAACAAGGATACTTTTTATCACATTTCTGTAAAGTTAATGAGTTTAAAAATAAGAAATAAGCATACTGTGACACCAAGTTTTTCTGTTCTCTTAAAATACTACCTCAGTGTTTCCCAACCAGCGTGCCGCGGCACACTGGTGTGCCAGTAGGCCTCTGTAGGTGTGCCGCGAAATTTTAAGTAGTTAAACCATTTTTGATCAAGAGAGAAACTTTTAATAAACAAACGTCAAGCACAAGTTTCCCGCTAGAACTGAAACCAGGGTTTATTTAATATTTCTCACTCATTATTGGTAAATTTATACAACATTTTAATCAAGCTCAATGTGTTATTATTATTTAAAACTTCCCACTTAATAAACACTAAGTACATATGTTGGATAACAAATGTGAGTTTTATATTTTTTACCTTGGTAAACCCACCTTTATATTATATACATATATATATATATATATATATATATATTTACTAGTAAAAAATAGGTTATACCGAGTAAGATGTAATAAAAAAAAAATTTTTTTATGCACTTACTAGATGTAACTTTAACCAACGATATTTTGTAGACAAGAGTGCCGTGACTCCAAACTTGGGAAACACTGTACTACCTTTTTCCAAAGAGTTGTAGAAGCAGGCACAGTTCCACAGAGAACCTACAATATACCAAATCCCCCCCCCACCCCCTGTGACATTTTCATTTGATATTTTAAATGTTAATCAAGATAAGTTACCCTATCCATTGAACAACTTTTTTGTGATATTTCCTTTGATATAAATATTTAATTTCTGTTATAGGTTTATTTAAGAAGAGGGCCGCCCGCCAATCTTTCACTATGCTCTGCGGTGTATGCCTAACTTACGCTTGGTTAGTTTAGTTCAATTTAACTTAGTGTATGATAATAACAAATAAGGCACCATTTCTGATTTACTTTTTTCCAAACTCATGAAAAAATGGACACAAATACAAATTGACGCCTTTGTAAATTAATCTTAACAATTAACTTAAGTTACACAACATTAATCAACTTTTGTTTTCGTAAATGTTACCTTGTTTGTTATTAAGTTAGTTTATCATCAACTTGAATCAACTTTAAGCCAAACTACACTAACTTAAATGTCTTAAGTTACTAATCTAATCAAACCGTTGCAGCAAAAGAAAGAAGTCTCCTTGAAAAGACCTTAAGTTTATGGTGCCTTAAAATGTTCATATTCAATACATACAATCAATAATATCGCGTGAGAACTAACTTATATCCGAGTACAGTTCCACAGATGACCTAAGACCTAAGATCGATGTAATAAATATCAATACGGTATAACTTATTTTGATTAACTTATACTTAAAATAATTTGGTTTAATAATACATTTGATTTATATTTTAATATTTGATTTGTTTTAATATTGCATTGAATTTAATTTTACCATGATATAAATTAAAAACAATAACAAAATCATTAATTAAGTTGTTTCTTTTCTTTTTAATGTTTTACAAACCTAACCTGCCTTGTTAAACTTTCCTATCCCAAGCGTGATTTATACAACTTCCTTACTTCTCGAGTGATGTAAAGTTGAAAAAAACTCACTCGGTGATGTAATGAAACCCATTTAAATAACATTGAGTGCTTTATTTACTTAAAAATATGAGTACCTCTATAATGGAGCCAACGACATTCAATGCTAGAAATCAGCTGTGCGCTTGAATGTTATTGTTATGCTTTAAGTATTTTCCTAACCTAGCTTTTGTTTGTAAAATAACGTTACTGTAAGAAGATGAGTGAAATGGATAGCCTAATGAAAAATATTGTACGTAACCCTATGTATATTGTCGGGTCAGGTAAAATCTTGTACGTTACATGTTACACAAGAGCGTGTTTACATCACTTAGGTGAATTATGCAACTAGCTTCTGGTCGTTGCACAACATTCACCTGCGTGATGTAAAAACGCTCATACTACACTTGTAATGTTAACTTAAGCTATTACACTTAAGTTATTAAACAAGTTATTAATAAGTTAATAACGTAAACAGATCATAATTCTCAATTCGATGCTTACACAGGAAAAAACACTTTTAAAGCAATATAACAACTTATTGAACCAAATTATTATCACTAGGCTTAGGCTTAGGCTAAGCCATATAAAAATAGTATTGAAACCGATAATATTCAGTGACTATAAGTTTGAAAAAGATCTATGCCTACCAATCTAATATACTGTATAATCATAAGAAATAATTTATTTATCTATTCATCCTAACGCAAACACCAGTTTACAAACAATACATTAATAATTTACAAAGTGCAGGATAAATTAATGATCAGGATTTTGTTTTTGTGCACAGGTATATAAAAATATATAAAACTAAACTAACTTGTCCTGTCCCTAATAGCCTACCGAGATTTTATCAAACACCAAATTTGTATAAAAGAGGTTAGAATACTAATTCATTGGATGTTATTTATACCACTTACAGTATAATCTTATATCCACATTAATTTTGATATTAAATAAATACCTTTACCTTAGAATACTGAATTTATAGAAAGGAAGTTATTAGAGTAAAAAGTAACTAATATAAGAGTAAAAATAAAACAATTACAGACAAAAGACCCTAGAAGTAAACAAAACAAAACCGAAAACAACAAAAAAGTCTATTTTCACTTTCACTATTTTCAGCAGCTGCAAATAATTGGAACTGATTTCTGATCCTGTCCAGACTAGGGACAATACAGTTTAAGACCTATGTAGCATCGAATATTGACGCGAGGCTCTTCAAAATTTTTTACGGTACTTCCTACGGCAGAAGTGAGTAGTGTCATTTATTTTTTTTTTTCCAAAATGTTGACCAATTGTTATATATAGAACGGATCATGCTTATTGCTTAGGCCGGGGCCACACGACGCGGATCATCCGCGCGGACAGTCCGCGTGGATGATCCGCGTGGTCCGACAACACATTGAATCAAATGAGAGTGGCCACACGGGGCGATCCTAAGCCGCCCGGGCGGATTGTCCGCGCCATGTCGCGGATTGTCCGCGCGATCATAAGCCGCGTTGGAGGGGATGACACACGTAGTCTTATGAGAGTGGCCACACGATACGGATTGTCCGCGCGGTTGGAGCTCATTTTCAAGCATTTGTAGTGTTTTTTTTTTCAGTTTGTGCTTGTGCGTTTCGGTTTATAGGTGTAAAATGTTCGATACAGACAAATCAATAGAACTTGTTAAAAAAATGTGGGATTTCTCATGTTGTACATTTCTCATGAGGATATCTTCCTTAGTTATATGCGGTCAAAGCAATTGAAGTAGCTCGTCAAACGATGCTATCTACATGCGATAGTAACAATAAAAGACTCCGAACTATGGTTTCGCATGTGCTCGTAAAAGGTTTGGAACACAAATGGTTTATCGGTTATGAAATGATGGACCCAATGATTTCGGTTTGCCTTAGGCTCTAGTTCACCACACGCTTCTCATGCACAAACTAACATACGTGTTTCTTCCATGACTACAACGGTAGTCATGGAAGAAACACGAGAAACACGTTCTCGTTAGAACGAGTGAATTAAACCATTTTATAATCTCAGTACGTAGGCTGGGAAAACTAAACCGGAAGCGGTTCATCCGCTCCGTGTGGCCGGGACATCGTCGCGCGGCTTATGATCGTACGATCATAAGCCGCGCGGACGATCCGCCACGTGTGGCCCCGGCCTTAGATTGATAGTCAAGTGACAAACGACATCTGCCCCATCTGGGTCGGGTAACGACCTCCCTTGGAAGCTGGAATCGAACCAGCGCCCAGCGACCTTATTTTTTTTACAGACACTGATGACATTTTCCAAGGAAGTTTATAAATTTATTGTATTCATCTCCCTCTTCGAGATATATGATCAATGAACGATTAAATATTCCGACAATGAAAATACATTTATTATTTGAAATAAACAAAGCCATTAATTTTAGTTGGAAAAATTGTACATTGACACACTTACTTAATGTGTGGACGGTGCCAAGTGCTACTGTCGCCTTTGACTCGAGCTCAGTGGCGTAACCAGCCGCCCCCGCAGACCCCGCGGTGCGGGGGGGCCCGCGAGGTTTAGGGGCCCGCGAGGTTAAGATACCCTTTTCTCATAAAACCGTCCGTAAAACCGATCCTTTGTTCACGGATGTTTTTCTCTCCTGACAAATTATAAATAAAAAACGATGTGTTGGTAGATACCTTTATTCTGCCAAATCTACTAAAGTTTTATCTTTTAATTAACAATATTGTTAACGAAACGCCAACGCCAACGCTCACTACGATCACCCGTCGATGTGTATTGTCAGTGTGGTTGTGTAGCTTCATGCTAGCGCTAGGAGCTGTGTGCCTGCCTGCCGGCCTGCCGCCGCGCCGTGGCCACACACACTCGGAGCCAGCCCCTCCGCCTCCCCCCTCCCCCACTAACCGCTCACGTGTACTCACCTGACCGTAGATCACCTGATTTTGGAGATCCATTCCATGCGGATTGCGAGTGACTCGTCAGTAGTGCATGTCGCGAGAGTTTCTCAATCAGGTGTCATGTCATTAAATTGGGCTAATTTAGTGAAGCACTAACATTTACAGTTGGGACCACGAAAGTTTGCAGTTGGCGGCAGCCAATCACAAGACTAGTGCGACGTTGCCATATCGCCCTTTGACGACACTAATTAAAATACTAAACAATATTTTTAAAACAGCTGGTATTATTCGATTTGGCAACACCGCACTGCCCTCATTGGCTCATTTGAAGTCAAATGGTAAATAGGCTACTCCCTCAACTGCAAACTTTCGTGGTCCCGACTCAAATTATAGTTGGAAGCTTGGTTGAGTTTAGTAATGAATGTGAATGGTGGAGTAATGGAGTAGCCCATATATATTAATCACGGACATAACTCCCAAGTTTATTATCACTGTGACAGTGACAAAATATAAAATATGTTTCAAGGACGACTCTGGTCGTGTGGTTGAAGAATAGGTAAATACTTGATATTGCTAGAGACCATCCTCTGCCAGTCTGATCGTGTAGGCCGTATGCCTGCCGTCACATACGTCATGTGATAGTTGTGGTGTGGTGATATGGTTGTGGTATATAGTGCTGTGGTGGGGAATGGGAGGGGTAGTAGGAGGCCCACAGACATTTTTGCGGGGGGGCCCGGGGAAATACTGTTACGCCACTGCTCGAGCTCGAGGCAGCGGCCTGGTTGAATTTTCTACGTCATAATTAAGTAGTGCTTTTTCTATAACAAGCTAGCATTGCAGACAGGTGACACCCTCTCATTTAATCGCGTACCCTATTATTAATTTAAATAAATATAAATTTATTTACATAAATTTAAGATTGAATCAAACATATAGTGTTCTGAACCAATACAAAACCAATTGAAATTTGATTTCCGTACATTTAAATGAAATCAGTCAATATTTTCATCGCCCTGTGTGCAAGCTTTCGCATTCATAAAAAATATACAAATAAATATACTCATTCGCTTTTTGCTGCCACCAACAAAACAGCTGTAACGACACAACTGATGCGCGGCCAACTTTAACTCCTGGCCGCGGCCTTTAAAGCGGCAACATGAATAATGAATTACAGTATTCACATTGCAGCCCGGTAGGGTTGTAACAGGTGTTTGGTTTTGGAGGCAGCTAATGGTATTTGTGTCTTTTTTAATATGAAAGCTTAGTTACCGGTACTGGTCTATGCTATGAAAATATTTACTCCACTTTAAATATACAAAAATAGATTTTCAATTTAAATATTGTTTTGGTTTTCGATTCTATGTGTTTAATTTTCAATCTTTTAATACATTTATGTTCATAAACTTAAATTTAAATGAATAATACGCGAATTAATGAACTGGAGTCACCTGTCTACCATCTTATCTTATGGGACGTCTGACACTAAACAAAACCACTTGCAAAGTTGCCAATTTTACCAGAAGTGGTTTAAATACCTGCATTTAAGTAATCCAATTCGTTGCTTGTGTTGCAACCGGTTTCAACTCCGTGGAGTCATCTTCAGGCGTCCAAGGATATAAGTCATATTCACTTCATTTGAAGGTCGTCATAGTTTTTAAAAAACGAATATTCGTTTTTTAAAAACTATGAAAACCAAAAACTATGACGACCTTCAAATGAAGTGAATATGACTTATATCCTTGGACGCCTGAAGATGACTCCACGGAGTTGAAACCGGTTGCAACACAAGCAACGAATTGGATTACTTAAATGCAGGTATTTAAACCACTTTAAGTATTATACAGTAATCCGGAGGCTAACATCCATCAATATGAAATTTTACCAGACCGCGGCCTGGAGTTAAAAGTGGCCGTGAGTCTGCTCTTTTGTCAATGACTGAATATTTCATTTTCTAATTGTTTATAACAGTTAGCTAGTTTAACTATTAGACTCGACTCATGGTGGAATATTAGTCTAATATACATCAATATAAAAATGCAGGATTTATTGTTTTGGTTTAACACTTTAATTTGTATTTAATAATGCTTAATCTAAAACTAACTATAGTTTTTATTTTCATTTTATACACAAGTTTATTATAGTTCTGAAACTATACAGTGAGCACTATTTTACAAGTTTTACCTTACTGGCTGCAAGTAAAGTACGAAAGCTACATATGTTACCATGGCAACGAGTGTTTTCATTGTATTGACATTTTGTCTGCTTTTCTGCTAATCTGCTGTGCTGTCTGCTCTGCTCTGCTGCATTCTGCAGAGAGTGAGACAAAGTTCTTTGGGGTTGGGTTATGTGTTTTTAGCATAATATTGATGATTTAAAATAATCAACGTTTAGTGAAACAGCGATTATAAACAAATTACCGAGATTTATGAGTATATTTTTATTGTTGAGGATAATGTAATCCCAAACTTCAATCTGGGTTACATTTCTATATTCCAACTTGGTGATAACTTAACACCTAGAGGAGTATTAAAAAATTAACTTTATGCTGCGTATTTTTGTAAGATTTTCCAGTTTTCATTAAACTAAAGATGGACCTAGACAGACCAGCTTCCCGAAGTGGTTTACATGATCAACGTCCAGTTACCAGATGGCGTAGAGATGAAAGGCCACCTTCCAGGAGTGGAGTTGCGACAGAGGATACGTCTAGGTATATGGGAGAGGACAGACCGACATCAAGAAGAGGGGCAAAGCCTGAACCAGGGTTTCATGTAAGCGACGGATCATAATCAAACTATTTTAACTAGGCCTAAGTTCTCTAAGGCAGTTTGATTCATCAGTTATTAAGTGTCCAAAGTGAGAAGCAACTGGGGACTATGCACGCCCCTGACAAAAGATAAAAAACTCATGTTAGTATGTTAAGACTTTGTTATAAAAAATATTAAATAAACATTTTAACTAAAATAACCTTCAGATTTGAAGGCAGGCTCCTATAACCATTTAAAAATTATTGGCAATCCAGACAATTATTTGTTGTGATTCATGGGTACTAACCTATCTATATTAAAACATATGATTATGATTAGGGAGACCGGCCAATGACTCAGAGAAGTATGATGATGCGGCCACCATCAGCATCAGCATTCAGTAGTCGTATGACAGGAACATCATCTCGTCTGTCATCTGCGCTGATGACCACACCTCACACTGGAATGGGCATTCTACCTGCACAAGTATGTACAAAGCTTACATACCTACCACTACTTTTTATTAGTACAGTTTACCCTTGTACTGTACCGGCTCACCCCTTGCTTTACTGGATACATTCCACGCACTGGTCTCTGTGAATGTAAGGTAAAAGAGAATGCCAACCTTTTAAATAATAATAATAATAAATGACCACCTTTTTTACTTCTGGTTGTAATACCGCACCTTAATTTGTCAAGGTTCTTCATATGGAGCAGAACATACAATAGGTTATAAGTGTTAGTTAAGTTATGTAATTAAAATGTAAAAAAGTGATCACTAGAAATTTAAAACTTATGTTTAGGGTCACCCAACCTGTGTTTTATAGACAACCTTGACAACACAGTCAACACATGTTACAGTCTAGCTTGAGAGAGCGAGATCGCCTGGTGTCTCAACAGGGAGTGAGTGGGCTGAGAACAGGCACGTCGCGCGGCCCAGCCTCTCGGCAAGTGCAAGACAAGCGATACTTTGAGTCACTTCTGCACCTGAAAACACGAGAACTGGCCAACGAGGTAACTCGCCTACGCAGACAGATTGAGAGCGACTCCAGAGATCAGGCGACATACTTAGTGTACGATAAGCGAGTCAAGGAGATGGCTGCTGAACTCACTGGTGAGTCGATAATTTTTTAATGCATTTTTGAGTCATTATATATGCAGGGTTTGATTTAAGGGAGTAGGCAGTAGAATTGCGTTTGAGGTTTCATCCTTAAGATAGGAATTTTAATTTTAAAAATAATTATAAATTACTGATGCTGCACTGTAACACAACAAACTTTACAATGTAAGAAAAGTACAAAATAAAAACGTGTTCCCTTTAAGTTTTACTTTTTCAAATTAATGTTTGGTTTGCAGATTTGCAGGGACAGTTGTCGGATTACAACTTGTTGGTGGACAAGATCAACACAGGTACGGAGCGTGGAGAGATCGTAGCCGAGACTCGGGAACTAGCAGCGGCCAATCAGACAGAGGCTGCGGCGCTAGAGGCAGTGTTCACCGACCGTACCAGACGACAGACACAGGTGCATCAGCTGGAGCAGGAGATACAACAGGTAGTTGTTAGCTGTTAGATCATTGAACTGATTAATTATTTCTCAAAATTGAGAAACGTTTTGGTAGAATGGATCAACATAAACTATGTAATGTGGGGATTCAGGTTGATAGAAGAAGATAGAGCGTGTATTAAGTGCAAGAGATTAAGTTAATTTGATTTTATTTTAGGAGAGACAAGTAGCAGAGAAGCTAGTAGCAGGGATGACCGGCGAGATGTTGGAACAGTATCAGTCACTGAGGCAGGACAATGAAAGACTTACACACCAGATGGAGTTGTTGCAGGGACAGCTAGATGCACTCACAGCATCTCGTACGGGGCTTCAGGACCAAATCAGCTTGTCATCAGTAAGTGAAACATATTTTGTCGCACTCTCAAATTAAGAAAACTGTCCTATATAGAGCTGCATAGTTTCATCTCCTTCTAAAACATTTCAAGATTGAAACCAGTACAAGAAAAAATTAACATACTGGCTGGTTGAGAGAGAACCCTCCGTATGCTAAAATGGAGTTTTCCAGAGCATCATTTACAAGAAAAACGTTTTAATTTCCCTATACAGGGGTATGAAGAGCTTGCACCAGACACTTAGGTGTTTGGAAAAGAAATCAAGTAGGCTACAATATGACTGCAAAATACTCAAATAATCTGTTAAAATATGTTTGTGATTCTTGTAATGTTCTCCATGAACATGTAAATTAATTATATTATCCATTGTCTACTAAAGAAAATTTTTATTTCTTGTGATTTATTAAAGAAATTAATTGGTGCCGCAAAAATATAAAATTTAGGAGTTGGTAAAAAAGTTCTTATAGGAGTGGAAATATTGATTTCTGGGGAAGTCCAGGTCATGTGTTAATGTGACAACTACACAGATGTAGATCGCTATTACTGTTAAAAGCTTACCTGCAGCTGTCAGTGTATTTATATCCAGCCAAGAGCCATATTAACAGTGAGTGGTTGTGTATAACAGGTGAAGCAGGAGGCTGTTAGGTTGTATGTGACACTAGCTGAGCTGGAGAGTCGTCGGGACACACTGCTAGAGGAGGAGAGGAACAGACTGAGCCCAGCGGAGGAGAGAGATCGTCTGCTGTCTCGTGTCAGGCAAGCACACTTGTAACATGCTACAATATTAACATGCTTAAATGTATATAGTGAAACTTCTCAATGTGTTGACAATCATGGAACTGGAAGGATGTTTGGTTATAAGAAATTTTGAATTATCTAAAAAGTTATTACTAATAAAAGTAAACTTATGAAGTCATCGTGTTGTCAAATTAGGCCTACCTGTGACAGATTTTCAAAAATCAACTAGGTACATAATGGATTGTGACCTGTGAATTGTCAGAATTAACAAAAGATTTAGGTTACCTTGTTTTGGGTGGATTTGACACTTAACAGTGTAATAATGACATGTCGGAGCTTATGAGTTATGATTATGCATTTTGTACCCTGCCTAATACAACACTACCTACTCCATGACTATTTATTAGTTCTGTTCCCCTGTATTAGACTCTCCATTCCCATTAGTTCTGTGAGTCATTGTCGTCAGCTGTTGCAACTAGTGATGTGTCAAAACCAAATCTCAAATCTCAAAACTAAGGAAAAGTTTCGGTTTCGAGATTCGATCACCAAGTTTCAAGACTCAAAAGTTTCGAAATTGAAGATTTTGCCAGTTTTATTTTTGAAACTGCTGACATTTTTTTGTGTCATTGTTATTGTTTTCACACAACACTGTTTCCAAACAAGCTGGTAGCAATAGAGCAAGCATCACCATTAAACAGTAATGAAACAAGTAAATTTTATTCTGAACTTCAAAAGGTATCTTAAATACTATAACTGGTACAATTCAGTTTCACATCAATATCATAGACAAACCAACACAAGGGAGTATGTTTTATTTATGTCAATATTTACTAAACACAAATATTGACCAATAAATGTTCTTATTAATCTAATATTTATGTTAATGTTGGTGTCAGAAGTTTAATTTATTTATTTTTTGTTGGTTGTTTATGAAAAATTACGTTGTATTGGGTTTTAAGATTATCAGTCACATTCACATATTTATGTTATGTCACGGTCAGGAGTCGATCTCTTACAGTTTTGATTGCATACCTAACATTTTATGATTATGTGAATTTTTTTGTAACCTTGACCTTTGTAACCAGCTAAGTAAAAAGTTTTGCTTTTAGGTTTTGAGATTCGGGATTTGATTTTTTAAAGTTTCGGTTTCGGTTTTGAGATTTAAAATTTCTGGTTTTGACCATCACAAGTTGCAACTCTACTTCATTTTTCTGCTTTCTTCTTCAGGCTAAAAACGGCTCTTCTTAAGTGGATCTTCTTCCTTTCTGGAATTCCTTTAGTTTATCATCATCTCACCTTATCACTTTTCAAATGCCCAATCCATCTCAAATATATGCTATTTGCTACACCAAATCAAGTCTAATTCTTGAAACATACAATTCTCTGTTGTGTACGGTTTTCTATTCTCCAGGAGTGAATAAGTATTATTTTACTGAAACAAGTGTATAAACTACTGAATTTTCTTTTACTGTTAAGTTTTAAATGAAAGTCGGAAGTCGGCATGGTATTCTAGTAAACCCACCAATGTGTTCACTCAGATTTAAGCCCTCCTCAACTGAAACATGGTAGCTTAAAGTGGCATCCCAAATGGTTTTTACAGACAAGACAATGCAGAGATAGCCTCGATGGAGCGAGCCAGCGCAGAACTGAAGGAACAGATACGCCAAGCTGAGCTTAATTTGCAACAGGTTAACGAGGTCAGTCAGTACTGACTAAAACTACGTTTTTAAGTCATATTTTAGACTTGTTTGTGAAACATGTTTTTATTCATGTGAAGCTGTGTCTATATAAATCCAGTTGGCAGACAGGCGTAACCTGCCTCGTAAACTGTCTGCCTACTGGCCTCGTGTTAACACGAAGCTAGTTAGCTCATACAATCTTAAGATAAGGAATGGAACAGGTGATTTTGGTTTTTAGAAAAAATACTGCATGAATATGGTGCTTGCTGACCAATCATAAGTTAGCCGGTTCAATAGCTCTTTGGCAAAGTTTGAAACTAGACCCACCTATGTGACATCTATTTCAGTGCCCGGATAGTCAATAATCCTAGCCATAGCCAGTAACAAGCGCACATTTATTTAAACATTCATTCTCCTCTCATCTTTGCCTTACCTAGGTAAAAAAACTGCTGATCCTAGTCAGTAAGAAAAATATCCCACTCCAGGCTGCCCATAACCAGCTTGGAATGCTCCAATATGTACGACACTGTTCATTAAACTATCAATATCTATAGGAGTTGACGGAATCGCAGAGTGAACGCCATTCCAAATACTTGGAACTGCGCAAACGCGAGGAGACCATGGAGGAGTTCTTGGCAACCTGGGAAGCGACCAAGGAGGCGGAGGCTGCGAGGTTGGAGGAACTGGAGGGTGACGTGGTGGCGACACTGGCAGCCATCAGTCGTAGGTTGGCATCACTGCCGAGCCCAGCTGACTACCTGGCACTGGAGCAGGACCTGGCCAGTGGCAGCAGGACTCTGGACTCTCTCACTGCTGATCATGCTCAGCTTGCGTTGTACTTGAACAAGGTAGCGATCACGGTGATCTGATTATTGTAGACACATATTTTACTTAGGCTAGTTGACTGAAGCATCTGGTTTCCTCATGCGTTTCTATTCAGCTTTATACATGGACTAAGTATGTCACTGATCGTGTAACTTTTATACCTAAATTGTTATCAAAATGATGAGTCTGAAAATTGGATCAAATATGCTGCAATTCAATTGCTGAGTTTAAGTAAGCCGTTGCACCGAGAATCTCTATAGGCCTTTTTCGATATCAATTCAAGGCACTATCTCCTGGATTTTTAAAGTTCTAATGTGGAGCTTGGGTTAATATTTAGTGGTCACTGTGGCACAAACAAGGATAACTTTGTTTGATGTTTCTGGAATGCTATTTATGGGAAATTAAAAATCAAATGTCAAGATTTATTTTGATGTCAGGTAGAGGTGATGGAGGATAAGGTCAAGGCACAGTTGGCAGCCCTGACAGAAAACTTGCAGAGGATGCAGGATGAGATGGTGCGATTGGCAGACCTGGATGGACTAAGAGCGAGAGCTGAAGCTCGGAGACTGGTAAGACTTACCAGTATTAAATGTTACCAATACCAATATTATGAATACAATTTGAGATAGTATTGAGTTTTGTTCACATTTCATACAATTATTTTAAATGCCAAGAATGTAATCTCCCTCAGACATATTTTTATTTAGCATCTCAATATCATCTTCAAATTTCGGATTGTTTGGATTGGTCGTTTTAGATCAATAACATACAAATAAAGCACAACACACAAATGTAAACATCAATCACTATCAACTTTGTGCGAACTGACAGTTTCACAATATTTACACTACGCTCTATGGTGTAAAATAATAGCTGAAACAGATGCGGCAATTATAGTCAGCCACAAAAACAAAATAACCCATTTGTGATGCAGTATAATCTATATTTTCATATTATAAACAATTTATATTAATATTATTTTGGAAAAATATATCTGTCTTTAGCCCAGAAAAGATATTTCTCGCGACTGATATATCCGTTTCCTGCCCGGAACATAAACTGAGATTGATGGATTTATCTGCCATAGCCCAGGAAGGGTTATATACACAACACAAACACTCACTATGTGGCTCATATCACTTTAAATACTTTGATGAGCCTTCTGCAGAAAAACAACATTGCACAGACTAAAAACACCCAGTCAAGTATAAAGCTTTACAGGGAATTTTATATCTTTGAGTTATAATAAACCTGCCTCTAACAACAAACTTCCTACTTGCACACACCTATGTTTTAGTCAATAATTTATATACGTGTATTCAGGAGCTAAACGAGGAACGAGACACTCTACTGGAGTCTAGAGGCAGCACGATACAAGCTCTGCATGCTGCCAGAGAGAAACAAACTTCATTGGAAGTGAGTTCTGAATTTATCGTTTTACTTAAATACTTTCTTCTAACCATTTTACACTCATTGTTGTTTGGGTTAACTAATAATTATTTGTAAATATCTATAATAAATGATCGAGGACTTGAGTGGAATTTGTAAGGATGAATGCATTCTTTATGAGTTGCACATCAATTCAAGCATTTTCCAACTTCTTTCCCGTCGTTTTTGTGTGTATCTATTAAAATCCTTTTTTTTAAGATTCTATTATTGATAATGAAGTTAGAGAAAAATTTGGTGAAAATATGCATATTAACTATCAATAAATAGTCAACATTAGCAAAGCTAAACAAATATAAAATATAACGTAATAAGCTATAACTACTCAACTGATTGCTTTTCAGAAGCAGCTCGCTGACAACGAGACCCACACCCAGCTGAACAATATGGAGCGTAAGCTCGCTACGTTGGAGCAGAATAACTTCTCCATGAGGGAATTTATCGCGTCTCGGTCAGCGGAATCAGACTACGAAGGAGTTAGAGGCAATGTACTCGGACTGGTGAAGGACTTGAACTTATCTCTGAGGGAGTCGTACAAAAAACAGTCCTAGACAATTCTTGGCTTTAATTATGTTCAGTCTTAAAGTGGATTGACACCTAATCATTTTTTAGTTAAAAAATACATAACTCTTTTCTAAAGTTATATTTGTTGATACCGATCTTCTCAACTGTTTTGCTAAACTAATTTTGTAGAAAATTACTACTTGTACTTGTAGCCCTGGATGTTTCAAGTTTGTAAACAAAAATATTTTTTACTTTTACGTAGGGATGGACGAGATTGGATTTTTAGTTCGAGACGAGATCGAGACGGGATTTCCCTTCTCATACACAACGGGAAATGCACGTTCAAAATTTTTACCTGATTTTGTAACATTGCTAGATGACTGTTTAAATACAAAAATAATGATAATAGGCAAGAATATTTACAATCTTTTATTAAAAAACATCAGCATAACATTTTTTTATTAATCACGCCTAACTTATTAAAAATGCCTACAATTAGGAAACATAGTGATATCAGTTAGGATAGAGTTCAACTTATCCTAAAATAAAATAAATCATAAAATAAAAGCAATATTCATTTTTATAAAATAGGCTAGTTACTTGTTTTGACTTTTTATAGTAATAAAACATTCCTCACACTGCTTACACTTAACAAAACTTCTCAAATGTTATTAAAGTAATATTATTAAAATAATTAAAGTAATATTTACATTTAAAGAATTAATTAAATAAGAACGCCTTCGCAAAGGAAACGCAACTACAACACGCTCCTGTATTGCGGGTATTGCATTTACTTTCTGCAGGCGTTTTTAATTTTTTTTTTATTTTTTTTTTTTATTCTTGTCTCGATAAAAATCTCGGCCAAAAAGAAATCTCGTCTCGTGTAACAAGATTTAAAATTTCCCGAAAATTTCCCGAAATTTCGAGACTTGACCATCCCTTTTACGAAACTTGTTGGTTGTTATGTTTTACTGATGTTATCCACTTTTATACTCGTTGTATAGTTAGTTGTTAGAAACACTAATAAGTAGACTACCTCCCATTTGTGTGTTACCATTGACTTTGGATACTGCTTGTAGACTTCTCAAAGCTTTACTGAACATTTGTTAAAATCTGACGGGTGTTTTAATGCATATATCATGTCAAGTTATGTTTAAATGGACTGTTGGTTGAATAATGTGTTTATAATTTTCAGTAAATTTTACAGTATCCTTAATTCGTTTGTTCTTGTTGGATAATAGCTCATAAAGGTTTTGATTCTGTTATAGTTTCGGTTAAGGTTGGTGAATAACCAAACTTGAAATGCCTTTAAATAATCTATAACTGATCCATGAGAATGATCTCTAAAGGATTAAGTTTGATACAACACGTTATTCTGTCGTTGTTTTGCAAGAATTAAAATAAATTTGGTTAACAACAGCTATATTATAGTCTAAATCTTTTAACTTATAATCTAACATGCAAAGGAGCTTATTTTACCAGTACTTTAGGGAATGTGTTAATTTCTTTACATTCATTGATCCCCAAGATCTGTTCAAATTTAGCAGTAAGTTTGAACAATGCGTTTATCATATCAGGTATAAGATTTTGTGAGTGGTTATTATAGAAAATGTAGAAGTATTTTGAATGCCATACGTTTCAGCCAGAATTGAAAATATGCTACAATGGTAATTGTTATTACGTGTACTGTGTACCTGGCAGCATATCTATGTAATGTTTTCAAATTTAAAGTAGGCAAGTGTCATGTATCCGATAAAGTTATACTATTTTTTACTTTATATATTGAGTTTGATACATAAATCTTTTCTAATACTCTTTTCACAAAATATAGGCGGTTTTAGGGGAAGAAATATATCCCCTCCATTTGATCCTATGTTAACAAATTGCTTAACAGCTGAGGTTTGCGAAAACGTCAATTAGCTGAAACCTGCATTAACGAAAAAGTGTTGGGAGAACTTCCCCACCGCCTAAATTGCGTGAACAACAAGTATAAAGCACCATACCTCGCAGCATATCAATTTTTCATATATAGGGTCTTTAAAAAATCTTGAAAACAAAATGTGAAGACTGAAACATGCATAGATAATACCTTTTACTTTAGACACTGCAAGTTGTAACTATACTTGCCATCTTATTGTAAATCAAAAACTTTCATTAATTTTATATTTGTTTTACGTCTGGTGACTTGTGAGTGTGCTGATGATTATTTTTATCTCTTATTTAAAAGTAAATTTTACATCAACGTCAATATTGTTGTTGTCGTGATTATAAGAACACAGGAAAACCAGTATTTTACAAAAATATATATTTGACAAAATAATTTTGAAGTTAGCAAAATAATAAACAATAAACATAAGACATACAACATCCAAGCATACCTTAAAAATTGTTTTCTGGTCACAAGAATGATAAATCTTTTGCGAGGTATGTTTAATAAATAATGTTCAACTTGTAAATGTAAATATGTGAGTTTGTTTAGGTTTAGGTGTATAGCTTTAACTGTACCAAGAGAAATTGAAAACCATGACCTAGCATAGTTATATCTCGATTTGTCAAACATCGAATTTATAGAATGTTACATTTCACAATCTCGATAACATTTGCCTAAACGGGATACCTAGCACAAGTACAGTAAGGGACCATTACTCCAATAAAACCATGGAAATTATGGTCATTAGAAAAAATATAACCCAAGAGCTTATTCATAACAATCTTACGAGACCCTGAAATAGTTAAATAGTTTGTTTTGAATTTTACTCCATTCCACTATTCCATTTTACTTGTAAAACTTCAGCTAATTTCTTTAATAAACTTATGAATTCTATAATCATATTCCAGTCGAGATATAAGAGGTGGCCATATTCAGTTAGGCCTACTTGTTTTAGGGTTAAAATATGGTCTCATTTAAAGACACACAAAGCAAAAGTACATTAAAAGCAATTTTATGTAAAAACAATCAAAATTTCGGATTAGATATTTTTTCTGAGGTATTGAGGATTTCCAGAAAAGGAGAGGGGTTCAAAAAAATGTTGTAATAATCAAAACTTGGACTATCTAAACGAATTATCCTTTTTTTATTCATTGTTTTAAAGTAAGTGTTTTAAACAACTGTATACAGCACAATGCGTAACTGAACCAAAATGATTGACTATGGAATATTATCTCTTGTAAGGTTGTGTAGTGAAAGAAAATTAGCTGACGGTTTAAGGCTGTTGACGGCTACATATCTCTTATCATTGTGGCAAAATGTTGGTATATCAGTATAACATATCGGTATATTCAAGTATTGTAAAACCATTCCAAATATTTTAGCATAGATTGTTTAAAAATGAGTATATCAATTAAATAAACCATGTTTGCATTTATTAATCTGATATAACAGTAATTTTGAATGTACTTTTTTGAGAACTATCTTTGAACAATTGTAAATTAACCAAAAATACTACACTATTCTTGGGATTGGGTATATGCCAAAAATCGTAAATAAATTTCAATATGAAAGAGTGCAATGAATACCATTTACTTGAAAAATTGTTTATAGTTACTTTTAAAAGATAAAAACTGAATGTAAGTAAAGTAAATGGAGCAATTAAATTGTTTAGCATAATAAAATCCAGATAATAACTATATTAGCTGTATTTAGTCAGGTTTTAACGTATCATGAATACTAAAGCAGGAAAATCACTGGTAATGTAGTTGTAATAGTGAGCATTTTATTTGAATGAATTATGAATACCATTTAGGGGCAAATGATCAGATAATTATTCAATGTTTTTGTGTAGGGTTTTTGAAACTGTCCGCAAATATTGATATTTACACAAACTCATGAATAATTAAGAATAAGTTTGAGTTTGATATTATAATTTCACAGACATTGTTCTCACTGAACATAACGCGGACACAAAATGTTGCGATAATTCAAAAACTGCCTATGAGATATTATTTGTTTACTAGTTAAGTCTTTACTGTTTCCCACCAATAACCTCCACAAGGTACCTTCTAGTGTTACTGAACCAATGATCTCATACTCGTAGACTTAAACTGACAGATCTCAAACTGCCATGGCAATAATCAATACTGTGTGTGTCTTATTTTCTTACAAGCCTATTTTTTATCTCCTCAAACTGTACAATAAAGTTTTACTCGTTTGCAGTTGCAGTCTATTTCCTTTAATACCCCTTAGTGCATTTCAAAAGTTCATCTTGTTTCCTCAAGAATGCAGCTCAACAACTAAACATAACCCCTCAATGCTGTAGAATGTTTGTTGAACATCAAACACATTTTAAAAACTGTTGATAAAATCTAGTCTTACAAACAACTATTAAACAGAATCGTATTTTTCAACTGTTGTTACGCTAAAAAAACCTTCCAAGAGTGTTTTACTAGAAGGAAACCCTAAGAAAATTTCATTCAATCAAACAAAACCCATAGTAAAATGTTGTATAAATATATTTTTGCACATTGTAAATAACATCTTTAAATAACTTATCAACAAAATATAAAGTGAATTTTAGTGTACAGTTAAAAATGTAAAAACATACTTATTTATAGTAAAACTGGATGAACAAAGACACTAAAAGTACAAGAAAGGCGGCAGCAATGGTGGAAACGACTATTATAGCTTGACTGGAACCTGAGGTAGAGCTGTCTTCGTGTTTGGGCGTGTCTGCGCCTGTAGTCAGATTGTATAGGTCTGACTGGTCTGGAAAATAAGAATAGAAATTTAGAGAGTAATCATTTAAGAATGGCTTACAGAAGAAGAGTTTATGGGACATATAGTAGACTGCCGATTATCCATGCTAATATATGGCAGAGTGATCGTGGATAATCAAAATCATGCTGCAAACCTAAACTAAAATGCTTGTGAAATAAATATTATTGACTTTTAATGTAAATTTATAACTTTAACAGAGGTTTAGGTAACAATCAAATATTTTAAACTTAGCGTGGAAACTAGAAACCTTTTAATTTTATTTCATATACTTCTATTTACAAAACAACTAATATTGTAGAACCTGTGCATTAACAAAATGAAAATAACAAGTAGTAAAAAATTAAATACACACAAAATGTAACTTATCAATATCAACTCATTGGTTTGATCGGTGACTCATAGGTGGTTAAAGAAACAACAGTCCCTCTGCTGATGGGCCTCCTCATAAACATCTTGGTAATCGCTGTTAAACGTACAGTACACTCACGACTAAGGTTGTTGGCACTTTACCGAGAATCTCGAATAACACGGAGGTCGCATATATTCAAGTATTCATTTTGAAAAAATCATAAATTACTTGCCATTTTCTTTCCTTCAAACAGAAACATATAGAAAAAAAAATACATACTTAAGCCTATAACGACCTCGGATAACCCGAGGGCTCAGATGACTGGTACACGAATAATCGGGAGTGTGCTGTACATTTAAACTACATTTTTTTGCAACCGTGGATGTGCAATAACCACTTACCCCTTTGCAAAACAAAAATGGCTGAAACTGTCTTTTTTTTGTTAAAAAACATCCATCTTACCTGGTTGGCCTTCAAAGTCCTTGTAGACAGAAGACTCGGACACTTTGACTCCGATGAGATCCAATATGGAGACTAGAGCTTCTGACGGTCCCTCCCCAGGAAAGAGGTAGTCTGACAGTGCCACCTTGGAGTGGGGGAGGGGGATGAGTACTCTACGTGGGGGCTCATGTACCACCATCACCTCTATCAACAACACATTTGTAAATACTACAGCCCTCCTACCTTTTAGTGCCAATTACAAAATTACAGCAATTTGGGTAACATAAAAATCCTTCATTTAAAACTACTGTAGAGTCTTGATTATTGTAACGATTGTTTTAATTAATTGGGATGGAAAATAGGGATGAGTGATGAGGGAAAGGCTCTTACCGAGATTCACACCCCTTTTTTATGTCCCACCTTCACGTCCTAAGACACTAGGTTATAGCCTGAAACTTTATTAGGTTACACATGCTGTCCTAGAAGGTCACGGCATTATCACATGGACGGGGCTGCTAATCTTGTGTTCTACGACGTGGATGAGTTCACAAAACACCGTTAGAGCTGAATTCATACACAAAATTTTCATTCCCCAGGGGTTTAGTTCGTTATTAGTTTTTATTGATATATTTATCGTTGTTATCACTTTTATGATTGGACTTTATTCATTGTTATTAATTAATCATTTTATTAATTCGTTGTTTGATATACATAGATTTTATAAATAAATTACCCAAGTTTCACCTTAGTCTCTATTTTACATTATATATATTACATATCATATGTATTATATTCAATCTTGACGTTTGCTATACAATGTAAAAATTGTCTGAAAGCAATAAAGAATTATTATTATAAAATCCATTGGTGGTTGGTGATATTTGAACCCAAGACCTCAGGGACCACACGCTCTACCACAAGAACAGCTCGCTCCCCACCACTAGACACTTGCAGTATTATAAATAATCCAACATTAAAATTAAAATCCAACAGTGTAACTTAATAGTTGAGATGCACAAAATGTAAAAGTGATGGTGGTAAGGAAAGGGTTTTTGTTAGCATGCACATCCTTTGCCACTCAACTGACACAATATATACCACCATTACCTGTGTCATAACCACACTTAACACGTTCGCTGCTACGGACGTTCCGGAACGTCAAACGGGCCACGGGGCCAGGAGCTAGGAACGTTCCGGAACGTTGCCGTTCATTGTTGTTTAACGTTACCATGGATCAGCCAGCTCGTCACGAGCGTACTATATTTCTTTGCAGCTCGTGGGGACGTACTTTTCTGACAATAAAAAATATAGTTTCCCAAAATCACCACCAGGGTCGTTTAGAACAGGGCTTTATCCCACCTCTTTCCTGCTAGATAGCCACACTACTTTACCGACTGCAACCTGGGTAGTGCTGCTATATATCAGAATCACTTAGTACTATGTCCAAAGCCAGTTTTATTGCAGAACATTGCCATCCAGTATAACTACTGTTGTTTTTACTGTAATTCAGTGTATCGGCAGCAATGTTTACGCAGCGGCGAGCGTTAGTTCAGCTCCTGGCGCCGTCCCGGCATCTAGTGGTCAGCAGCGAACGTGTTAGAATGCTACACTATTACCAGTGGAATTTTTTCCACTAAAACTCCAGACATTTTAAAGGGAGAGTGTAAAGGTAAATCGGTAAAACCCCATTATATTTTGGTGTATGTGTTGGTGAATAAACCCATCTTGCACCAAAGTCCAAGACACTAACCACTAGGCTTGCAACAGTTTTCTTTATGTCCCAACTTTACATCTTAGGATGTTAGGCTTAGACCATAACCATTTTTTTACCCTTTAGACTAGGCCTAGAAGGTCGTGGCCCTATCACATAGATTAAATTGAGATATTTTTACGATGCTGACACATCAGTGTGTATCTTTAAATTTATTTGTGACTAGCAGAACAGTATGAGAGGAATTATTACTCTTAAATACAAAAAGAGGTGTTGAAGATAGATCACTTGAAGGCTGATGACTTCTGTCTTTTTTTAAAGAGACAGAGATGTGATTTCTGTTACAACAATACTGACAGTTCAATTTTGACACTTTGAGTTTGGATTGGTGGAATTTGCCAATCGCATTTCAAAACGGAAGACTTTTCCAAATTTTCAGGGGTTTTGACACATTACTATGTCATGTCCAATCAACATACCTTCAGGTGAACCAATTTCTTCTTCAACTAGAGAGTCACAATGCATCTCAACTCTTGCGGCAAATGAACGAATGATATCTTCCTTCACTGCCTGGAAGAAAATCACTTATATTTTTAAGTTAGGGTACCTTTTAGTGTAAGTTAGGTTTCATAATTTAGAAAAGCCATATTACCAAATTATTTTGCTTTAAAGCACTGATTGCAAAGGTAAACAATATTTGCCGGATGTGTATTTAAAAAGTTGGAGGTACTAGTCTATTGCTGAATTACCTCTCAACTATGTCAATTCTTAAAATCAGAGTATAGGTCTTTTCCATGGTTCTTTAAAGTACTAGTGTTAATATACGATATGAGCAAAAAACTATTCATATAATAACTTAATTTTACTTTTTTATTGTACAAATATAAAACAAGATTTTAAAAACTTCACCTTCAGTGCCTCCAAGACAGTTGCTTTTTGATGAACAAACACCCTGCTTGCTAAAACCCCGGTGCAGTTCATTTCTCCGACAACTGAACTCACGGTAACTTCTGAACTGCCTTCCATCTGTAAAAATTACATTAAGAAGTAGATAATAATAAAATACATTAATTCATAAAAGAACAATTCAATTTCACTGAGAACATTTTTGGTTTTTGCAACGGTATAATTTGTTAATAATGTTTAAAAACTCCTCAGGAAGAGTTCACCCGTCTACAGCAGATCTTAGCGGATGAGGCAAACCCAAAATAAACGGAATGCTCAAATGGAAAATTATGGATCTTATGCATTCTACGTGAGTGATTAGCAACTAGTCGATGAATAAACAAAGGTAGAATAAAATTGATCAATAATAATTTAGGGATCTAGGTTTAAAAATATCTGAGCAATACATGTATCTATAAGTATAAAAGAGGATGTTTGTATATATATTTGTTTGGCAGTGATAAACTCAGACACCGCTGAACCGATTGCCAAGAAACTTGGTACATACGTGTAGAATGTCATGGAATAGGTTTATACACCATCAATTTCGCGATCCGTCCAATCAGCTCCACCCCAGTGGCTCTGGAGTTTCCCATGTTAACCTTATGAGAAATGGAATTAATGAATCTTAACAGCTGTTTAAATTAAACAAGTTGGTTCTGTTCTATGATGTTCAATAGCATTAAAGTTACAAGGATTACCAACAGGGTGCAGCACTATTATTTCTTTTACATTTATGACAACAGCTAATTTGCAACCAAAAGGTGAGTGAGCGTAGCGAACAAACTTCAACCTGGAGGCGAGTTAGCGTAGCGAACGAGCTAACCTGAAGGCAAGTGAGCGTAGCGAACGAGCTAACCTGAAGGCAAGTGAGCGCAGCGAACGAGGTCCAACCTAAAGGTGAGTGAGCGTAGCGAACGAGCTCCAACCTAAAGGTGAGTGAGCGTAGCGAACGAACTTCAACCAGGACGTGATTGAGCCATGCGAACGAGATCATCTTGAAAATTAAGAAGTTAAACGGGGCAAAGCCCGCGGGTTACAGCTAGTAAATAATAAAACTGATGTAACATTGCTGTCACAAAATTCAAAGTCATACTGCACGAAGGGCCAATAGCATAATAGACTAAAATTTTGCCTTCTGAACAATTAATGACACAAAACTGTCATTACAACCTACCACTTTCCTAATCTCCAAGTATTTCAGAACATCAAACTCTCAGTGAAAACAGCGCAATAAAGTTAGGCTATACGAGTAATTAAATGACTATATCTATTGTTATCTGACAAAAAGATAGGGCATTTGCCTTAATATATCTAGTGTTAATATTTTTAGAAATATTTTAATACATTGTTTAAACTTACATTTGGAATGTAAAGATTGACTTGGAATATTTTATTTTCATTAGGTTTGGAGTCTCCTTTCGCTGGTTTACTAGTTTCACTGACATCCAAAAGCTCCTCCTCGTTCTTCACCTCCCCGTCTATTGTGCAAATAGACTTTTGGACTCCACTACTCATACTGTCCAAGATTTGCTAGAAATTTCATTAAAATATTTAGTTAATCACTGGTAAAAACTACCACTTTATTTCAAGCAAATTCAGATTATGATTTTCCAATGTTCCTATAAACCACTTCAGTTGAGAATTCAAATATTTTTTGTGATCTTAAGATGTATGAAACTAGTCATCTAATAATAGTGGTTTGTGAACAGCAAAAGCTCTTAAGTACATCATCAAAAAATATTTTTTCAAACACCACAGTGATTATAATATTTAAATATCTAGTAAAGTGTGAGATTAGACATTTTCTTTGTAGTTTTTTAATTGTTTTACAAGTTTAGAACATATTGGCTTCAAGGACTCTTAAGAAAATATTTTCTTTTCAAGAAAATAAAATGAGGCGACACTTTGGTGGTGATTTCTTGTTTTATAATCCTGTTTTATGTAGCCTAGGTACTTAAAACTAAAAAAGTACATTTTACTCTACATTGCATTGAATTTTATTTTGAAAAGCTTTCATTTATTAGTCATAGGCTACATAAAAAAAATCAGCTTGAACAAAAATCTCAGTCGCGCACACCTCTACATTAAATTTACACTAGAAACCTATGTAAAAAAACAGGTCTTTGGAGAAGAGGGGTAGGAAAAAACAAGTACGAAAACGACAAACCTGAAGAGAGTCTTCCAACGGTTGATTGACACGTTCGTCTGTGATAAGAAGTGGTTTGTTTTGGTCAAAATCATACTGAGTGTCCAACACATGCCATTTGAGACCAGCTGTGAACTTACAGTCTGTCGCTCGGAACTGAGTGGACGAACTTGACACGTCCAGACTCTTGCAAGTGAATCTGGGGGAAAAGTTAAGTTTAAGCATCCTTCAGCAGGATTTCTTTTTAGAGGATCATTCCAAAGTATTGGGCAAAACTGCAAATATTTCAGGAAAACATTCTTTTAAAATAACATGACACTGTTTGATTTATCAAAAGGTTATTTCTACCAAATAGCCATAATCAGTAAACAGATGAAACATTAATTACTGAAATAGTATCTTTTTTTATCAATACTTTTGCTTCTTCAAATAATCAAATATTTAGCATTTATTCTTAGTTTTTAAATTTGTTATATTTGCCATGATATATATCCCACGAATTTACTCAGATGTTGCTTACCTGACCATATATAGCACAGCCTAAAAAACCTAAACATAAAAACTATAGATCGTTACTCAACAAGGTAGTAACAAGACCCGGGTTTGGACCGTTCCCTTTCAAAATGTAAAAAATGCCACTGGTGTAAAAACACACAAAAAAATATATATATAGGTAGTTCTATCGCCGTCATTATGTAACTGCAATGAGTGTAAGACGAAATAACAGATCAATAATATTGGTTTAGATCTTATAAGAGAATAGGCTTTATCACACAAGTGGAAAAGGTACATAGGTAGCCTAAGAGTTTAGACAAAACAAAGGGTACTTTACTGTTAAAGGGAACATTCATTATTATCGATGATTTTTTTCTCGATATATCGATATTAACAAATTGAAACATATCAGCTGACAACTACAATAAACTTTATCCAGTATCAACAAACAATAATACAATGAAACTGTTCTAAAAAAAATAACCTAACATAACTAACCAAACGTGTGGTAACATTTAAAAATTCCGTGTTTTACTTGCCTTTACTGTTATCAAAAGGAATTTTAAAATGGTACAGCAAGTTTGGTTGGTTATGTTAGGTTAGCAACTTACAACGGTTTCATTTCTTAATCCATATAATAGACTTTTATCCTAAACAAGATCAGTTGTCAATTTGTAATGTAAAACGATATACCGAAAAAAATCATCAATAATAATAAATGTTCCCTTTAACAGGAAAGTACCAAACAAAGAAGTGGCCTATTATTAACAAAGTTACAGGTTATGGATGTGACAATGAGCACAAAAGCCTTTGTTTTTGGGATTTTTGTGAGGACATCAGGCTTAACTTATCTCTGGTAAGCTGGCTTTCCCAAAAATATCCTAAAGATTGTAAAATGTCATCATACAAACAAACGGTTAATGTTTTTCTACCACAGTCAGCCAAGGTTTTATGTAGTTAATTGATGATCCTTAAGACCAAATAAATGTTTACTGATGAACATTTATAACTAATTTATAAAACAAAACAAGTAGGCTATTATTGGCTTTAGTCTCTTAAATACATTAAAACGCTAACTTTAATAAGCAGCATTTATTTTTACCACTTACTTATTGGTTCCGCCGATGAGATGAAGACATAGTTTTTCCGAAGAAGGACTGTTGCCAAAGTGTTTTGTTTTCTTGCTCAAGGCACGTGTTAGACCTTGCAGCATCGATACTACTTTTGACTGAGCCGCAGTGTCAGAAAACACATCTCCAGGTCCCGTGATGAATATTCCGAGAACCCACATTCCTCCCGGCAGCATTCGGGTGACCTATGTTTCAGTGGGAAGATGTTAATATACAACAGCTGCAACTAAGAGTGCATACCAATTAGTTTGCACTTATTATCAACAACTTACAACCAAATTGAAGAATTAGATTCTGGTCCTAATACAGTGATGTTAAAGTAAATGAACTAACAGAACCATAGTTGCTAGCATAAAAATATTAATCATAGCCTAGATTATTAATTAATTAATCTAATACTTTGTACATTCAAATCAATTTCTCATCAAAAGTGTACCTAAGTTATAAACAAAATTCTGTCCGCCCTATGTAAATGATTAGCCTACGTAAGTTAGGCCCACTAAAAATTACAATTGACCAATCTACCTGCTCTGCATGATCTACCAGCCAAGATTCTTGAATATCGATCAATTTTTCTACACTTTTCCGTTGTGATTTGCGGCTGTCTCCACTCAAGTCATTTCCTAGCTTTGAAGATTTGTCTGCTGGGAGTGGGGTTTTGGCTAGGTGCACGATGAAGTCTTTCTGGCCAGAACACTGAAAAATATATTGTTTCAATGGTAACTTATTTATGAGGTAGGAAACTCAACATCAACATCAAACTCAATAAATAGTGTTCAACATTAAGTTAGGTTACTTTTCCTGTCTTGGTCAAATTCCTCTAAACTGTAGTAGGCCTAAATCTGCATAATTTTTTTACTACGATCTTGAACTAGGTAGGCGTTAATCAGAAACTTACCCTCCAGTAGGTCTACTTGCGCGGCTAATAGTAACACCAGTACTTACACGCATGCGGACTGACAGTCAGTGTCTTAACTTACTTCTTGCTGGAAACGCTCTTTTGTATAGGTAGGGCCTACCTAAAGTTCATATAGCATCAAAATTTCAAATAATCCAATAAAAAGATATAGGCTAGATGAATTTCAAAATAATTACAAATATTTCAGATTGAAAATCTCTTGTTGAAAATCAATCAGTCAATAACTATCGTTTAAGTTAGGCTAGCTCCTAGGATAACTTATAGACAAGTCAAATCAATCAATTCCTTGTAAACATTTAGGAATAATACGTTTTTCAAGTAACTTAAGAATACTTAACATTTAAACTTTCAGTACGTATTCATCTAACATAATTAACTTACCTGGCCTATTATGAGTCCCGGAACATATCCATCTGACTTTCCTAAACGGACAAACTCTGGAAAAATCTTTTCTTCTGCTACAACTATTCTTCCCATCTCTGACGAGTAATTTACAAAATGAATTCAAAGACAAATATGAATATTTTAAACTGTTAATTCTAACTAGTAAATAAATCAATTTGAAATTTAGGTTATTGCAAAAGCAGACAATTGACGTGTTAACATAACAGACAACAGCGAACCGAACAACAGCATCAGCAGCAGCAGGAGAGGAGGAAGGAGGAGCAGATTTCGATTTCGTCGTAAACAAAACCAAAACAAAAAAAAACAATTTTTCCATGTATGCCAGAGGTTCTTCTAACCATGCAACTGTAAAGTTTTCTTCGTTTATAAGTTTCCCATATGCTGCTTTATGGTGATCTTTCCACCATGATGCTGCTTTCTAAAAATGTGTTTTTATTGGCTAAAGGACTTAATGAGTATCTTTACTCCTTAATAATGATTTAATGTTGACTGGGATAGTGGCGACATCCTGTAAGTCCAGGAACTGAAGGGGTTATAGTTTGAGCATGCATCCATGCATCAAAGTAGTACGCAATGTTATTGCTGATTATTGTAATATGGACTGTGGTGATCAAAATTACGCATGTCACCTATTTCAAAGCGGTCGATAAAGTGGTGGAAGGGAGCAAACATGGCGGGGGGGGGGCTGTGCGTTAAAAACGCTGATATATCGAAAACGGTAAAAGATAGAAGATCAGTTTAAACGTCGTTGTAATCCTAAACATATGCACTACAATAATGATTATTAGGTCCGAGGTCGTATCTCCAATAATAAACAAGTTATTGTATAAAATATGTAAAAATAGACTATTCGCGTAGTTTTTCCGAAAGTAGAATAAATTATTGTGAGTGCCGCAAAGAAGTAATATCAAATATCTTTGCTGATAGTTGTAATACGGACTGTAGTGATAAAAAATACACATGTCGCCTACTTTTCAGGTGGTCGAGAACATGGGGGGAGGGTGACAAAGATGGTGGAACGTGCTATTCATTGAAAAGACTCGGTCAAACATGGGACATCGGTCAAAACGTGGTTTTAATTAAAAAAAATATGGCCAAAAGAAAAGGTTATTAGGTACAAAGTTATTGTATCTTAAGTAATAAAAAAATCATCACAAAATCTACATTAAACAGCTATTTTTTTTTATCATAGGAATTGTTGATCAATAATAGCGTAATTAGTAAATTACTCGACTAAATATTAACTAGATGTATTTTCTTATAGACGTCACTCTTCTCTTGAGGGAACACCATTACCGTAACTATTCCATCGGCGTGAACCCCACCAGGGACATTACCGTTATTTTGTCGATGATTTAATTGCTTAGAATGCAAATACTTCTCAACTGTAAATCTTTTGTTAGAATTTGAGGCATTTATAATTTTATTTATGAACAGAACATTTTTTTAGTAAACCTTCATTCGATTTTTATCTTATATCTTTTTATATCATCAGCAAGTTTGGTTGGTTAGGTTAGGTTATGACAGTTTAATTTTATAATTAAATTGTTAGTTTTATAACTAAAAAGTTATAAAATAAATTTAAAGTTTTTCTTAAATCAACGTCAGGGGCTCTCCCACAATCCCCCACTCCTTCGCAAAACAGGTTTCATCAGTTTCTGACGAGGAAAATGAGACGCTAGTAAGACACTGCACCGGTGTCAGATTCGAACTATTGGAACTAATTAAATCTACTCGTTTGGCTCCCTCTAGAGTTCGTTTGGCAGTTGTCATGGCCAGCGAGGGCCGTCACGGGCCCCTATGGAATGAGCTATCCCTGGCCCCCTATTTTCCTGATTTAATGTCCAGCCACCTCCGTGCCGTTTCGTTACACATATAACATATACATACATATCTAAAATGCATGTTAGTTTTATAAATTCTCGTGCTCACAGCTGCAACTTTGCTCCAGTCAAAAATTACCAAATAAACGGGAAAACCATGCTAAAATTTTGTCTTTAGCAGATTACATGTACCGAAAAGATTTTACATTTATTTACATTTTGCTTTGTCCTTTTCAAATCCCCCACACTATCGACAGTATCTCAACCATTGCTTATGGCTTTCGAAGTATTAATTATTGTAGCATCATAATAGTTCCAAATCCTAAAGGAATTCAGGTTATTTCGCTGTACACTGGGTTTGAACTTATTTCGAATGACCCCAAACATGCCTTATTGCATTGTGGTGAGTTTTGAATCAAGAAATTAATAAAAGCTGAATAGTTTTGTAGCATCTTCAACGCAGCATCAAGGCACAGAATTTAAAATCAACGAGACCGGGTCTCCTCGGGACTTTGGCTTGTCCTATCGTCGTTTGGCTTGGCCCCGTATAAAAAGTATACGTAAATATACGGGGAGGTTTTATACTTGCGATAGATGTGTTTAGTTGGAGAGTGTTTATGAGAATTCATGACGAAGGACATTTTAGAAATGATTACACTATTTTCTTAAGTAAGCTTGACCTGGAATAGCTTTCAAATAATAGTATATATTCACGCTAAGTAATCTCCAAGTAGGATCGGATCAAGGACTCAGGGCTAGAGATATGTACAAGGACTTCTCTAATTGTTAAAACGTGTTTTCTTTCTATACACTTCATTGTTATTCATTAAACATAAGTATTGATCCAATCAGAAAAATCAACAGTTCTACAAATAGCTTACGTGCCGGTATGTGACTAATTAGCCAAACCGATAATACAGGTAGCCGGAACTATAATGATGTGATCTATGTAGCATGTTACAATGTGGGCTGGGGCAGGGCTACCAGTCCCAAGGCCCTTGGTGTGAGAGTATTTGCTCTTGTGTGTGTGTGACCGTGAACGCGTATTGAGATATTACTGTGAATAAGATACAACAGCTCTAACGACTGATAGTTACATTAGTAGTGCAAATCCATTTAATGGGGTGGTAAATTGTGGTGAATTTATGACCTGTTATAATTAGAGTGGTTGTAGTTGACGAGATCAGTTTGCTTCAATCCACTTATATACGTAATCTGTGTAGTATTACTCTAGATAATATACTTAGCAATTTATAGACAGTCCAAGAATAAAACCTACTAATTTTAGGTGAGACCGCTGGCTTAGTCGGTAGCGTAGCACGGTGGACTACGAATCCGTGGCAGCGATTTTGTTGGTTCGCGTCATAGCCGCGCCGTCACTCGCGTACTGGTGCCCGCCACAACCCGTAGAACGCCCAGAACGCTCAAAATGCATCAGTACAGTTGACTTCGCTCGTCCTGTGCCGGCCAGTGGTGACCGCTGGACGAGATAGTGTCAGTGCTAGCGGCCAGGCTTTGAAACCGCAATGTGTCTGGTTTCAGTCCAAGACGCTGATAAACTAATTGAGATATCGTGTTCAATAAAACACAAGCTATACGTATTAGGCTACTCCTACTTCAAAACCCTTGTTTATTTCTAAAATAATGTATTCAGCTTGTAATATAATATGGACTGTAAATAAAAAAATAAAAAACTGTGTAAAAAATATAATAATTTTACAATATACAATAACTTTAAGCAACAGCTTAGTCATAGAAACGCGTCATCCATATAATAGGGATCATTCCACTCTGGTAGTACTCAGGTAATTTTTTCAGTGATGCGGAGAAAAAAACAACTTAAGTAATAATGTATTAATTATAATTGTATGTGTGTAGCTGCAATAGCTTTTTAACTAGTACTATATATTGGTTTTACGAATACATCGTTACAACGTAACTATTTCCTTACTTCAAACAGAAAAATAGTGAACAATTTTAAACAAGGAATTTAAAAAGTAGAAAAATTCATGTCGTATAAAACCGACGAAGACACACCTTAAGGACCGGTCGTAGCAGGTAAATCAAATAACTGACCTGCAACAAGTGGTCAGCTGGAGGTCAAAGGTCAACAGAGGCTGAAGAAAGTGGTGGACGGGTCAAAGGTCAAAACACCACACTCTCCAGTCCTCACGACCTTGTAGATATCATCGATGTCGACTGGTGCAGAAACTTTCCTTGGCGCTGGAAACGGAGGCGTCGTGAGACTAGCTGCATTTAGCATTAGCATGTGTTGAAAGGAATGTGTTATATAATAAAATGACTTGCTTGGATTACTTATATGAGGACATCCCGGGAGGTGCTATTCTTGTTTCTTTGACATTGAATGATCTAAAATGGCTAAATGTAAGAGTCCTTTCATTTGTTACAAAAGTAAAATGTGCTAGTTTCTACAGCTACAGTAAAATGCATAAGCATATAGGCTAGAAAGACTTAACTAGAATTGTATTCTTGGACGTGACGTTTGAAATGCTAATGCTGTATTCAATTCAATAAGCTATTAACTATTTGTTTATAGCACTACATGTTACATAACATAGGCGAAACATATTGTTATTCTTAGCATCTTTTATTTTCTTAGGGACTAGTGATATTCAAACAATCAGATAAGCACCCAAAATAAAGTAGACTCAGCCCCTGAACAAATCTTCTATAAGTATAAAAGAGGATGTTTGTATATATATTTGTTTGGCAGTGATAAACTCAGACACCGCTGAACCGATTGCCAAGAAAATTGGTACATACGTGTAGAATGTCATGGAATAGGTTTATACACCATCAATTTCGTGATCCGTCCAATCGGCTCCGCCCCAGTGGCTCTGGAGTTTCCCATGTTAACCTTATGAGAAATGGAATTAATGAATCGTAACAGCTGTTTCAATTAAACAAGTTGGTTCTGTCATAGATAAAACATACTCCCTTTAGTCTATGGTTCTGTTCTATGATGTTCAATAGCATTAAAGTTACAAGGATTACCAACAGGGTGCAGCACTATTATTTCTTTTACATTTATGACAAAAGCTAATTTGCAACCAAAAGGTGAGTGAGCGTAGCGAACGAACTTCAACCTGGAGGCGAGTTAGCGTAGCGAACGAGCTAACCTGAAGGCAAGTGAGTGCAGCGAACGAGCTCCAACCTAAAGGTGAGTGAGCGTAGCGAACGAACTTCAACCAGGACGTGATTGAGCCATGCGAACGAGATCATCTTGAAAATTAAGAAGTTAAACGGGGCAAAGCCCGCGGGTTACAGCTAGAGGTCTCTATCTTAACACAGTAAAATATGGCTGTCAAGATATTATTTAGGCAAGACAACGTCTGCCGGGTTCAGCTAGTGACTGTATGAAGTTCAATTTCGGGAACCTAAATTTTTATGATGAGAACAATTAATTTTGAGATAAACAGCTTGAATATACTGTAAGCAAGAATTATAAACATCGTTCCCATGTTTAAGTTGACTTTCTCATGGGTAAGTATTTACTTCTCATCCTGTGATCCCATTGTTAGTATAGATTGATAAACTGCGTTGACGGGTATTTCGTGATGGTGACGTTTTAGTGCGCTGAAATAAACTACTACTTCTCTCTTATTTTAGTGTAGATTTCACGGCCTGTCTTTGCTCTCCGTCACAACACCAGAGGTCAAACGGTAGTTAAAAAATGGACTGTATTCATTTTTACGCAATTTTAAACAAATGGTTAACAAAATGAACGTGACAGAACTAACCTCAAAGTTGCTTTCTTATAAAGAAGCATAACGTTTATGTTGCCGATCACGGATTTCTCTCGAGATCTTACATCGAGTCTTTCAATGGTCTTACTAAAACGTTGTCACACAACTTACAGCTTACGTCCCTTATATGTAAAATAAGGAATATCTAAAATTGGATCAACTGCACTAAGTTACGAATCTCCTGGTACAGATTCGGAGGTGTGGTGATATGTAGATATGTGTAGACGTATATCAGACATTCTCCGACCTCTACTCCATGGTCCCGGGTGTAACCTATCACGTGTGTATCTAATGGCCATCATCGCTTCTAGGAACGTACGACAATGTGCAGAATATGCCTTGACCTGTGAGTCCAACTCCGGCTCGTTAACTCATTGTAACTCTAAACTGAATATTCGGATGATAACTCGGTTTGAAGATAATCATCAATCGAAGCTGTTTCTACAGACCACGGTTCTAAGAAATCTCGTCATTGCCTTCGAAGTTGTGCCTGGCTTAGCACAGTCTTTCTTAGTAGTCGTTTATTATACTATCATTTTCGGAGCTGTGCCTTAGCCCTTTTATTAAAGTCCCTGGTAGTGCAAATTAATTGTTTGGAACAGTCCCTCGGCTGAATATTTTTTGGAGAAGTGCCTTTCGGAATAATGCATTTTGTAGCGACGTCGCACTCTGGTTTCTACAAACGTTGACAATGTGCGGAAAGCGGAATATGCATGCCTTGGCCCACACGTAAACTCGTTGTAACGTAGAATTGGAAGACTCTGATTGTAACTCAGTCATAATAAAGGATTCTGGATTTGTTTTGCAGACCAGACCAAGTTCTGTTTGTTGCCCTTTTTTATTTGAGCTTCTTTACTCCATTAGCTCATTTGCTCGGTAAATGAAAGATCATATCTTTCTCTATAGCTGAAGATCTACAGTTACGGTACCCGAAAAGTGTCTAGATTTACGATTATAGCTCAAAAAATAGATTATCCCTCTACCCTTTCACTTTGCCGCATTTGTTTTACCATGCTACTCATCAGAAACGTCCTGATTGGTCGTAAACTCGTGAACATATTATCTCAACACTGGCAGGAACTGAGATAATCCGTTGCGTTTTTCATTGTGTCATGCCACGTTAAACTCAATGACATGCATATGACATACACGTTTCGACTAATAGATCGTAAAATATGATGCATGAAAGATGCAAACCAAGTTCAGAATTCGGAAGCTGGAAGGAGCTGCGCATTTACACTTGGATATTAATTAGGTTTTTGGGAAACCCCATATTGAATGCACAGCTTAATAAATCAGGAAGACAAAAATACAAAAATACAGATTGGAAGGCTTGTTAACCAAATATAGTTTGGTGTAAGAAATAGTATTATTGAGTGCCGAAGTTCCCTAGTAATTACAGTCTTATACACCGGTAACCAAGTGAAGATCCTATCAGGAGATGAAAAGTGAGCGTCCATCTTTACTGAATGTCAAGAAATCTTGGTAGAAGATTGAGCGCACATTATGTAACATAAAAATAGCTTAACAGCACTCAAAAGTATACCATCATTTTATTAAAACATGTTTTGATCCGTCAAAACCAATACTGTTGGGGTATTTTAAGGATAAAAAAATTCAATTTAGCTTAAACACTGTTTTATTTTGTGGGATATTTGATTTGTTCCAAATACCCTTTCCCCTCTTTACATCATAAATGAAATGTATTGTTAAAAAGAGAGGGCCTGAATTGAGATGATGTATTTGGAGATTGAATCGAGGCGTTATTTGGGACTTTGAATAACTCCCTCTAAAGACAGAACGTGAGTTAAACATTTACATAAGGCGTTTAGGTGATCCTCTCAAAAGCCAATAGAGTTTTGTATCCCTCTGAAATTTAAGTTTTGAGTTAATATCTACAGAAAGAGGGATCCAAGTCACGTGTTAGTTACAACTCGCTGAAACCAAAGTATTTTCTCAAACATGTAAAAATGTAAAACCCAAAGTCTATGAACCTAAGTTCTTGGGTAAGATCAACCATCAACCTCTCCAAAACGTAAGTCCTGCGTTAAACTATCTCTTAAACCTAGAACTTAAATAAAACCCTTTAAAAGACTCTCAGGTACTTAGTAGGATAAACCCTTCTAAACCCTAATAAATCTTGAGCTGAAATCGCTTAAAATTAGGTCATAAAAGGCATTCTACAGTTTAACACCTCGAAATAGTGAAGCTTCTCTAAATCTAAAACTATAAAATTTCTCTCAAAGCTCAGGTATTGAGTTAGTAAAATCCCTAGGATTAAATCATGCTTTAAACTTAGGCCTCAAATCATAGACCTCTAAAGCTAAGGTCTTAGTAAGTCAAACCCCTCTAAAACTCCGGTGGTTGAGGAGGGGACACCGAAGGGTCTCAGTCTAGTGAAAGTACTCGTTGGGGACACAACTGTCACTTTCCGCCGTAAGTTGAACAACACGTTGTCGTAGCTTTATCTTCCATTTATAATCACATAAAGCCATTTTTTTTATATACACACATTACACTACACTAGCCAGATGATCTACAGTATTATAACAGTAGATGTTTAAAATGTTTCTGTAACATAGTTCGATAAGTTTTGTGTTTAGTTTGGGAAGCTCGTGGTAAGCAGTGGGATAAAAATTGTATTTAACTGATTTCTAAATTTAATTATAATTTCAAATGCAATTTTGTTATGTGTGATTGATTTGAAAGGTTAACCGTATAATTTTTGCTATAATAATTTTAGTGAGTTATTCAGGAAGGACGTAATGAGGTATGTTCAAGAGTTGTTCTTAAAAACATTTTTATCGCTAAAAATTTTTAAATATTTTGTATTCAAACTTTTTATATTATTTTATTCATTTTTTCAAAGTTCTTTGCTGAACCCTGTTAACCTAAACACTTTGCTTATTTTGTTAACTATAACAATATTTAGGAGTAACATTAACATAAATTAAAAAAAAATCATCCAAACATTAGTTTTATCACTTGTATTCCCCAAAAACTGATTAACGTGTGTTGCGTTTTAAGCCTATCTAGTAATTCACTTTGTCCCATTTCAAACTTACCGAAGGAGAAAGTAAACGGGAAAATAAACCAGATTACTTCACCGGTGTCTACACTTTAAGTGCCAATTTAGACGCGTCTGGACATAGCTTCAAGTATAATTGTAGAAACCTCTCTCTTTGAAACTGAATTATATTTTACGTGTTACTCATATAGGACATGAACTTTTCGATATTGGAAACGTTAAAATCCGAAACTCGCGCTGTACTTTCAAAAATTTTGTAAAGAAGATCGGGATTTTGGCAGTTTTCTAAAAGTAAAAGATGACCCTGGTGTAAAAACGCCCAAATAAAACAAACCGGTAATACTTATGCATGCAAGCTTTCTCGGCGGGTTTCAAAGTTATTTTGCTGGTTTTGGCGCCAAACATGACGGCGAGCTCTCAGAAAATGGAAAAGCCAAAAACGTCCAAAACTATTTTCCCCACATAGTCAACCCAATGTTGGCTTGACAATTTGTATTACAGCCAAGCTTTGTCATACTTTTTTGTCATATATTCCATAAAATAATTTTAGTTTGGTTTTGTGAAGGAAATTCTTATTTTGGAACTATAACGTAACTTTTTTTTATTAAAAACCTTTTTTATTTTTTCACGATACAAATTATAACTACTTGATCGGTTCTAGGGTGAAAATTTGTTTGGCTATATTTTAAAATTAATAACTTAACAATAACCACAAAATTAATAATTTAACAATTTTTGCGCACAAAATGCAACAAGGGATATATTAATCTATCAGCATAATAAAACGTGAACCTACAATACACACATATTGAAGTTAGATCAAGCTTTGAATTATTTTAGCAAACAAATTGGTCATAACAGTAAGTGCCTTTGTTATCTAATACCGTGAAACCCCAGGTTATTTGGTATTTACAAACTTGACTCTATTATCAATTCAATCAGACATGCATTCTTACACTTAAGATAGAGTATGTTTTTAAACTCGATGATTCACGACCTTGTTCCCTATAATAGTTGGAAGACCGGCGATTTCCAACAGATGATGAGGTTTTTTAACCACGGAAACGAACATAACTTTAACAATCGTAATTGAATTAGCAGCTTCATTCATCAATTTCTATAAGGATCCTTCAAATTGTTGTAAATGTTTTCCTTTTGGTATAATTCCTTCTTTTTATGCTTTCTTGCTATTTCTTTCGTGATCTTTCACTATGCTTTTTACAAAAATATTTTGTTTGAGCCATATTTTAATTACGTTTCCTGATCACTGCTCAATTTGGGATTTTAAAGGTAAATAAAGTAATTTACATTTTGAAGGCTGTGTTTTCCAAAACTGAGGGTTGCTGAGTACATAAATAGCTTCAACTGTGTACTGACATACATAACCACCGGTTAAAAATAACATTAATGCAATTTACTTACCAGCAGAATACCCTGCATTATTCTGGTATTTGTGTTTTGAATAGTTAAACAAAATCTCATTAAGTACTGATCATCCCATTAAATCTAGTTTGTTTTTTCCACCGAGCTACTCATTGACAAAAATGATGGTTAAGAAAGGGACCTTGTATCGACAAATAATTGTTTTCTTTAATTTTATTCATAAAATAAACTACTTAATTATCGGAACAAACAAAGTGTTGACTTCCATAGGATTATTCATAATCGGTTTACTATTAGGCTTTGCAGGTAGCAAAACCTCTACCGAAGCGTTATCCAAGAGTTAAAACCTAAACTCTTCAGTCTAGAGTTGTTTAACGTCTAATACATTTTTCATTGCAGTTCCCTTTGAAGTTACCAAGACCGTTTGAAAAAGACAAAGCTGTAATTTTTTGGTCCATGAATGTCATCTTTTTTACGCGTTGAAGAAATGACATTTATGATCTAAGTACAGTCTGTTTAAGGTATAATGTCAATAGAAACACCAGCCGGGGTCTGATTTGTACTGCCGGTTTGTGAGTCATGCAGAACTCTGACGACCCTAGAACAGTTTTTACTTTTCGATACTAATGTAAAAACGAAACCTCTGTATAACCGGCTGTCTTTTCATCCATAAACCACCGGAAAGTTTCATCACTGTAGCTAAAACTCAAATAGTTTACGTACGTCTGTGGTTACTGCAGTAAAATATCTGAAATGATACTCTGATGATAGGGCTTTTTAAGGCATTCTAAAAGGACTTTCGAGGTGGTACCTTGCAAAGTAAATATTAAATTTTCTCCGTCACAACTATCAGAAAAACTACAATGTTAACGTTTTTCAACTACTTATTATACGTGTTTTGCTACTCATTACAGTGCATTACACGCCTTATTGAAAAGGACCACTTATTTGCAAAACGATGGGTCCCTCAAACAAGAACTTTCTGTTTTGGAGCACCCAAAGATACTCAAGCTAGATACCAAGGTTTACAAGAATTTGTCTTATATGTAATCATAATCTTGGGGTCTTGGATAACGCATTCGGATGTCTTTACGAGTGTATATTGTAAGAAAGGGAATTAACCCCGTACCCACGGTGCTCATCTATGCAGACACTCTGCATATATATTGGTATGTGTATGTGTGTGAATAATGAATGCGTGTTTTTGCGCATATGTGTGTGTGTTGGTGCATGCGCGTGTATACGTCGTAGACACGCGAACGTCATGCTACATTAGTCACAACCGACAAATTACACGGCTACAACTTGACTAATAGGTAGTCATGAAAGTCATGACTGCGCTGACAGTTACAGACCAACTACAACTACACTCAGCGATTGAACTTTGACCTCGAATGACTAACGGCGAGCAGACTGATCTTACAATGTCGTCATTTTACACCTTGTCACTAGAAAGGTTTGTCAGACTCTTTGTATAACTTGTATTTAGTTGTTGAATGCCCACACTCAGGTAGTTTCATATTATTTTTGAAATAATAAATTAGTTCTTGAAGGCAACGATGACCTTGTGTGCGTATTTTAACCTGAATAGTGGATGCAGAATGGTGTGGATTAACGTCCGCACTAGTGAGTACTACGACTATCCGCAGTACTATCCTGATAATTATACCAATTCGTTAATACCAAGGCAAAAATGTGCTTCGGATTCCACTATGAACTGTAGGTCCCTTAGTTGCCATTAGCTGAATGGGCTATTACAGATGTGTCTAAGGAATATGTCAGCCTTATAGTCACTAACAAGACTACATGATCGCGCCACTCATCCTGCACTCATCTCTATTCATACTTGGCTTAAAATACCTACTTCGTATGGTTGCCATTTCATTGAAAAGTATTAAAAGTATTAAAGGAGTGTGACCAAATGTTTTGGTCAGGATTTGATGGATCAGGTCATCTGATTTTTTAGTCACTAGGTATATTTAAATTTAACCAGTAATCAAGAATAAATTAATTCAATTTTGGACAAAAAGCTCTTGAATTTTTCACGATCGAACTGGCAACCTGTTGGTTACTAAGTGAGCCACTTAGTACTCCATACTAACCTATCTAGTTTTCATTTCCAGAAACAATTAGGTTTTATCATCGACTTTGATACTACAAATCTGATACTTAGTCTACGTGAATTCTAGGGTTTTTAATGTTGTTTGAACCTATGCGTCTCATTGCATTCAGTACTTGAGTGCGTTGAATTCGATTGTATGTTTCCTTGTATTTTTGGTATAACAAAGTGTAGAAGATAAGCGGCAGTTAAAAAACGTGTTATTTGATCGTAGTAGTTTTATATCAGGTAATAGAAAAAATATCAGGTAAATAATTCAAGAAATTGAGAGCTAATATTAAAACACACTTTAGATATACTGGAAACGCTCAAAACTGACTTCACGTGATCCACAAAGATAATAAATTGACAAGAGAGTGTTTAATACATTAATTTATTTAGGTCCAAACCAATTAAAATGAGAATACTGAATACATACCATTATAGATTTAAATAATGCCGCGTCTGGGAGACTTTAATGAGTGGAAATAAGTATTTCGTTTGTCGATACATTGTTGTACATTCACGCACGTACTATATTTTTTTTATTTAAGAGGCCGCAATTAGTGATTTATGCTCTCAAATGTTTCAAATAGCAAAAGTATTGTTTTAGAACGTTTCACAGATACGTTCAGATGGATATGTAACACTAACCATATTTAATTATTGTCATCAGTCAGGGTTTCAAAAATCCATTGAATGTCGAAAGCCTTCCATGATAAAATGGTGTTGATCACTGTTAAACCCAACTCTGTGAGAGACCACACGAAAATGATTCAATATAATTTGAAATAGCTATTCCTGGCTCCTACTTTATTCCGCATTCACCCGGCAAAATTGTACCGATTCTTTCATAGGGTGTACTAAATGATCTTGAAACGAACTATCACACCGTGTACCCCCGAAGCAATGCGATAAGACGAAAAATACGCTGAACATTACGAAATTTCAACTCTTCTGCACAGTCTAATTCTAAACACATAATTCACACAAAATACCTTTCATCTCCACACCTTTTGTGAGACTCGAAAAGTAAACTGTAGAGTTACACAATGCTCTCAACTCTTTCTTCTTCTGACCCATTTCAATTCTTCGCTGGCTCGTCAGTTATCCACGGCGTTTGTTCTTCAGCGGCTTTTACCAGGTGCGATCACTCAAGTTGCCCGTCCTTGGGCCATCAGCGTAGCGGCGACTGTCATATATCAGAGGCCCCTTGGGCCATCAGCGTACGAGCGGCGACTGTAATATATCAGAGGCCCCTTGGGCCATCAGCGTACGAGCGGCGACTGTCATATATCAGAGGCCCCTTGGGCCATCAGCGTACGAGCGGCGACTGTCATATATCAGAGCCCCCTCAAGGCTACACCGGCTTCTGTTTGTTTACACTATGTCTGGTAGATAAATATTTTCGCCGATCGCTCGCAGACATCTGTATAATTCTTTCACACGGTTTAACTACTGTGAACTTTGAACCAGGGGGCCATCTTTAATATTTGTACAGAATATCTCATGGCTGCTCTTCGTGCTCATTGTGAAATTTTGAGATTGTTTACACATAATCATTTGCTAGAACATGTTTATTCTTTTGAATCATAGAAACGTTTAATATCTTGTAATATTAGCCAAACAAGATCAAGGCTTGTGTCTATTACAAAACTAATCTTACTGATATTATCTTCAATAATTTAAGTAGTTTCGGAGCGAGCCCAAGTTCTTGCAGTGACTAATACTTCAAAGTAAGGAAGGTAAGAAGTTTCTTGCTGCTGATAGCCTTTTTCGAATTCAGCGTGAAAAATACTAGGTATTTTCTATAGTTTGGCCCGTTAAGGGGAACCAAACAAATTGTTAAAACCTCTTCTTTCTCATCATTTCAGTAGACTAGGTATGATATTATTTTAATAGAAGTTAAATATATGTCAAGAAAAAGATAGACCGCAAAATAATATTTTTGGGATAGATTTACATTGACCAAAGAATACTCTCAGAGTATAGTAATAAAGTTCCCCGAGCAAAGCTCGGTCCCCAGGTACTGTGCTTTTAAATCAAATACGTCTGTGAATTCAGCACCACACCAAGTGCTTAGCGAATTGCCCGAGGCGTAAGTCAATTATCATGTACTCTAGTGCGATCAAATCTGACATTTCCAAGTACCAGAATATTCTTCCTGGAAACAAATTGTTTGTTTACTACTACTTTGCATTGTGTTGTTCATACCATCTGGGCTACGAAATAAACACATTAGAAGTACGAGATTAATGACTCTGGACAAAACAGATCTCCAAAGAGGGGCCGGATTAGCTAAATATAGCCACGGGTGACCACTCGGTGATTCAGCCACCCCTTTCACTTCTTTCACCTCTCCCCCGCAGATCGCGAGCTCCGAGATTCGAGGCTTTGAGCTCCCCTTGACCTCAATGGCCGCCGGAAGCGTCGGCACCCTGTCCGCATCACAATGTAGTGAAAGCACCCAACTCTTTCACTTTCCGTGCCTTTGTGCGGATTACGGGAGCGAGCGTCTTCGATGTGACGTCATGAGAGAACCACCGTCGCGCCCTGCATTGTCTGCCGGTGTTTGGGTGTGGAATAATCTCGGATGAAATGTATTAGTCGGATGGCGGAGGGGAAGGTATTTCCACTGGAGTACAATTTAGATACTCTTTCGAGGTGAGCAGTTTATATTTTGTATAGGATTACAGATATTTGAAGCTCCGTAGTCTGAGGTAGAACCCACTCACCCAGAGGAAACATACGGTAGGAGTTCGATACTTATTTTTTTCCTAAGTGTCGTGAATCTTATTTGATCCTTTCGATGGCACTAAGGAATGCAACTGAGACCATGATTCAGGGGTGTAGGAGGAGTCCCCGTAAATCTGTGGACGTTAATAAGAGGACGAATTAACACATTTGGTTTGTCCTGCATAGCTCAATCGAAGCTAATCAATTCAACCCTAACAACTTGCGATACAGGATAACTTTTCGATTCCATAGATTATTTTCGTTTAATTTTTCGTTGTAGATAGAATTTGAAGTCACTTGGCCGTCCTAGCTAGTAATTCTTTCTGCACAACACTCTCTACGTAGATAAAAATGTCTAATACGTGCTTGAAGATATTGACCCTCTCTGAACCATGCTTAAAACCAGGAAAGTTTATTTTCAGTCAGTTAGGTATCTCGGTAATATTTTATCCTGCTAATTGACATCAGTAGATGGAATTTTGCTCTATAAATTCACATTCGCGACACATTCCTCATTGTGGTATGTGAGAATGTGACAGTGGCGGAACTCAATGTTGGTGAGTGGTTTGTGACCACGGTCATTTGGCCTTCGCTGGACAACAGACATATATAACAACATACACATACACGCATGCACGTCTTGACCATTGTCTACTACCGTATGTTAACAATCAATAAGTAATCTAATATCAGATCTTGCAGAACAATAGTTGTTGCTAATAACCAACAGTTGATTGGGGGTGTGGCTGGTATAGTGATTCTAGTGTGTAATTGTGTTCTAGAGGCCCTGGGTTCAAATCACACTAAACTTGAATTGTTTTGTCTTTTGTTTTTGTGTCCTATGGTGCTAGACACGAGCCCGGCATTGTTTTCACATTACTTCAAGCTAGACTTAGGGGTTGTGTCATTATCTCTTAGATAAAATCCATTGGTGATTTAACGGGGTTTGAACCCGGAACCTCGGGGATCAAAGTCTCATGCTCTAAACACTAGACCAGCTCGCTCCGCTAGCCTTTAATGGATATATCCTATTATATAGTGACCCGGCAGGGTCTTAAGAACATGGATAAGACTGAACCCTTCTCGTATACCACATCCATCTGAAACAAACCATATGACAAAAGTCGAATAGAACAAGGTTTTTCCAAGTTTAACTACAAGTGGTTTGATGATTATTGGTTACAAATAAAAAAAAATTAAGACAGTAAAGCTTTATTTTGTGTTATATATTTACCTGCTACTACGAGTATACTCGTGGTTCACATCGGGATGAAGACACAATAGGTAATAAAGTAGTTCTTTAAATATATTGAATTAAAAAGTTACACCGCCTCGATTGATAATACAAACAAAATGCAATTGTTAGTTCCATAAAAACTATCATCGGTTTGATTTAATCACCTGTATGGACAGAGTAACTTAAAAGGGGGTTTTATAATCAACGACAAGAAAACGTAACAACGGTTTACTGTGGCTTTGAACATAATACTTTAATAATTTTGTTTGAAATGGTGACCACCACATGATTTAATTTTAACCCGCTGCAAAAGCTGCTACTACCATAGATAAAACATACTCCCTTGTATTGGTTCGTCCATACACCTTTGACTACAATAGTCAATGCTACTACTAAACATAAACAAAACAATCAATCAGTTAAAGAACTGTGAATGTCTTGAATCTTAAAAAGTTTTCTCCTGGATTAACATCACACACACGTTTTGTACGTGACCCCCCTAAGTAGCGTAAAGTTTCTATTGATATGCATGATGATGATGATACTCATATTCCATGAACATCTGGTGGTTTCTCCATGCCATAATTTCTGAAATATTTAAATTGTTTAAGCACACCAGTGACAAGGACAATGTATTGTGAATTGGCATCGACCAAAAGTATATCTTGGTAGCTGAGTAGACAGTATTGTTCAGAAATTAGTATTAGAGGACTGCTGGTTCGATCTTTAGAGAAGCCAATAACTTTTTATGGTTCGAAACTGGATCAGACTGTCCTTGATCATTGGGATTTTAATAAATGGTCCTATTTTATCTTTGTAGCAAAGCTTAGATAGGACTAAGACGGTGGCGTCGTCCTGTAATCCAGCTAATAGGCGGTCACGAATTGTGGATTTTTATAGGTTTGCTCTGTGGATGCGATGCTCCCTGGTGTGGATTAACGTCCGCACTAGTGAGTACTACGAATATCCGCAGTGCTATCCTGATAATTAGACCAATTCGTTAATACCAAGGCAAAAATGTGGTTCGGATTCCACTATAAACTGTAGGTCCCTTGGTTGCCATTAGCTATTAATTAACAGCTTTGTCTAAGGAATATGTTGACCTTAGTCACTAACATGACAAGATCACGCCACCCATTCTACACTCATCTCCATTCATACTTGGCTTAAAATACCTTCTCTGTATGGTCGCAATTTCAATGAAAAGTATCAACTCATTCACTTATCTTCACCTAAAAAAACACAAACCCTATAGTGTCTCCCGTACAAATTGAACCTGTGAAATTATCAATTATCAATTATCAATCATTAAGATGGGGACGCCACTTAGGTGCTTATTTCAACCCAAATATGAGTGAAGGATGAGTGTAGAATGGTGTGTGATGATCTGTGTAGCTTTGTTACTGACTAAAATCAGCTGTTTCATTAGCCAGGATCATTTATTTAAAGCCCAATGATCAAACTGGACAATTCTCAAATTAGAAAAGTTAAGGGAGGTCCATGTGAAATTTCTAGTTATAAACACGTGTCTGTAGTCTGTGATGCCATGACTATCACTTCCGTCTAGAAACTCCCACATGGATGACGTAATAAAGTCATAAACTAATTGGCTCATATGTCATTTATTACTGGTCACTTAGGGAGAAAGCTCTTTCCCAGTTATTTTACAATACATATGCACCAATTTCTTTTGCTTGTGTTTAGTTCAGTATTTGTAAAATAATATAGCGGTGTGTAAAATAATATATAATCTAACACCATGATTTTTACAGGGAACAGCAGCGCTATGGATAAACTTCAAGATTGCTCCTGATATTGGATTTTGAAATCGGCTTACACTAAATCCTCTGACAGCAATTATTGTAAGTAAACCATTTTGAGTAATCTAAAACATATTCTAATAATTTCGCCTAAAAATAAGAATAATTTCATTTAATTTATTTACAGAAAGGTGTGTGTTTTCTTCAGTAAGAGTTTTTTGTGGGTGGGATGGTGGGTCATATTCGGTGCTGCGATACAAATAATAATTCGCACTGTCAGATTTAATAGTCTCTCAGTTTCAAAGGGATATTTAAAACGTACTATACCAACGAAAAATGTACGCTGTAAGTTTCAGTGGAAGGTGGTCTAGGACTCGCCTTATCCTCGGCACTATAGAAAGAGCTTTTTACTTTTTACATTCGGTGATGTGGGATTTTAACCTCATTTAGAGTAGGGGATAAATCCTCGTCTGGAAGACCTATTTTCTACCTTCTAATTAATCAGCTGTTAGCTTGGTAAGTGTGCTTAGCTATATAGGCTACGCAGTTGACAAGTTCCAAAACAACGACAAATTTGACGCCATAACTAGAAATATGATAGCGTTTTTTCATTCCTCTGTCTTCGCTTCATTCCATCTAAGAAGTTCTGCAATGCAGTTGTGTGACATTAAAGCATCTGATGACATCCATCTTAATAATCAGCTGATGACCGTCAGCTGTTGATAGATGACAGACCGTCGCGCCAGCGTGAAAGGTAGAAGACCAGGTTATGCAACAATAATAAAGGGATACAATTAACCGTACAGTTCCAAGTATTCTAACACCTTCCAACAGTTCCTGTGATTATGCAAGTCATGATCGAAAGGTGGGATAGCAATAAAATTAAATGGCGAAACTTCGTGTTTGCGTTATGGGAGAGTTGAGAATATTCCCACATGATAATTGGGACTTATATTGAATGTGTTTGCGAAGCCTCTAGTTTGTAGCTTGAGGGAGGAGTAGTTATTTCCATTAGTATTCTGGGATGCATCTAAACCTCATTATACTTAGAGAATTCAATTTAAGTCCAAGACCTTCTGAAGAACTATAATTTTGCAATACACTGCACTATTCCTCAAATAAATAGGTAATACTGAAGTCGAAAATTATATTGTTTACCTTTATAAGCTATATAAACAAAGTGTGCATCGCATTCGCTACTATAATTATAAACTAACTGACCCCCAAGGTGGCCTTAGTAGACTAAATGTATCGAGTATCGACTTTGCAGTATGACGACAAATCATTTGAATAATTCAAATACAGGAACCAGAGACCCCGTACTGATAAAAGCAAATTATTTACTATTCATTATCTAGCTATAAAATAAGCAAATATTGACACTTTGTAACATTAATTAGGTATCCAGTTGCAGTAGGAAGGGGTCTATCAATGTAGGCCAAACCACAGGTGTACACCGAAGGAAACTAGAGACATATTTTACATTCCAGAAAGCTAAAATTAACCTCAACCGGCTAAAACTGTACAAATGTTATGGGCTTCGATATATTTTCAAACAAAATAAATACCCGAAATGTTATGGTTAACGTTCATGAAGAGTTACAGCTTTTCCAATGGGTGTGTAAAATAAGTAAAGTGTAAACAAAAGAGATACAATAACATGACTAGCTTAACTATGGAAACGGGTAGGTTGTATACAGTAAGGTATATCTAAGCCAACAAAGCATACAAGTATTTTATTAGTAAGTTTTTTAACTTTGGAAACATATTTTTTTTTGTAACCAAACACTATAAAAATTATACAAATTTTAAAATATTTTTTTGTTTTAATTCAAATAAATATAATAACAAATATTTTACTACCTATCTATTACGTACACTACCATATAGGTACGTTACTCCTCACTCCACGACTTAAAAAATAACTTTGATGAAAGAAACAAAGCGGTTCAGGAAAATCAAAGGAAGTCAAATCTTAACATTAGCTACTCGGAGGGTGATAATGATTTCAGTAACAAAAGAAAGTCATCGGAGAATGTCCTTGATTAATGCACAGGAACAAATAAAAAACGGCGATTGTTTGGTTCAATAGAACAACCTGCACATGGTTGATTCGATTATTTTCTCGAGATTCGATAGTACTGTAATGTATTTTTCTACGAATGGATGTAACCTCCCCCACCCTTTTGCGTTCCAAACCCTGTTACGAAGCAAAGTAAAAGCTACTGGTTGGTTGACAAAATTACTTCATCTCTTCAGCTGCCCTATTTTTGAAATGGTTGACAGTTGAGTCAATCGTCAGCACTCAACTCAACAAACAACATGATTTGGTATTTTTGAAACCCAACAGTTGGGAAGCGAGTTGGGAATCACTAGTTGAGAGACTCGTGGTGGAAATGTAGAGCATACGACCGTCAAAAAATCAGATGACGTCATTTTGAACCAATCACAATGCAGAGTTTTTGCGGACTTCGATCCTCTTCTTACTCTAAAATCTGGCAGCTAGAGCTAATCTCAATCTGCCATATATCGAGACACTGAGGTAAACTGTCAACTCCGTTCTTGAGAGATTGAGATTGAGGTTATGTCTTGCTTAATCTTAAATCTTAGTGATTGCAAAGTACCTTAACTTAAGTAATAAACTAAAGTAAACTAAATAAAGTAATAAACTTAAGTATAAAAAATAAAATTTACTATGGATGTTTGTTTTAGGGTGTAGCTAATTATAAGTTTAGGCATAGGCTGCACTTTACTTTAGATCCTACACTCATCCTATAAATACATTATTATTTGCTTTCTTCGTCTCTATTTCGGAACACATCGCCTTATTTTAGTTTCCTTTCCTTCATCGGTTTGTTTTATGTTATTTTTAATTGTTTTTTATTTAGGTTAAAGCGGCTATTTGCCATTGCACTGAAAGCATATCGTAACTTAAATTAATTTGATCCCTTTATTAGGTGAATGGTATTGAAACAAACTATTATATTGTTTCTCTCTACCACAATCTTTAATACCTTCAATCATAGGTCTAATAACAATAATTATCTTATAATAAGTTCAATTAGTATGCCTAGTATATTTCAAACATTCCAACAAGAATAAAACCCTTGATTAAATAGTCTAGTATTGACACAGTAAATAAAATTAAAATGCGATTATTCTACAGAAAACAATCGCATAATTGGGTGCTAATACATTGACAACAAATACATAACCTCTAAATCGCAATTAGTAAATTAAAGCAATAACAAAACAATATGGCGTCGTCTCAAAAAGAGTAATTTTTTGCCGAAAGAGAGGAAGAAGAAAGTGCAGTCAACCTCCACTCAACAGCTCGATAGGTGTTGAGTAGTTTTGGTTGTATAAGTCCACCGTCAACCGTTTCAAAAATACGAAACGATTGGAAATAGAATGACTCGACACTCAACTCAACAGTCAACCATTTCAAAAATAGGGCCCCAGAGCTTTTGATTGAGTTGAGAACCATCAACAGCTGCTTATAGTTTTGCAGTCAACAGTAGTGATCAGTGACAATTTGAAATCATGCCTTCAACCGAATCTTGATCAATCAAACCACGTTAGATATTTTATACCTCCACCGATCAGAAATATACCCCTCATGTAAGGAGATTCTCCTGTGTTTTTTCTGCAGGTTGCACCACAGTCACTGACCTCGGCCAGTCGACACAGACATCAGCTGAGGTGTAATGGGGTATTGACAGCTCATTAGGACCAGATTGCCTCAAGGCCTCGGGAAGCGGGTCACTAGTGAGGAGTAGCCTCAAGTAATCGACATAAAGCCCTGAAATGAATGTCTGGAACCATCACAATACAGGAATCATTCAAATCATCATAACACAATGTTGTAATTGACTGAAACCGCCACAGCAAAACAAAAGTTGCTATATCAAACTTTACAAGGCAAATACTACGAAGAAATAAATGCCTCGAACCATTACACTACAAGATGATAGATTATAAATGCCTCAAACGTCACAAAAAAATAGAATAGAATACAATATTATAAAATACGAGAAGATACAGCACTAGCCAACGTCCAGACATTGCTGGAGTCATTTTCGCTTTTGAACCCCTTTAGTTGATCCCGCATAAAGAATTTGGTCTGTCTAAATGATAGAAAAATGGACAGTTGACATATGGGTCTATAGGGTTTGTTTATTGAGGAGCTAGAACCATAAGACACTACCTACGAAAGCGAGATGAGATGTAATCTTTCCCGAGTTTACAAAAAACACAACCTTTTTCTGCACAGGTAAACTTTAAAAGCAAGGTGAATAACCAGAGCTTGCAGAATGCTATCAAGTAGACCCCTTATGTGTGTGCTTTGCTGTAAGACTATCACCCGTCTTTAAATTTAGTATCCCAGATGGTATCTTAACAATTAAGCTATCTCAAGCCTGGGTGTAATTGCTGCTACCAGATTCGTAGTATTGCATCATACGATCAGCCGAGTATTGGATCATTCATCGAGGTTGGGTTATTATCAGGAAAGCAAAAACTTAGTCTGTTTCTATCTTTTCAATTCATTAGATTTGGTTGGATTTATACACGACGCTACGAACCCGGCTGCGTTTTCATGGATGATGAGTGAAATGAGATTGATGGATGAATTATACGATTGACTTAATTGCTACTTACTAAGATCAGCTAAATCTTTAATCAGGACCATTGAAAGCCCAATGATCAAGCTGGTCCCAATCCCGAACTTTTAAGTCTTGTGATTTGTTCAGGATCGAACTGCTGACATTCTGATTACCAAGCGAGCACCATATTCACTGAGCAACCTAGCTCTTTATCTTAAAACGATATGTTACAATGTGTTGACAAATATGACTAAAGATACAAAAATATAGTTTGCTGTAAAATTGTCCGCCTATCGTAATCGGAATGATGTTTTAGTCCGAAACTGGACTCAGTTGCCCTTGATCCGTCATTCAATCCATTTATCCATCCGACAATACCCTAATGGCTATTGTCAGATTGGTAAATGTTCCTGCCTACAGGTCCAGTGCTTCCTGGTTCGAGTCGTAAAACACTGATCTTATCTAAGCCTTATAGTCGGCAAAACAAGACTAAATGCAAAAAATAACCAAATCTAATTAGTTCACTGTTTCAGATGTCAGTGCTACTTCTGCTGCTGGGTCTACTAGCGGTGGTAGTCAGTAATCCACCTCTCCCCTTGCCTCACCCTCATCTACCGCCCCCACCTCCACCCCCACACTGTCTGGAGTACGGGGGCTGCAGACGACACCACCACGCACCCTTCGTCCCCGCGCCTCCGGGCAAGACACCCTCCTGTGCTAAACATGGGGAGACGTTCTGCGAGAAGATCGACCGCTACCCTACGTGAGTGTATTAATAATTGGAATGTATATTTCAACAGCATAGACTTTCATCTCATGAAGAATGGCTAGAAAAGTAAAGTACCGTACCGCTACCGTTCAAGCTTTGACTAGGCTGTTAGAAGAGAGAGATACACTCTGCAACTAACCTAACTTAGCCTAAAAATGAGAGATTGGCTCATAACTTCTGACCAAAATCACGCTATACATTCGTCCAATGTACGATTTCAAAAGTTACTAAATAGGAAATCCTCACCACATCTCGACCTCCCTCTACCTGGCGGCTCCTTAGTCCTCTTGATAAGATCTTAAATTTCTATCCTCCTACCAGGTCAACATGGACTCAAGTTTCATCATATGGTTCAAGTTTCAAACCACGTTTTGATACATAAATAATAAATGCACAACATTCACATTTCTCCTTCAACCTGACCTTAAAGAAATGAAATTCAAGCTCACATTAACATACTTACTAATGTGGACATTTATTTCTCTTTGAATGTATTATTTCAAGGTGCAGGATGTAGTTTGAGGTTAAGTGAATGCATAGTAATAGTAATGTATGTATGTAGCTTAGAACATATGTTAGGTTATAAACCACACTGACAACAATAAGCGTCCAAAACAGCTGGGTGTGGTTGCCACAGCCTTCTAAATTGATTGTTGGAGTCATGGTCAATGCCACTTGTATTGTTGAGGATTGAGATTGTCAATGCCAAATTAAATTAATTATTAATGAGTTGAAATGGCGAGGCGTGTTAATCAGTATCAAAGTACTAGTACCATTGACTATATAACACTGTATAGTCAATGCTAATACTAGTAATTTACATGGGACAATGCATATTGTCAATGCTATAGTACTAGTAATTTACATGGAAACATGCATGTTTGGTATTTCAAATGCAGTAACATTTTTAAACCTATTCATTTGGTTTATAATGTAAAACATATCCTAATATTCCAATAACCACACCATCCATACATATACTTTTAGTTCAAACCAAACCTTTTATTTGTGGCCAACATCATCTGCAACTCATTACAGATAAATCTACAGGAAATTTGCAATTGCAGCAAAGCTACATTTACGATTATTCATAATATACAATAAACATATTATAAAAGAAATTGAAGTATGCAGTAATATTATTTGGTTTAACACAACAATTTTGAGAAATGGAAGCATTAATTTTATTTAACTGTGCTTTTTATTGACCTCACATTCTTAGTTGGCAAATATTAATTGTTGATAATCTATGGTACACTAAAGGAAAAAATACCCTCGTGCCGCAAACCTGCAGACTAAGCGAATTTCCATTTACCTGGCTGGATTTCTACTAAAATATTCCCTGAAAATTGTCAGATTTATCTCCTATTTAAATAACATTAATTTTAATGAGTACCGTAGCCTACCTAGGTTTGCTGCTATAGGGAAGGTGCAGGGGAGGTGTTTTTTTTAATTAAATGTTGATAGCTTAGTACAAAATAAACAAAATTGCCAAAATTTGATCAAAATATATCCATAAACAAGCAAACTACCGGTACAACAGTTTATTTATTCTCAATAAGAATAACATGTGAATTTTAAATTTAAAGTTTTAAAAAAATAACCCTGTAACTGTTAGGCGTAGCCTACAACATACAAAATTATTTATTTTTTTAAGCCCTACAAAATGGTCTGGAAAGATATTGTGAAATTTTTGTTTTTAGAGTCAAAACTGGGAAAAATAATTTTTGACCCTATAACCACCCCATAAACTTCCGTTCCCATAGTCCGATCATGCTGGTTCACAAACTCGTTTGAGCAAACGTTCTCTGCTTTTCTTTCTGTTTTTCATGGTAAGACCTGGATCCGGGACCAATTAACTTTTCGTTTTGTTGTCCCCAGAGGTGAAAACCATTACAGTAGGTCAAATTCATAAATGTATGTCTTTTGCTATGATGACTTTAGCAAAAATCATCTGATTACTGTATGATGAAATTTGATACAAAGGTGTAAACTAAGCTTGCATGATCGAACTATGGAAACCGGGGTTCATAGGGGTTTTGTAGGGTAAAAATTGTTTTCCCCCATTTTTTAACCTCAAAACATAAAATTTTGCGATTTATTTCTAAATCATGTTGTAGAGATTTGAAAACATTGGTCTTTTTTGTGGGAAAATTTGAGATTTATTTCTAAATCATGTTGTAGAGATTTGAAAACATTGGTCTTTTTTGTGGGAAAATTTGAGAAATTCATTTTCCTTTTAGCGAATTTCCCTATAGGGAAGTAGCTATTTTTATTGTATGTTGGGGGCAGTGAAAAACAATTAAGGTATTCAACAAAAAATGGTTGATAATCTTTTACCAGTATTTTACTGATGTTAGTTATTCCTCAAAAGTCTGACAATAATGACCAATTCCACTTTTTCTTCTACGTTAATATGTCAGGTACACAAGTTATATTGCTGATATTTCGTATATGTAATATCAACCAATTGAGAATAAAAACTAATGAACTATTCTAATCACCTCATTTTACCTCCTTTGAATTCGGCATTGTATGTAGTTGTATGTTTTCCTTAGAGATACTATATGCATTGTGTTGCAAAAGAAAGTCTCTTCAGGCTATGCATGTTTTGCTCGATACATCTAAATTTGCTAGTTGGTATTGATTGACTTGGGGGAGTGTTATATATCCAAAAAATCTATCTTTTATTTTAATATTAATCATATGACTGGAATAATTTCACATTGTAAATAATTCAATGTTTATCTTCATTATTAAGAAATAAACATGTATCAAGAGTTGTGTTCATATATTTTGTATTAATTTGTATTTAATAATTTGGCGACGAGGAAGAAAATGACTGAAATACAAGACCTTATATCTACTTTGAACAATTTTATGACATTAATGACACAACATACAAGTCAACAGACAGAACAGCCTAGATCAAAACATAGTACCAAGGACCTACTACAGAGCAATGCCTTGATGTTTGATGCTTATGATGAAAGTAAGGAAACGTTTGAAAGCTACACTCAGCGTTTAGAAATATTTTTTAAAATAAAAGGATTGACATACAAGGATTCAGAGACAGAACAATTGAAAGGTTTATTTTTAATCAATTGCTTAGGTGCTAAGCACTACAATCTGATCTGTAGTCTAACATCTCCAGACAAACCAGACTCAAAAACATATCAAGAGTTACTGATATTACTAAATGAGCACCTAAGCCCAAAGAAGAACATACTTACAGAACAGCACAAATTCTTATCTCGTTTACAAGATGGAAATGAATCAATCACAAATTATGTTACAGACCTCAAACAACTGGCTTGTTCAGCAGATTTCAAATCTGGGTGTAATGAAGGAAAATGTACAAAATCAGTTATAAATCTTATGCTCAGGGCTCAATTCATCAGAGGTTTATATGACTCAGACATCAGAGAAAAACTCTTACAACTGGGTGAAATATCATTTGAAAAAGCCTTAGAAATCGCCTTGGCTATAGAGGCATCAAAACTTGACAATCAGATTTTATATACTAATAATAATCAGAATGACATTCACAAAATAAGTAAAACAACAAAGAACAAAATTGGACCTAAAAACAACAATTTATCAACCAAAAACTATTTCTCTAATGACTCCTCAAGCAAAAAGAAAGACAACAAAAACAAAAGGCTACAAAGACTGGGATTTTCAGATGTCTGTTTGCACTGTGGAAGGAATAACCATGAAAAACAAAATTGCCGATTGATAGATGAGCTAAATTGCAGGTATTGTCATAAAGATGGACACATAGAAAAGGTTTGTATAGCAAAACGAATACAAGAATTACAGTACCGGTATTCAAAGAAAAATGTAAAAAGAATTGATGAAATTGATTCTGAATATGAATACGACGTCCAAAGGATCATAAATGTATTAAAGAATGACGAAGGAGATGACAGAATGATGATAAACGTATCTCTAAACGGTAAACAGCAACGTTTCGAGTGTGATTCTGGAAGTCGTGTTAGCATAATAAACAATGATGACTTCAAGAAACTAGACTTACATGTTCCAGTTTGCAAAACAAGTGCTCTTTTTCGATCTTATACTGGACAAATATTCAAACCAATCGGGGTCTGTACCCTAAGCATATCTTACGAAGGGAGATCTTGCAGAGAAGATCTACATTGTAAATCTACCTAAAAACGCTATTCTTGGAAGGGATTGGATTCGAAAATTGAAAATTAACTTACACAATATTAATCTTGTTAGTATGAAGAAACCAGAGGTTGATACCAACACTGTTGTCAAATCCATCAAGCAAAGATTCTCAAGCGTTTTTGAACAATGAATTGGTAAAACACCCAACTTCACATGCTCTTTAAAACTAAAGGATAATTCAAGACCTATGTACTTAAAACCCAGACCAGTACCTCATGCCCTTCGAGAAGCTGTTGAGAATGAACTAGATAAACTCGAAAAGGAAGACATAATAGAGAAAGTGGACCAATCTGAGTGGGGAACACCAATTGTTGTGATTCCAAAAGCAAATGGATCTGTCCGTATTTGTGCGGATTACAAGGTAACTGTGAACCAACAACTACATGACAGTCGTTACCCAATACCAAGAATAGAGGATATCCTTAACAAAATGAGGAATGGAAACTATTTTTGCACGTTAGACATTTACAAGGCTTATTTACATCTTTCAGTGGACTCTGAAAGTTCTAAAATCCAGACAATTACCACACATAAGGGTACATATATAGCCAAAAGACTGTTTTTCGGAATTAAGACAGCTCCAAATGAATTTCATAAATTTATTGACCAAGTCGTACAAAATCTTGAAGGAACAGTGGCTTATTTTGATGATATTGTTGTACAAGGCTGCACTTTTGAAGAATGCAAATCCAGACTCATAAAGGTCTTAGAAAAATTGGAACAACACAATCTACATGTAAATGTTGAAAAATGCAAGTTCTTTGAGAGAAAGGTGCAGTATCTGGGTCATATCATCAGCAAAGATGGTATCCAGAAATCACCAGAAAAGGTGAGGGCAATCCAGGATGCTCCCCGCCCATCAAATATCACAGGAGTGCGTCAATTCCTTGGACTAGTACAGTACTATTCAAAGTTCATCAAAGATGCATCTACAGTGCTAAATCCCTTACATCAGCTTCTAAGGAAAGACAAACGTTTTCATTGGTCCCAGGAATGTGAAAAAGCTTTTACTCGTGTTAAAGAAGAGATAGCAAGTGACACAGTTCTTACTCCATACAACCCAGACTTACCCGTGATACTTGCCACAGATGCTAGCCCTGTTGGCTTATCAGCTGTACTCTCTCATAAAATGCCAAATAATGAAGAGAAGCCTATTGTGTTTGCCAGCAGATCCCTCACTGCTGCAGAGCGCAACTATAGCCAATTGGACAGAGAAGCAACTGCTGTATATTGGGGGTGTAAAAAAATGTTTGATTATATATACGGAAGGAAGTTTACACTTGCCATTGACAACAAACCACTAATTTTCATCCAGACAAGAAACTACCACTGTTGACTTCATCCAGGATGCTTAGATACGCTAATTTTCTTTCAGGATTTGATTATGAGATTGTACACAAAAAATCAAGCGACCACTGTAATGCAGATTACCTCTCAAGACATCCCTTGCCAATAAAAGAAGAGAATATCAATGTGGTTGACGAAGATTACACTGTTCGAAGAGAGACAATACACTGCATAACAACCGATACTATCATGGCTAAAGATATAGAAAAAGAAACATCACTTGACGATGAACTCTCTCGTTTAAAGGAAAAGCTCCTAAACGGAGAAGTCGCTGACCCAGAAGTATCACCTCAAGACGGAATTATTTTTAGAGGAAATCGTGTTGTCATTCCAAAAAAGCTACAACCTAAAATCCTCCAAGAATTACATTCAACACACGTAGGAATAGTGCGGATGAAAAGTCTGGCAAGAAACTACTGTTACTGGAAAAACATTGATACAGATATTGAGAGTATGGTGGCAAGTTGTAAGGCATGTTGTGAGAATAAGAAAAACCCAGAGAAGGCCCCTACCCATGTTTGGGAAATACCAAAACGCAATTGGCAGCGAGTTCACATAGATTACGCAGGACCTTTTCTAAATCACAACTTCTTGATTGTTGTAGATGCCAGGTCAAAGTGGCCAGAAATATATCCAATAAAAACTGCGCCAACAACTGCCAGTACTATTCATCACCTGAGAGAAATATTTAGTCACCATGGCCTACCAGAAATATTGGTCAGTGACAATGCTACAATTTTCAAATCAGCAGAGTTTCAAGCATTCTGCAAACGCCAAGGAATAAGACAACGATTCATTGCACCAGGAAACCCCTCTACTAATGGTCAGGCGGAAAGATTTTGCCAAACACTCAAGACAAAACTGAGGTGCATGCAGTTTGAACAGGGCACTTTACATGAAAAACTATGTGCACTATTATTTCGGTACCGAGCTACACCACTGAGTACTGGTGCATCCCCAGCACAATTAATGTTTGGCAGGAACTTGAGAACCAAGCTAGATCTCTTAAGACCTGGTGAAGATGACAAAAATGAGGCCCAACAACCAATATTTAACAAACATTTCAATATTGGGGAGAGAGTACAATCAAGAAATTACGTAGGATCCATTCTGTGGAAATTTGGAACTGTCGTGGAAAGGCTGGGGCGACTTCACTACCTCGTAGAACTTGATGATGGGTATGTGACAAAACGTCACTTCAATCAGCTTCGAGCTTGTGAAGTGCCAAAAGATCCTACTCATTACAAAAGCCCTCTACCTAACTCATTGAAGCAAACAAGGCAAGAAAGTTCAAACAACCAATGCAACCCAATAGCCAAAGTACCACCTACGCAAACTCATCGAACTTTAATATTACAAAATACCAATCAAAATTGTTCAAGACAACCTCCATTCATGGGACATAAAAGGTACGGCATGTTAAGAAAATCAAAAAGCAATACAGAAAGGTTGCATGATACAGAAAATGTCTCAAGTAGCACCCCGAGCTGGGAAGGAACTACGGGCACTGAAACATCGAGTCCTACAGCAAACTCAATGCCTGATAGTGAGACAAAAAGCCCTATAACTAACAATGAAGCGTCAAGTACAAGCAATCCTACAAGCAGCCAACAAGAGGCCGAAGAGCCGAGTACAATCATGCAACAAGACGCTGAAGGGTCAAATGCAAACTCACAACCAGATGTCCCTAACATTCGCCGTTCAATGAGAATCAGAAAACCGATTAAAAGGATGAACTTATAAATGAACGATCTTCTTAAATAAGTAGGGAGGAATTGTTATATATCCAAAAAATCTATCTTTTATTTTAATATTAATCATATGACTGGAATAATTTCACATTGTAAATAATTCAATGTTTATCTTCATTATTAAGAAATAAACATGTATCAAGAGTTGTGTTCATATATTTTGTATTAATTTGTATTTAATAGGGAGTATGTTTTATCTATGGTATTGACTTTAACATATGTATCTGATTTCAGACACCTGATTCGATATTTAATTGATCATTGGGTGTACGACTACAGGACTTTGCTGAGCGATGAATCAAGAAGTGACCCACCCAACATGAAAAAGTAGGTAAAAAACTCTAAGGATGTATAAAAATCTAAAAAAGAAGGGCACACACTAACACTACGTTAGGATAAAAAGTAACAACTTAAAAAGATAAGTAGGTTTCAGAGACCCAATTCACAAATGATTCATCCACCTATTTTTATTTGAGCCATCCACTGTTTATTTTAGAGGGCATCTTCCATCAAACATCTCTATAACTGAATATTGTTGAGTCGCTTGGCCCCTGATTAGACGTAAAAGATTAACAACCCTACACCACAAGGTAGGAACTGTCCTAGGAAACCCAACGCTTCCGAGTGTAGTTCTAGCCTTATCTCCTTGGTTAATCGCATGTCAGGAACAGTTATGAGAAAAATATATTTGTTATGCTCGCATAAATCTTTATGCCAGTACAGTACCCAAATCATAGTTGGAGACTATAGGTCTTGAGGTTTTAAGATCACTTCCTTAAGTATCAGAATAGTGCAGAAATAAGATATTAAGAAATGAGGTTTATGACTGGATGATTGGTCATATCAAGGGATGTGGAAATACTAGATACGAATTGACCGATTTAGATAGAAAGTCTTGATAAAAATACTTTATCCATACATTGCTCCTTTGATTTCAAACTGACCAACCATAACTGATATAAATTACGAAATTAAACCTGGTTTTGGTATATAATGTTATGGTACTATCATTATTGTGTTTTTACAGGACTGTAAAGCCTTCTTATGGACCACCTCCCCAGCAGCCCCCCTATGGGGGATTTCCGTACCCTCCAGCAATCTATCCACCCTCACATCCCTTGGGGGGAAACTCAGTGAACTACACTCAGGTAAGGTGGACCAAAATTTTGAAAAATCAATTTGTCAAAGATTTGAATTACCCAACCTAGTCATTAACTTCATCAGTAGATTTCTTATCCTATTGTAAAGTCTGAAACTTGTTTGAGTGAAGGTTTCATATTTGGCACACTTGAGTGGATTGATGTTAGTAAACACTTTATTCTATTATGAGTTATGTTTAACGAGTGGTTATAGTGCTCGCATTCAAATCTGAAGATCACATGGTTCGATTCCAAACAAGATCCTTTCCAGACCTACATGCCAGTTTTCATTGGTCTAACGCTAGCAAAAAGACCGATGCTAGAGAATAACAGACCAGGGTTTGGACGATTCCCTTTAGAAACTTAAAAAATGCCAATGGCGTCGAAAAACCCCAAAATTAATGTGCACTTAAATCTTTGGTAATAATACTAAGGTCAAGTTGTTTACAAATAGATTCTAATGTGTTGTTGTAATAATTTTGAAATTAGTAAAATAACAGAGAGATTAAAGAGAAGACATTTAACACTGAATTGCATCCTTTCAACAAAATTAACTAAGAAAATAATCCAGTTTACTTTTAACTAAACAAATAGTCAAGTTTTAACTGTTATTTGCAAATTGTTATTTATGATACCATTCAATAATGTACAGGAAGGATACCCTGATCGACACTACCCACTCTCATCTCTTCCATTATTCAACAATGACCCGGACCTCGCTTACTCGGGTTTGCTGACACCTGATGTTACTCCATATGATCCTTCGCACTGGTGGAAGAGGTAAAGTTAAAATAAATAAATAAACACGTACAGTTTTTGAGAAAAATTCTACAAATTGATTTTCAACGTCTTAACCATCTATAGTTTTGTTTTTCAGCTGTTGCCACAATGTAATTTATATTATTGTTAAATAATGAAGTCGTAATGTTTGGGTATCTTAACCTGAGTATCAGAGATGGCTCCAGGGTGGCTTAGGAATAATTGCCTGACATTTTAAGTTTATTTTACCCCCTCCCTCCCCCCAATCCATATTAAAGTAATTTAAAAAAATTAAAGCTGTGCATTGCAGGCTTTGTGTATTTGTTTGTATTAATAATTATAAAATCAAATATTTGTATGAACATGGTCTTTTTTTATATTTTCTTCTGCTCTCTGGGGGAGGACCGAGAGGGGCATGGTCCCTATGCCCTCCCAGAAGTCGCTGATATGAAGAAGAGATGAGTGACAAACGATTGTATCACCCAACTTTCTTCTATTTGCTTAACCTCAAAGCTTCTAGGTCTGGTTGTATAAACTGTCCCCTACAAAAATTTTTTTTTAAATAATTAACTCTGCTGCTTTTGCCTGAAAGATTGTCTTTGAAAAAATTGTAAGGTTCGTAACTATTTTTATGATTATTTACCTAAACTCCACTGCTTACCAGGTACAGCAGGTCGGATGAAGGTCAGACCCGGTCCAAGAGACAACTTCCGGGTCAGGACACCCAGTTGTGTCCGACCCGATCACAGTTTGTCAGTCCCAAAGCCGCACTCAATGGACAAGGCAACTGGATGTTCATCGTCAACCTGGACCAGGATCAAAACCGGTTCACTCAGCAAGTGCGAGCTGAGGTTTGCATGTAAGTTTTACTGGATAATTGTAATTGGATTGATTGTAGGAAGAAATCAAAATTGGTTTTCTCAATGTTTCCTTTGAAGTCACTAGACAATTAATATAATTTAACACACATAACACAATAATGAGTTGGAAATGTAAAGTTGATATCCAAATAAAAAAAATAAAAAAATACAAATAAGTTATGTTATCCAAGAAGTTTTTTTTAAATTTTTTATTAATAGTTCACCTGAGAAAATTAGAGTTTCAGGCATCTAAATATATAAAAGGCAAAGCCCTCACTGACTCACTCACTCACTCACTCATCACTAATTCTCCCACTTCCCATTTACCTAGGAAGCTGAAATTTGGTACACTGATTCTTTAGGCATTAAATAGGAAAACTAAGTAGTTTTTATTCTGATCGGACTCTCGGGCTCCGCCCCAGTGGCTCTGGAGTTTCCCATGTTAACCTTATGATTTTTCATATTTAAAAGGAATTAATGAATCTTAACAGCTGTTTCAATTAAACAAGTTAGTTCTATTCTATGATGTTCAATAGCATTAAAGTTACAAGGATTACCAACAGGGTGCAGCACTATCATTTTTTTTTTAATTTATGACAACAGCTAATTTGCAACCAAAAGGTGAGTGAGCGTAGCGAACGAACTTCAACCTGGAGGCGAGTTAGCGTAGCGAACGAGCTAACCTGAAGGCAAGTGAGCGTAGCGAACGAGCTCCAACCTAAAGGTGAGTGAGCGTAGCGAACGAACTTCAACCAGGACATGATTGAGCCATGCGAATACTTATGAAGTTAAACGGGGCAAAGCCCGAGGGTACAGCTAGTATTATATAGATAAGAAAAAATTTTAGTCTGAATTTAAAAATAAAAGTAATAACAATTTTTGTTCAATATGTGAATTTAATTACTTCACATTCAGGGTAAATTCGGGAAGTGACCCTGCAAACCAAATCAAAAGAATTTGAACATTAACTATGTAAACTTTCCAGATCCAACCAGTGCCAAGGTATCTGTACACTGCCCAACGGATACACATCTCGCTGTCAACAGCAGTACGTACAGAAGCGCCTCATCGCTCTAGAAGGCAGTGGAAACCAGCTGTACACAGACACCTTCTGGCTTCCTCACTGTTGTATCTGTCAGATAACACCTTCCAACAATGGATGACAAAACAAAGTTAGGGTAATTCTCGCCTTAGGAACTTTTAGACATTTTACATGTTTAGGCCTACTGGTAACATAATACTTGGATCAGTATTTGTTACACTTTTTCTATTCAGTCTACTTTACTAGTTATTCAATGCTTGTTCAAAATATAATTGTTGGTTCAATTTTTAAATTGATATAAATATTTTACGATTTCTTATGAAAAATAATAAACTCTTTGAATTGAGAAGATTATGTTTCAACATGAACAAAAAATTGAAAAATGTAGACTGCTAAAGATGGTTAATATATTTTGCTTATCTGACAAGGCCAAATTGAGCATACCAATGCTGTTTCGGTGAATATGTATGTTTATCAAGAGTCTTTGAGGCCAAGTGGGAAAACCGTAAATAAAACTTTGTTTGGAGTTTTAAAAATTAGTCATCTCTTCATAAAAGCTAATAGAGATCTATTTTTTTAAGTAGACCCTTTATCTAGTTCCTTAATCTGCGTTAATAAAAACCCGCAAACAATATTGTGCTGCATAATATTCTTACATTGAGGATAGTTTTGTTTCATTGTTTAAATTAGCTGTTAAAATTTTATTTACAACGAGGAAGACACATGCATAAATTGTGCATTTTAATTTTGTTCAAAGCTGGTTTCCAAGGCGACCGAGGCAAAACTAATAATACAATACCCTTTCAATTTTCAAAGATTATGTGGTTTACTGTAAGAGAGTCATTAGGTGATTGAAACTAAATTTACAATAAATTTGCACATATAAACCTTTATGACAAAAGTAGGTCTGTATTACCGAACTCAAGAAATAAATTAAACGTTAGGAGGGCGAAGGCCTAAGGGAAATTACCTTTTAATTACCATTCCCAGGTGCGCTAGGTCATAAGCTTTAAAATGACATCTTAATCGTAAAAATCGGTTAAGTAGGACAGCTGGAAAATGGATGTAACAGGGAAACCCTTATTGTATTGAGTGTTTTGAATGTACTGTGCCGTGCATGAGTTTTCTTTTAAACTAAACTGCATGAAAATGGTCTGTTGAAAGTCGATGCAACAGTGATGCTAGTTTTCTATTAAACTTAAAATGGATTAGAAAACAGATGTTGCATATAATTTACTAAACCAGATACTCTAAAAATAGATTGCAATCCTTCCTCGAGATTAAAAGTATAAAAAATGTACACAATTAATAAAATGATTTCTGAATCTACGTTTTTAACCAAATATATTTTCACCTTGGCACATATGATTTTTAAGGATGTACAACAATAGTTAATAGTTTTAATAATACCTACCTATTTTCAACTTGATTACTGAACTTAAGAAGGTTTCTTGTATATTTGTGGATAAGGTATTTATTTTTTTATTTAACATAGGTTTAAATATATGTATTTTTGTAAAAGCTTTTTTGCTCTGCTTTGTGAATAAACACAAAATAACAATATTAAATTTATTTTTATGTTGTGCAACAAGTATAAATTTAATAATTTAAATAAGTTTTATTTTGTTGTCCAAACAGCGAAGAGGTTGTACATTATACATGATCTGTATTAAGGTAAGATATTAGATATTATGTATGTAAATAATAGATTAATACAAATCTTTCGTTATTATAATTGGATCAAACAATTAGAATAACTTTAAAATCTATGTATAATTTATGTAATCTATATATTGTTGTCCCATAATGTTTATTGGTGGTTGGTTAACAAATTGTAACTAAGAATCAAATTTTCAAAATTTAAGAGTGTTCAAAGAAAAAAAATGTTTAAATGTAAATGCAAGTTTGATTTTGAAAAATTAAAGAACAATCAATTGTGCCATGTGTTTAAAGAAAATCAAACACTTTACATTAGTTATCCCTTAGTTAACTTAACTTATGCTTTATTAAACTAGTGCTACTAACAGGTAAATAACAATAGCATAAAACATTAATTACATAATGTAATCCAATAAGCAATCAAAATAAATAAATGTTAATTTATAAATTCTCATGTACACGAGTCATTGATTTGTTTAGATTTGTTCAATGTTTTGTTAACATGCTATGTACTAACTACAATAGACCATATTTTGTACACTAACTTAAATTACAGTGCCAATGATTTATTTTAGTTGAATGCATAACTATACACTAACACCAAGTTATCTAATAACACACTAAAATACTTTAGTTATAAATTTCTAAAATATAGAATTTGTAGTTATAAGATAGAAATTAAGTTTAATCTGTGATCTGAGTAGAAGAATAAATAAAGTTTGTATTTAGTATTATAGGATAAAATGTACATTTTTTGTATTTGAGTTGTATAATACTCCTGAATAAATTGTTTTGTAATAAATTAGCCTTTTCTAATTTGAAATAACCTTTTCTAGGGGTGCACTAGACTCTTTTTATTGCTCTGGACTTATGGTTTGGAGTTCTGGGCTAAGTCCTCAATAATCAATTAATTGTATTTATAGCTACAGTATGATATATTTTGTGTTAAGACATAGAAACTAGTTCTTTTCCTATATAAACCTTTTATTTACCTATTATAAATCAATTTATAAAATATAAGTTGTTAACCGATTATAATTTGCATAAAAATTTAAATTGAACAATATTTCCTGCAGGGGGCTATTATAGTTTGTCTAATGAAGCATAGACTATAGAAAAAAAATAACCAAAACAAAATCGCAAAAAATGTTGTTGGAAAGGTGTTGAACTATTCCATGGGGCCAGCACATATTGTTAGCACCCCAGCGAACTCAGTCAAACAGGAAATAGAAAACTGATTGAGAATCTCTATTTTGTAGGTAGGTTTTTTTTACCTTTATACAGAATATAAACAATTTTATTATTTCAAAAGTGAATTCCAGCTTATGGACAGACAAAAAATACTTTAAGATTAATATTTTTATGACAAAAGGATTTTTAACGAACCTCTCGATATATTTTTGTTCCTCTGGATTTTTTTATTTTTTTGAGAGAGCTTGAGTTACATTATAACTCGTTCTTAATTTCTAGTAGAAATTGAAGAAATGGACCTAAAACGTATCAGGAATTACAGATTTTCATCTTAATATTTTTTACCTTTTGGTTCCATTCCAAAGGGAAAATCAGCTGTAGTTTAACATAAAAGTACTAAAAATATAACTTACCCAGCATTAGCAAAATAAAGTTTATGACTACACAATTTTCTCTAGAAAAAGATAAGTTTTATAATGCTACTAGCTGTAACCCGCGGGCTTTGCCCCGTTTAACTTCTTAATTTTCAAGATGATCTCATTCGCATGGCTCAATCACGTCCTGGTTGAAGTTCGTTCGCTACGCTCACTCACCTTTAGGTTGGAGCTCGTTCGCTACGCTCACTCACCTTTAGGTTGGAGCTCGTTCGCTGCGCTCACTTGCCTTCAGGTTAGCTCGTTCGCTACGCTCACTTGCCTTCAGGTTAGCTCGTTCGCTACGCTAACTCGCCTCCAGGTTGAAGTTCGTTCGCTACGCTCACTCACCTTTTGGTTGCAAATTAGCTGTTGTCATAAATGTAAAAGAAATAATAGTGCTGCACCCTGTTGGTAATCCTTGTAACTTTAATGCTATTGAACATCATAGGACAGAACCAACTTGTTTAATTGAAACAGCTGTTAAGATTCATTAATTCCATTTCTTATAAGGTTAACATGGGAAACTCCAGAGCCACTGGGGCGGAGCTGATTGGACGGATCACGAAATTGATGGTGTATAAACCTATTCCATGACATTCTACACGTATGTACAAAGTTTCGTGGCAATCGGTTCAGCGGTGTCTGAGTTTATCACTGCCAAACAAACAAACATATATACAAACATCCTCTTTTATTCTTATAGATATATACAAACATCCTCTTTTATACTTATAGATATATACAAACATCCCTTTTATACTTATAGATTTTACTGTGTTCCACCTCAAATCTAGCTCTAAGAATAACTATAAAATGATTACTATTAAAATATTAATAGGCTACTGTATGTATCCTAATAAATGCTATAATGATTTTAAAATAGGTAGTAAAACCTCATTAACTCTACGGGTCTGACTTAGGGGAGGTACGAATGAGGCATTTAGTTCAAAATTCCTCCGTGAACAGCGCTGTAGTAGAGAGCACTTTGGCAATGAAGGTTTACTAATCGCAAAAATAGTTCTGTTCATAAAATAAAATTATACATGTCTCAAATTCAATTTTATTATTTTTTAATTATAAAATTAAACTATCATAACCTAACCGAACTAACCAAACTTGCTGATAAAGAAATAATATAACAAAGGTTTAGTAATCGGAAAAATAATTAATAATTTATTAAATAAAACTAGAATTTGCTCAATTAAAATTTTATAATCACTTAATAATAAAATTAAACTGTAATAACCGAACCAAACCAACCAAACTTGCTGATAATAAAAAAATCTTGAACAAAAAGTTAATGCTACCAGCAGGATTCGAACCCGGGACCTACAGTATATCAGCCCGGCACGCTAACCATTAGACCACCGAGGCCGATGGCTACCGACCGTTTTGTTACGGTAATGGCGTTCCCTCAGCTAATAAGAAGCCCACAGCTGTCATCGTAGCCTCTTCTATACCTCCCCTGAGTAACCTTAACTCTACAGTGTGTTAGGTTAGTTACACTTCATTTTACACTTTACATAGTTACACTTAATTTTCACAGTCAACAGCTGACAAGGAACATGCAAAAAAGTGATTGTTTCAGAACATTTCATTTTGATTGTTCAATATTCAATACCGTATTTTGTGGAAGCATGTTTTCTCAATAATGTAATAATACTCATCTAAGTAATTAAATTATATGTAAAGAATATTGACAAAACAATTAAAAATAGACTGTTAAAGGAAGGTTCCACGATTTGCCGGTAGACCATGCTCAGTGTTCGTTGTTTCGCTGAAAAAATAAAAAAAAATAATAAAGTTAATCAAGTTCAAAATTCTAAAATCCTGTAATTTTAACAAAAAATTACCTTTTTCAATTATCCTTGGACATTTTAAGACACGGAAAGATAACGGAACAAACTCCTACTCCCCGGATTCCATGGAATTCTCCAAAAGTTGGCACCCCTGGCTCCAACAACCAACTTGTCATGGCAACGCTCGCTAGCGCTTGACGCTGCAGAGGTGTGTGCCGAAACTACATGGCACTCTTAGCGGTGGATGCCAGAATATATGCTAACTGCAGTACTGCTGTCGGTCTATATTTAATTTTTTTGTCTATGGTAAAAGTTACTCTGTTATGCATTCACATGTATGTAACCCATTACAAATTTCAATGTTATGGAAAACTTGACGACCAACAAACTCGACAACCTCTGGGTTCACAAATTGTCAAATAAGTGAGGTTTTAATGTAGTAATCATCACAATTAATCCATAGTTAGCAGTCAGGGTAAGCCTTTGAGGTTAAAATATATTTTCAAATTTTCCAGCGCACTGTCACATAAAAAAGGTTCATTATTAACTTCTAAAAACTTGAAAAAAACTATTGTTTCTACTGTTTCGTACCTATATACACTTAACAACTACATTAATATTAATAATTTTATAATTCAACTTATCACTTGACTGATTAAACTTAACTAAACTCATACAATCTCATAAATATAAATATAACAAATTAACAGGCCAAGAGATATGCTGTGTGTTGATTGGTTCATAATTTTTCAATATTCTCGCCAAATCTCTATTCTATTCTATATTCTATCTCAACTCTCAATAACTATGTTATTTTATTTCAAGTAATAACAGGATAGCAGTATACCCCAAAACTAGCGAATTTCTTGTTGCCTCAATTAATTATTCTCAATCACCTCATGATTAGAAACGAAATATTGAAAAATAACCATTATTTTTAGTTGTTAGAACCCGATCATTAATTTTAGACTGTTGGATACTAGTGTAGACATCCCATGTACAGTATAGATAGATAGATAGATAGATAACAGTGCTTTATTTTGCTGAATGGTTTAAAAATTTACAGCATTTACATCTACAGTATATGGACCAGCTGTAGCCAGCCAATTTAGTTATGTGCAGCATGTCAAATTTTAGCTCAATCAGTCTACTCAAGTACTGTAAAATGTTTGATTCTGAATTGGAATCAAGTATACACTACTCGTCTAAGGAACTGTTGACTCATAGTGGCAATTTAGAGAATTCTTCTGGCACGATTCTATACATAGGTAATTGGACTGATATGCAGCATTGGCATTGGCTCTTAAGTTGAAAACTATACGTGAGTTTTCAACACATAAATCCTACTCGCAATTGTAACCCAAAGAATTGGCTATCGAGAATTTCTTAAACTTTAATGATCAAGTCCACCCCGTTTGACTTAAAAGCTAACGATTTAAGTACCTATTTGAATCTTCACATCACTTTAGATATTAATTGCTTATAAAAAACATGAATTAACCTCTCACAGTGTGCTAATGTTAAAGTAGCATTCAGGATGACCTTCCAGATTACACGTAACATTCAGGAGTAAGTTCTGCAGGAGTTGTATTTTGGCTGCCAAGTCTCGCCTTTCAGGGGGCAGCTGTCTGAAATTTTACGACAAGCTGCCCTCAGAAAACCGTAACTAGCTCACCTTCTTGTTGAAAAACTCTTTTCACTTCCAGAACATACCTAAAATATTAAGTTCAGATGAGTCCACATTTTTGTCTTTGATACTTCTACAATAATTAAAAGTATGTTATTGTAATGCTTGCCTCATTTTACTTTGCATTTACCCATCCAAAAGGGGTCTTGGCCTTGTGTGTGGAGTGTATCAAGAAAAGCGTGGAGTGAGCCGATTTAAAAATACAAGAATGAATCTTACTAGTTACCACTAAGCCATAACACCTTATCAGTACAAGTCTTACCAGCAGAAAGGCCCCAAAGAAACAGAAGGCAGAAGGGGTTGGCAGGTTAGGCAGGAGTTTTTATCAGTATAAGTCTTAGTGGCAGCTAGAAGTGAACCTTGGACATTCCTGCTAAGAATTTAGTCTGTCGCTCTACAAACCAAGCAACTGAGTTACCTATGTTCACAATATTTAAGGTGTATTGTCCCTGAAACGACTCTTGCGATAGTAGCTGAGCGACAGTAGCTCAGCGATAGTGGCTCAGCGATAGTAGCTAACCATGTCATTGTCCCTGAAGCGATTGTTCTAGAGCGATTCTGTATATTAGTTTGCTGACTTTTGAGAGAATTGGTGTTATGAGTGCCATGACACCACCTAATTTTAAAACGTTTTTATTAGCTCGCTTTCTTGTCCGGTACAAACTTTGCAATAAATGTTAAA